GTCTGCTAAATGACTCAAATAAAAATGTACTACCTTTAAAAAAAAAACATGGCTGACTTGCTTAAGCAAATGTGGTTTTGACTGACAATTGAGATGTACAAACTATGGCATAAGGGAACGATGAGCAGATAAGAAGCAATCCGTAATTTTGACATTAATAAGCGAGCTAAGACGGACGTAGTCAATATAACTATTTGTTCAGCACTTTTTAAATGCGACAGAATTCAGGCCATTTCTCTAAAACAGACTATAGGCTACATGTGCACCACCAAGTCAGAACAGTAGGCTAAGTTATGAGGGGGAAAGGGATCAAATAATTAGGGTGAGGCACATGGGCTACTAACTGCTTACTACACAGTATATCTCCCTGGCATATTACATATTTTATGCAGCAGCATTGAATACATTTTTGGACTCACCTTGTTGTGCTGTGCTCACTTGTCATCAAAATTTATCATCAAAGTCTGGCATTCTCTGGATTTATGGTGCTTTCAAGACAACTGGGAACTCCGAAAAAACAAGGTCGAATCATAACGTCAGTGATCTTCAGGTTGGAGCTCTAGAAAGCGGCTGAGTTCCCGACTTGGAATTCCGAGTTGGATGACCGTTAAAAACGGTTTTTTTCCCGAGGTCCCAGTTGTCTTGAACTCACTGAAGTCTGAGATTTCCCAGTTCCGAGTTTCCAGTTGTTTTGAACGCGGCAGAAGTCATGCTGGATTGACAGCATGGCCAATGTATTCAACCTTTTCTGGTCCATGGTGTTGCATGTGAATGTTTATCCTTTTAAGCTTGGAAAAGAGACCCTTAAACCCAGACTTGGACCACACACCCACCCCACCGAATAGCAGGCTACAGCAGTGGTTGCTTTGCAATGCTTGCAGTTAGCGACTGATTCCTTACAAACCACTCATTGTTGAATTAGCAATTTCCAACTTGTGTAATGTTTATGTCCAATGGCCGAGCACCGATACGTTTTATCTATAATTTCTCTTCATATGATAAGGATTGAAAAGGATTTGCCAGTAGATTGTCGACTTGATTCATGATGATGACTGCTTGTCTAGCTTTCTAGCTAAGATATTGAAAATATGATGTTGACATGATCAGTCCAATCAAAGCTATGGTAGATATGACGTGATTTGACGTAATTTTATCTGTGGCCAATGACCTTGAACCTTCTTGGATGGGCACTTCTAATGTAAATCTATGGCAGCACCCAAGGGGCTTGAATTTTCGAGCTCTCCCTGTAGATTTTGCAGCGACGTAGTGTCCCCATGAGTGACAGAACACTGAGCCAATCACGGCGCAACTAGAGAACATTACCAACCCCTACACTCTGTATTTTCTGCTGGCTGCCCCACCACCACAGAAAGCACAGAGCTAGGCTGAAACACCTGCATTTTGGAGATGCCTTCCTCAAGATAGCAAAAAAGAGACCATGTTTGTATGCGGCTTTATTAACTCAATGATTTTTATTTTTTTACAAACTGATGGGGCTCTGCCCTGAATGACGGGCCGCCACTGACACACACACACCACTGTACATTAGGACACATCCAAAGCACATACTATTTATAATGAATGGAACAGTATGTTACATTTCATTGAAGTGAAATGTATTTCTCTAAAATCACTGAATTTGTTACTCATTGATTGAGTGCTACTACCACAATAAATGCCTGTCAATACACTGTACAGTTTACACATATCTGTACTGATATGCAACAGGTGCATGTGTGGCCAAGCTAAGTTATTAAGAGCTGCACTGTGGAGGACCAATAAGAGCTGCACTGTGGAGGACCAATAAGAGCTGCACTGTGGAGGACCAATAAGAGCTGCACTGTGGAGGACCAATAAGAGCTGCACTGTGGAAGACCAATAAGAGCTGCACTGTGGAAGACCAAAACAATACACTCAGTAAACATACCACTGTACAGGCTGCTGCCAACAACCAATTAAGCAATTAGCCTTTGACTTGTCTCAAGCCTGAGTGTAGACCATCTGAAAGCAACAATAGCTCAAATCAGATTCAGAGTGTTTAATAGTCACATGTACAGGGTTGCAGGCGTGATTGCAGGGTACAGTGAAAATCTTAGGCTCCGAGATCCAACATGCAGGACTAAGTGAAATAAAAGAATGAAAATGGTAATAAATCCTGCCCAGGCAAGAGCCATAGGGAAGGGAAAAGAGATGAATGTAGTGGATATTTCTGTGTGTGTGTTGCTCATGCACCCCTAACAGAAGGCAAGTCACTGGGCCTTGTGCCTCTTGGGGCCATTGAGTGAATGGGGCTGTAAAAGCAACAGGCCCTGGGGACAATGGGGCCCGGGGGCATTAAGTCACGGGTGACTGGGCGTATTTAGGGCCAGCAGCTGACCCTGTGGAGAGGCATCTTGTCCTGGCGGAGGGGGGCTTGTGTCCGCAGACCCCAGGCCAAGCTGACAGCACCCCCAAACACACGCCACAGGCAGGGGGTACATATAAACAGGGCAGGGAATGGGGGTCGAGCCTGCAGTCAACTCTAGCTACTGTTAATCCACTGCCATCAGGACCTGACAGGACTGGGAATAGAAGAGTCCTTCCACTGGAGGGAAAAGGGATATCCAGTAAGTATTTGGATGACCAGGAGGTTTGACATGAGATTAACACTACAGTGTTAAAGAAAGGTGCAACATCATATTGCTATTACATGACAATAACAAAGAACCACAAATGCAATGCAATAACATTTTATTATTATTACATATTAAGTACATGGTTACAATGGCAGTTGGCAGGTTATGATTTCAGCAGAAAATACTGGAAAATGTGAAAATTACATAATGCAAGTGTTACGTCTGTGATTACTGTACAAACATGGTAATGGAAAAGTCCAGCGTCTTGCTTGTTGTTCATGCACGATTATGACAACTACTATAAATGTTCTTAATTCCCTCATAACCTAGGGTTGGATGTCCAAGTATTAACATAAACATGTTACAAACAAAACATACTGTAGTCAAACCAACCAACAGAACAAACATACACATTTAGCGTAGCCGTTAGACGTAGGAAAATAAGAAAGTTCAGAACCTGAGGCTCTGTGGAGCTCAGAGGGTGAACATACATGATCTTTCCACGTGAACATTCCCTTATTATTCTCAAACACACTTAATGCTAGATAATCCAGATTATAATCCGGATTGTAAACAGTTGGAAGACCGTTGGAACGAATAACACCAACCATCACCACAGGGACCATAGATACTCTGCTGCACCCTGTTATTACAGCGGTAACCATTATCAGAGCCATAGAAAACTGCATTGTCACATGAAGACATACATACAATAAACATTTTTTTTTTTGTATGTTGAAAATCTTATATTGTCCTGTACTTTGGTTATTACTGATAAACAATGTATACAAAAATCTTTACATGCCATCATGTAAAAACATACATCAAGTAGCTCCATCTTTACCTCTTTATGTCAGTGTTCAATCGTCACATGTAGTGAGACATTCATCCAACGGCACTGGATTTGAATTATTTTACAAAACACACACATAAACAAGAGCTATGTCATGCGCTCAAACAAATGAATGAAACAACACTTAAACAATGAGAAAAGTGCAATGTCTGATTAGAGACTGGATCCTGCTACCAAAGAAACAAACTGATTCCAGGGGAAACTGTTCTATCAATATCAACTCAGGTGATGTCACTATACAATGGTAATTAACTAAATTTGATAGTTAAATTAATAACTGTATAAAAGGGATTAGTGGCAGCGCATGTTTGCTTGTTATGTCTAATTTTGAGAAATTAGGTGAAAGGTAGCCCAATCCTTTTCTGATAAGAAAATATTATATATTTTGTTTTTATAAATAAATTAGTAAACATTGAATAAATATAACCTACAGCCTTCACGCGAACAGGAGATCCTCTCAACTAAACATGTTGTTTTAACACACTGATGATATGAGCGCTATTGGTCAGTACCAAACATGACAACTGGATTCTGATCTAGGAGCAGTGTACCCTTCCCCAATCACGACCTAGATCAATAGGAGGTAAGAAGTAGAACTGACATTAGATCAAGTCTTAGGGGCAGGGAAGGGCTTTAGGAAGATTTCTCAATGGAGACTTAATGTGTTCAATTTACACTTATATTAATATCTACGTTTTAGAGAACAGATAATAAATAAAATAAGAATAAAAAAGGTACCCTTCCATTTTGAGATTCTTCGCAGTTTTACGCTATGAAATACATTCAACAAATGCCTCAATTTGAGACTGCTAAAGGAAAGTATGGCCTTGGAACGGAAACGTCATTGCATTTTGAAACAATACAGTCACATCACAAGTGCTATCCAGTTACCTCCTCAAACCTGATCATTTCTCTGCAGCCAATCCCAACTCAGTAGTGCAATAAACCCAGCTCTCTCTCTCTCTCCTAAGACTTCATAACAGGTGTAGCAGTACAGGGTAGTTCTACAAACAAGCTGGAGAATATACATATATCTGTAATGTTACATTATAAAACAGATTTTTTTTCATTTTTGTTTAAACAATATATTAACAATATGAAACTCAGCCACTGCTAGTAATAATCTGTCTATTTCTACAGTTTACTACATAATGTATGTGCAGGTTGTTCCGTTTTAACACATTATAAACTAGTGCAGAAAATCTAGTATCTCTTATCTGTACAAACCTGTTACAAGGCTTGTGTGTATTCAAATGACAAACCAAGCAATTTATGGCTACAAAAACTCAAATCAAGAACGTCAAGGTTCTTGGGCAGTGTGACCTAGATAAAAATGTTTGACTTGGCTTTTTCTGTGAAGTATTCTGTGGTACACTTGAGTGTTCAGTTATGGATCTTATCAATACACAACTTTCTAAATTATTTGAGTTGCCTACACCAGATTGTCTAAGTATGATAAGAGTCATTAGGAGAAGGAGCGTGGTTTCCATAGAAACTCTGCTGGACGGGTGTAGTGTGTGGGGACATAGGCCTCAGAGCACGAGGGCCCTCGAGGTGCAGGCAGAGGACGGGTAGGTACTACCCAGATACTGCCGGGCCTGCTCGGTCATGATCCGCTGGTCCTCCGTCTTCCCATAAACCACTGCTTCCCACTCGCTTTTTACCTGCATGAGAAGATATTATTATTCTCTCCCACCTCTCAACCCCTCTATCCCCTTGTGACAGCCAAGACCTTGATGCTCAATAAAGAAATGTTTACTGAAAAGTGGCCAGCTGAACCCAACATACTGTATAATTTGGACAGACAACATTTTCCCTCTGTCATTATATAAATAATCTGAAGCGCAATAATATGAAGTTAGTTAGGAGTAACACCAAAGAGAGAGGTCTGTGTGTACCTGTCTAAGTGAAGCGTTGTGGGACATTCTGACCGAAGGAGAGTTCTTCTGCTTGCGGGGGCTGGGGAGGCGGTGCAGGGGGGCACAGGACCCCTCCCTCCCAGACAAGGGGGGGCAGGGGCGCTCCTCCCTGTCTCTCACTGGGAGGGGGTTCATCAGTAAGGAGCTGGTCAGGAAACTCTCCTCAGGGACCTGGAGGGGGGCAAGGAGGGGTAGACATTGATTTGTTGGTTGGTTGACTGATGAATTGATTGATTAGTTCATTGATTAGTCTGATTAATTAGTTTCCAGAACCCACCTGTGCATTATTGCGCTGTTCCTGGAATAGCTGGACGTTAAGACAGTCTTTTCCCCAGGAGTCCAGCACCAGGGACTTACGCACCTTCCTGGCTGGGCCATCCACCTGGGAGGAAACAGGGACAAGGTTGTGGTTAGACTGGATACCTTTAAAGACGGCCAGCACTAACAACTACAGTTCTGTAAAAAACACCTACATCATGTTTCCATGTCCTGAAGTCTGGTTGTAGTTCTCTGGTGAAGAAGTCTGATCCAATCTCCTGCTTCAGCACCTCCCTGAGGTCTTCCTCCAGAAAGGCCAGGGGCTGTGGCTGAAATATACACACATACTTACATTAATATGAGCACTGTCACAAAGTACTTACACTCTTAAGCACACACATTCAATTATAAATACTTAGACTACAGTGCACATAGCTAGACCAACTTCACACTAACACTTACCACCATCTTTAGCGGCCCATGCATCTTCTCCTGGGCGGCCAGGGCATTCTTAAACGGAGTAGGAGTTCTGGGAGTCAGAACCATGATGGACTTACGGATCTTAGGGGTCCTGAAACTGAGTGAGACAAAGACAGAAATTCTTACAACACCTGCCAAAATGAAGAAATCAATCCATCAACACACACATAATATAGCCAATTACTCAATTGTGAAAATATGGAGGAACCTGTAGCCAACTCTCTTACCTCACATTCTCTTTCTGGTGTTTGGGCGTGGTCTCCTTCTGGAAGGGTGTGTTGAGGAGACACTTCTGGTCACAGACCGGGGTGGAAGTCAGAGCTGGGTTGTCCAGGCTCAGACGCTCTCCTCCTGATGTGTTGAAGAACTGGAGAAAGACATAATCACAACAGTCAGAGAAGGTAGATGAAGAAGAAAGTGGGAGTCTAAAGTAAGCGACTTTAACAGACTATACTGCAAGAGCCAGATGCACCATCATGCTTTAGCTTGACCTCATCTCTAGCATCAGGCTTGCCTGGGAGGGGGAGAAAGGCAGTGCTTTCGTGGGGGTGTTCTTGGGCGAGTTGATGCTGGGCGAGTCTAAGAAGGACGGGCAGCTCCTATCAGGGGACTGGTCCCCCCTCTCTCTCCTCTTCCTCCTCCCCAGGGTAGGCAAACTCGATCTGGGCACGTTGTTCGGGGTGTGGGGGTGGACCTTCCCCTGACCCATGGGGGTACAGTGCTTGGTGGAGATGCCGTTGGGGGGGTCAACTGCATTCCTCATCCCCTCTGTGGTCCTCCCCTGGGGTGCGTAGCCCCCCTGTGTTTGTTTCGGGGGGGTCGTCGTCTCAGACATGTCGAAGCTGGCCGCCTCACTCCACGCCATAGGGTCCTGTAGAGGCAGACACATCTACAATGGATTTTCAATACATCCATGCTCTGGGTCTGGTATATGTAAACACACACTGCCACATACACAGACACCAAATGCAGATCTACACACTCACCGAGTCAATGAGCTCCATGGTCTCTGCGAACTCTGGGATGGCCTGCAGGGTGGAGAGCACGGAATTAGCCTCCACAGACAGGAATTTACTGGGGGAGACGTCGTGCTGGACCTGGAGCCCTCGGCCCTCCTCTGGGCCCTTCCAGCCCTCCTCAGCCTGCTCCACTGGGGGCACCCGGCCCTTCTCTGCCCCCCTCCAGCCTCCCTCAGTCTGATCCTCCAGACTGCTGCTGCTGGTGGTCATGGTGTCATCTGACACGCTGTCTGCCCAGCTGGAGTAACGCTCTACATTCTAGGGGAGAAGAAACTGGGGTTAGGGTGGAGGTGATGGTGGTGGCAGGACCAACCAGGGCTACAGTACAGGACAGGGTTGGATCAATGACATTTCAAAGAAGTTTCAATGAAGTTGAGTTGACAAGGGAAAAGCAATCTAACCCCAAAAGTACACCCCAAACCTAATCTCCCAACAGCCAAATTTAACCCCTCAGTTTTAAACTTTAAACTTCATTGGAACTCTTTAGGCCCCTGGTGAAAGCCAGATGTTGGGATGGTGTGAGAGAGAAAGGAGGGAGAGTACAGGGCAGGACACATACTGTACAAGTGGGGTGACAATAGTCAGTGGTAAGCATGGGTTGCACTGCACTAAGAGATTTATCAGATAACATCTGAACCACTGACATCATCATAATAGTTTGGTCTTCAATGCAGGTGAAAATCAGATAAATGAAGAAAGTAAAAGTCAAGGCTAGTCTCAGAGGAGGGAATTCTGCTTTAGAAGCACATTTGTGTGGTAAAAAAGTAGGAGTGAAAAAAGGACGGGTTGGATTTTTTTATTTTAAAAATAAGGCATGTTTGGTTCCAAACCAAACTGCTGGCTGAAGTGACACCCCCGTTCACTACTGCTGTGAGGAGCAGATAGGAGGCTGGATGGAGGGAAGGAGGGCGGGAGGGAGGGAGAGTAGAGGAGGTTTATGGTGGCAGCCGCATGGCGGGATGGCAGGAAGCACTGAAAATGGGGATGGAAGGGGTAGAACTACGAAGCACAACTAACGGGAGTGTGGGGAGAGGGGTAAGCTACTACGGCAACACTACAGTACAACTACGAGCTCACACACTGAGAGTGTGTCCTTACACATGGGCCTCGGCACTGGGCCTGTCTCCGGACCTCGGTCTCTGCTGACATAAGCAGCAGTTCAAGCTCCTTAATTCTCTGCTCTTTGTCTGGGTCGTCATGGCAGGACGGCTGGAATAAACACACACGGGAAGGAGAAGAGGACAGGACGGAGGGAGTGAGGAAAAGGAACGCAGGGAAGGAAGGAGACCACAAATTTACTTGCAAGTCAGACTCAAAGGCTTATTCCGATTAACACCAATCCACACATTTGTTAAAAGACACAGAAGAAGCAAGAATTCAGGGAGATCGTTCAGTTGTTTGATTGAGAGACTGATTAATAAAAAGTACAGACTGAAGGTAGTACAGTGGGAAAGTATATGATGGGGAAAGTGGACAGGATTGGATGACTTGCCTACTGATTTAGGATCAGATGTCCTTTCTTCAGTCCAAATGTTGCACATTTTCAGGAAACAACACACCTAACTCTGTGTCAGTTGTAAGGGACAGGTCACTCACCGATAAGTAGCTGGAGGAGTCTTGGAGGCTGTCCATCAGTTGTCCACAGTGAGGGCTATAAGGGTAACCCCTAAGCTACAAAGCACAGGAACAGACCCATCAACAACAAGCCTTCAAAACTCAAACAAACCGGATGATCAAGACAAACCTATGCAGAGGCTCTGAACTGAGAGGCCCGTGTCTCACCGGTGTTGGTCCTTCCATGCCTAGAGGGCTGTGCCCGTGGTGGGGGGTGTCTGGTTGGGGGGGACAGGGTCTGTGGTGACGGCTCTTCAACCCCCCATTGTCGGAGCCAAATCCCCTGCAGCCCTCCTGGAGGTACCCCTCGTGCTCTACCTTCCTCCTCATGGTCGAGTTCCAGTGGTTCTTAATGGAGTTGTCCGTCCTAGAAGCGTGATGAGATTTTAGACTGGTCCAAACAAACCTTATGCCCTAGGCCCAACCCATTTGCCAATAATGTAGCTGTAAGCAATATGGCACCACCAGTTGGAGCCATCACCGTATTGAAGGAGATCAGACAAGGAGAAGAAGGGAATCCATTTAACTCTATTGAGTTGCAACCACCCACTACCTCAGGCATAGAACTGTACAGTATATCACTCATTACCTTCCAGGCAGCAGCTTGGAGATCTCAGCCCAGCGGTTGCCCAGGCGTTTATGGGCCTGGTAGATGATGCAGTCCTCTTCCTGGGTCCAGGAGGACTTCTTTACCTCAGGGTTCAGGTGGTTGTGCCAGCGCTCACGGCATTGCTTTCCGATGCGTCCCTGCAGGTACTTAGCGATCACCGACCAGCGCTTGGGGCCATACTTGTGCACCAGGTCGATCACCTATACACACACACACACATACAAACAAAGAAGACAGGGAATTGTAAGTGACTTCTAACAATGCAATCCAGACAGGCATTCCTCTGGACCTCTAAAAATATCCATACTGTATAATATTTAATCTATTATTGGAGGGATATAGGCCATTTATGAAACTCCACTACAGCCCCTTACTGCACAAACAGAGCTGCCACATCATCATTGGCAACATCAGAGAATGTCCAGAATGAAGCGGAATAAGTAGAACTTGTTGCCATAACACTTCTATCGTGGAGCCAAACATGTGTGATGTCATCTCTCAGCAGTCCCACACTAGCCAGTGCTATTATGTTCCTGAATATCTTACTTCTAGCATGTCACTAAGGGCAAGCCAGAACAATCCTATCACTGGCATGTGAGGACTAGATGTTGGAGGAGCAAGACCCCATTCTTGACATTCCAGCAGCCAAGCGTCATGTAGTTCTATTTAAGGAATGCATTGTTCACCTTCCAACTATGAGAGATTTGAGCCTACAGCCTGGCTGAGGAGGGACTGGGCTGAGGACCAGGTAGAGGTCGTTTTAGTTGTTTTAAAGCATGAGGTAGTGGGATGTTTGCACAGCCAATGAAAACTACTGCAGGGGCTGCCAACAGGGATACAGCGCAGGATAGGAGCATGTGTACTGCATGTTCCTTTCAATGTTTCAGATTACAAAAGAGAAAGGTCTTTGATGTTTATACTGCAGCTTGTTTGTATTATCAATGACCTGCTCCAATAAAGCCCTCTACCTTCCTTTTCTACCTCTTCCCCTCCTCCCTTCCCATTTATTTCCCTCTACTCCCCTCTCCCTCCCTCCCTCCCTCCATACCAGGTTGGGGTAACTCCCATCTCTACTTGCCTTTTGATCCTCCTCTTTTGTCCAGGGTCCTTTCACCAGCTCTGGGTTGAGCACCTTCTGCCAGCGGTGCTGACACTGGCCATCTGTCCTCCCCTGTGACAGACAGACAGACAAAGCAGAGCACAACACCTCAGTAACACACAAACCCACCTGCAGCTGCAGCTGTCCCCCTATGAGTTATTATAGCTATTCACTCACCCTGGCTAATAACCCCTCCTCACACAACACCTGGGACTTATCTTATCACCTTTCTTATCCAGATAATGTACTGAGTGGACAAAACATTAAGAACGCCTTCCTAATATTGAGTTGCACCCCCGCCTTTTGCCCTCAGAACAGCCTCAATTTGTCAGGGCATGGACTCTACAAGATGTCGAAAGCGTTCCACAGGGATGCTGGTCCATGTCGACTCCAATGCTTCCCACAGTTGTGTCAAGTCGGCTAGATGTCCTTTGGGTGGTGGACCATTCTTGATACACACGGAAAATTATTGAGCGTGAAAAATCCAGCAGCATTGCAGTTCTTGACATAAACATGTGCGCCTGGCACCTACTACAGTACCCCGTTCAAAGGCACTTAAATATTTTGTCTTGCCCATTCACCTTCTGAATGTCACACATACACAATCCATGTCTCAATTGTATCCAGGCTTAAAAATCCTTCTTTAACCTGTCTCCTCCCCTTCATCTATATTGATTGAAGTGGATTTAACAAGTGACATCAATAAGGGATCATAGCTTTCACCTGGATAGTCTATGTCATGGAAAGAGCAGATGTTCTTAATGTTCTGTCCACTCAGTGTAGTTCTCATGTGCGTTACTGTGTTAGTGTGCGTATTACAGAAGGCTCTGTACTTTACTGGGAAATTTGTACCACTTACTGGGAAATTATTAGCTACTAATTTCCAGGAGTCTGTTCCATGCTGCTCCACTAACTTCTTCAGCCTCTCGTCCTGCATAGAGAAGAGAGAGAGAGACAGAGAGAGACAGAGAGAGACAGATAGAGACAGAGACAGAGACAGAGACAGAGACAGAGACAGAGACAGAGGGCATAGAGAGAGAGAGTAGAGAGAGAGACAGAGAGAAGGCATAGAGAGAGAGTAGAGAGACAGACAGAGAGAAGGCATAGAGAGAGAGTAGAGAGAGAGAGACAGAGAGGAGAGGGCAGAGAGAGAGAGTAGAGAGAGAGACAGAGAGAGAGACAGAGAGGAGAGGGCATAGAGAGAGAGAGAGAGAAGAGAGAGGGAGAAGAGAGAGAAGAGAGAGAGGAGGACGAGAGAGAGAGAGAGAGAGGAGAGGAGAGATAGAGCGAGGGAGATAGAGAGAGAGAAGAGAGAGCGAGAGGAGAGGGCACTAGAAGAGAGTAGAGAGGCGAGAGAGAGGCATAGAGAGAGGATAGAGAAGAGAGAGAGTAGAGAGAGAGAGAGACAGAGAGGAGAAGGCATAGAGAGAGAGTGTAGAGAGAGAGAGAGAGAGAGAGAGAGACAGAGATGAGAGGGCATAGAGAGAGAGAGTAGAGAGAGAGACAGAGAGAGCGAGAGTAGAGAGAGTAGAGAGAGACAGAGAGAGAGACAGTGAGGAGCCAACCTTACTGAGACACTCCCTGTATCTCCAGTGATTCAGAAAAGTAAACGCCCTACACACTTACCCTTAGTAGAGGGAACTATAGGGCTTCCTACATATCATGCAATACAATAGCAGCAGATTGCACCAGTCAATTAAATGATAAACCAACAGTGTTGAACAACACAGCACACATTTACACAACACGGGCAACAACAAAATATCTACTTTCACCCACCTCATCGCGAGACCATTTGACTTTGCACAGTATCTTCTTGTCTTTGCTCTTGTCCTTACCCTCAGGATCTGTGGAGTGTAGATCTTCATCCTCAGACTCACTAAAAACGAGAGAGACAGAGACAGAGACAGAGAGAGAGACAGAGAGAGAGACAGAGAGAGAGACAGAGAGAGAGAGAGAGAGAGAGAGGAAAGAGAGCGAGAGAGAGAAAATAGAGAGAGGGAGAGGAAAGAGAGAGCGAGAGAGAAAATAGAGAGAGGGAGAGGAAAGAGAGAGCGAGAGAGGTAGATGAACAAGAGAGAGGGAGGTAGAGGAACAAGAGAGAGGGAGGGGAGAGGGAAGAGAGAGGGAGGGGAGAGGGAAGAGAGAGGGGGTAGAGGGAGGGGAGAGAGGGCAGATAACTGTTCAGAAAAGTGATTACATAAAACTAAGCTTACTCATATCACTTCATTATAATCAAACATTACTAGTTTCACATTTCATTATAATCAATAATTAATCAACATAACTGACTCAGAACTAGTGACATCACTAAAACAGAAAAAGACAAACAGGAACAGTACATTATTCATGCCACAACTTACATTTACATTTTAGTCATTTAGCAGACGCTCTTATCCAGAGCGACTTACAGGTAGTGAGTGCATACATAAAAACAATTTATGTTTTTTTTTTTTTTCATACTGCCCCCCCGTGGGAAACAAACCCACAACCCTGCAAGCCATTCCCTCCCCTACCCTGGACGACGCTGGGCCAATTGTGCGCCGCCCCATGGGTCTCCCGGTCACGGCCGGCTACGACAGAGCCTGGATTCGAACCAGGATCTCTAGTGGCACAGCTAGCACTGCGATGCAGTGCCTTAGACCACTGCGCCACTCGGGAGACACAGTGTTGAGTCACATACAGCGCCAAACCACTGATAGCCCATTACAAATAACCGCCCAATTTAAAACTGAATCAGAGGTCAATGGATTGAGCAGGCACAGAGTAATTCATGGTGAAGCAGGATTGGCAGTAGTCTCAGTCTCAGTGCGTGGCGTGCAGCCGGAAACAGCGCAGAGATTCATATTAAACAGGACATTCCTGACCATAATTAGAGTAGCCTAGCCTCCCCTGTTCCACACTAGATCAGACATAATGATGCCTGGCTGTGGCAGTCTCTATGCCTAGGTGGTAAAAGGGTAAGAGCTAGACTTATTGGTTATAGTGAAACAACTGTTGCCCTTTTTGGGGCAAATCCACCTTCACAGAACTGTCCACTTTTTGCCTTGACTGTTGTTGTTGGGAATATAGTGCCAACTTAAAAACGTTTATCTCCAATCTATTAGATACTTGCTGCTTCTCAGAGACCAAAAGGCTGTAATACTAGACACAGATTGTCCTTCTCCAATGTCAAACTATTTTGTAATACTGGACACAGATTGTCCTTCTCCAACGTCAAACTCTTTTGTAATACTGGACACAGATTGTCCTTCTCCAATGTGAAAAACTCTGCCACCAGAGAGAGTAGTTGTGCACACTTATCTCTGTCCATAGAAATGTCTTGTTGCTGGGCAACACTTCCTTCATGGCGTCACGTTGTGCCAGGGGTAGAACGTCTAATAAACAAACAGGAAGGAGGCTGAGGACACCGGTTGCCCAGAGTAACCACGGAGCAAACCTAACCTATAAGTTCACACTGACACTGTTCTAACTGCTGAGAGCTACACCACAGCTGCCAACAGGTATACTGAGCTGTTGCCCTTATTGCATTCCAGATACTGTCAAATAAGAGTCTGAGGTTGGGCAATACCACAGAAACATACTATGGGCCTATATGTACTCTAATTGTACAGTAAGGTTAAGCTACCCAAGGTCAGCCACAGCCCCATACAATCTGGAGTCCTTCAGTAGCCTTTGTAGCATTAACATGCCTCTCTAACGTTGAAAAATAAGTAATATCATATCTGTTTATTGCATTTCTATGCAATATTCAGCACAATGCAATCGTCCTGGTTGGGATTAACTGTCGGGTGGATTTACAGCACTCCTTTTCTTCCCTAAAAAAGGTCAAAGTATGAACTTCCTAAATATGGCACGGGCCAGCACAGCACATGTACACACAAATATTCTAACACACACACACACACTGTGGCGGGTAGAACAAGGCCTCCCACAGGTTTTCAGTACTGGCCTGTGATGAAAGGGCTTCTTCAGTGGTGACTGGGACATGCCAATAACATTTCAGCATAATTCCCTCACTACAGGAAAGAGCGAGGTGGAAGTGGCCGGGTGTGTGCTCCCACATCAACAGGCTCTTTGTCGTATATAGGTGTGTGTGTGAGCGTGTGTGTGTGTGAGTGTGTGTCGTTGGCTACGTGGAGGCAGGTCTGGGTGTGGCTAAACTAATAGGTCAGCCCTAACGGTCCAGGCTGAATTAAACTGGATTTTCAAAATCGACTCGGGATTGATATGATTTCTTATATAGAACTTGGCCAAGGTGCCTGAGCGAGCCTGCACTGTTTGAGGCTCACTTTCCCTCACACACGTTCTTCGTTTGTAGGGGTCAGATCATCTTAATCGCAGTCTAATACCTCTGTAATTAATATGTATAATGTTGGCGAAGGCACAAAAATATATATTTTCTAAATCAAACTGAACCTAACATGTCATCCTCTTCATATGCTTTTTCAATGCCTCATTTAGCATGTGAATAAAATATAAAACTGCAATACTGTCTTTGTTGATGTGTTTCCACACCTTACTTCAATTCAAACTTGAACTTGCATGTGAAATGTAAAGCAGAGAGAGGCAGAGAGGACCATCCTCCCCCACCCTGGCCCTCCCCTTTCACCCCCAGATGGGGCACACCGAAGGGGTAGGGGGTAGAGGGACACACACGAGCCACTGAGCTGTTCATTCAGACAGAAATTACGTAATTGTCATGTTTGTGTGTTTAAGGGCAGTGAGCAGGCTCCAATCAGCCTATAAATCAATAGTTAATTCAGCCAATCACAGGCACAAACTCTCTCTGACCTTACCCCAGAGAGAAAATATTTCCATCAATGAATACATTAGCGCTCTGTCTATTTAATAACCAATGCATTAGCATTAACATAGGTAATTCATAGAAAATTCTGATTTGTGAAAACAATAGATGCCTAGTCTACAGTGGTAGCCTGCTCTGTTTACCATATTTTGGGACTCTCTGGGACTTTTTGTTATAGGGGATTTCCCCACCATGTACCCACACAAGGAGGTAGAATGGTGTACAAAAATAATCACACTATGTTGACTAATACATTTGTATGTTGGATTTAGACTACAGCATCAAAAACGTTTTGTTTTTCTAAATACACACACCTATATGAATTCCCTTTGTCCTAAAACAATCATGTCCATTCCAAAATAAGAGAGGGCTGGGCCATCTTATCAACAACAACAAAAAATTGTACCCTGGGATGAAAATAGCAAGAGTTGTACCTGTTCAATAATAGTCATACTGATGCTACAAAGCTATGTTTTCTTTTCGGGGCTAGATGTCAATGAATGGTGTTGAATTGACCAGCAAAATAGGCTACAATACCGACCAAATCACTTACATAACCCACACAACAACTCAAATCTTTTTTTTTTTTAAATCAAAGGTATCATTAGCAATTTAGGAAATAGCCTAACTTACTACAAAATAAGCAACTGTACTGGGTATCAAGCTCTTGACACATTTTGGTTATTCATAGGTCGGTGAGCGGCCTTGACAGGAAATAATCAGGGAGACATTTTTTGTGCCACATGTATCCTTGACTGTTATATAATCATGCATTTTTCACATATATCCAGCCAAATAACGTATTAATGAAATGACAATTATTTGAATTAACCTTTATAGGCATAACTAGGCTGTAATTTACTGTAGCCTACTCTATTTAAATATCCTAAATAACACGCTACAATGTGACCGTGAGCAGGTGTTCGTGATGTGTCAAAATCAACGTCACATCTGGCTTAAGATAATGCCATGCAAGAGCAGGGGTCCAGAGTGAGTTTCCTTAATGTAACTATTCTGTTGCAACAATCATTTTTGTATCATAACTGAAACAATAAAAATGTAGCTAGTAAGTAGCCTAATGAATGGCAACTTTAGTAACAATGTATCACCCACCTGAGCGATTTTATGTCGGCCATATTGACAGCTGATCAACGCTTTTCAAAGAATGAATCCTCTATTTGTAGTTGGCCTAAAATCCATATAGAAAGCGAATTAGGTGATCTCTATGGACAGTTATCCATACCACTCGATGTCTGTAATCTTCCAGTTTATTGTCGGACAGTAAAATAAAGTACTACACGTTTGCTGGCTAGCGCTTAGCGGTTCACTTCCATGTCAAACTCGTTCTCGCTGTAGGAAATGTGTGCAATCGTAAATAAAAACGAGTCTGCTTATCTTTTGCATGTCACCACGATGCATGCAATGTCAGAATCCGATCGAATAGGATGTGAACATATTTATCTAGCTGTAACCCGCCTTGTAGCCTACACACTGTTCTCCCTCCCACTGTTTACTGCACTTCTATTTTGTTATTTTCTCATTCTGATTTTTGTCCATCCCGCCGAATCTCGCGCCCAGCCTCCTTCTAGAAGAGTCGTTAAATCTGCGCAGGCGGCTTCGCACCTGATTGGTCAGAATCGGGGGAGCGCTCCAAAAAGTGCCTGTTGCTTTGAGCGCAAATGAACATGGTGATATTAATACAACAGTATTGTCACCACATAGGATTCATTGTGTCATTACAATCATCCGGAGGATGGTGACAAAATCCACATAATTTAAAAAATATATATTATTTTATATTTTTTGTCCGTTGATTCTACAATCATCACACAATGCTGTTGTCAAACCGAGCCGATTATGGAAGTTTTTATAACAAAACAATTGAACAATAACAACATTCAAGTTATGTTTAATGCAGAACAAAACAGTATGCCTTCTGTAGTAGTATTAACAGATCCTGGCACAGTGTACATACACCGTATGACATCAGCCGTGGAATGACAGCTCTATTTCAAACGGCGTTCTGCTGCCCCCTTGTGTACAAATACTTTATGACATTACGTAATCTGAATACTGTAAACCTACACGTACAGTGCATTCGGAAAGTATTCAGACCCCTTCACTTTTTCCACATTTTGTTCCGTTACAGTCTTATACTAAAATTGATTCAATAATTTTTTTCCTTCATCAATCTCAATACTCCATAATGGCAAAGCGAAAACGTTTTTTTTTTTTTACTTTTGCACATTTAAAAAAAATAAAAAAACAGAAATACCTTATTTACATTAGTATTCAGACCCTTTGCTATGATACTCGAAATTGAGCTCAGGTGCATCCTGTTTCTATTGATCATCGTTGAGCTGTTTCTACAACTTGATTGGAGTCCACCTGTGGTAAATTAAATTGATTAGACATGATTTGGAAAGGCACACAGCTGTCAATATAAGGTCCCACAGTTGACAGTGCATGTCAGAGCAAAAAACCAAGCCATGAGGTTGAAGGAATTGTCCGTAGAGCTCTGAGACAGGATTGTGTCGAGGCACAGATCTGGGGAAGGGTACCAAAACATTTCTGCAGCATTGAAGGTCCCCAAGAACACAGTGGCCTCCATCATTCTTAAATGGAAGAAGATTGGAACCACCAAGATTCTTCCTAGAGCTGGCCGCCCGGCCAAACTGAGCAATCGGGGGAGAAGGGCCTTGGACAAGGAGGTGACCAAGAACCCAATGGTCACTCTGACAGAGCTCCAGAATTCCTCTGTCGAGATCAGAGATCCTTCCAGAAGGACAACCTTCCAGAAGGACAACCATCTCTGCAGCACTCCACCAATCAGGTCTTTATGGTAGAGTGGCCAGACGGAAGCCACTCCTCAGTAAAAGGCACATGACAGCCCGCTTGGAGTTTGCCAAAAGGCACCTAAAGGACTCTCAGACCATGAGAAACAAGATTCTCTGGTCTGATGAAACCAAGATTGAACTCTTTGGCCTGATTGCCAAGCGTCATGTCTGGAGGAAACCAGGCACCGCTCATCACCTGGCCAATGCCATCCCTACGGTGGAGCGTGGTGGTGGCAGCATCATGCTGTGGGGATGTTTTCAGCGGCAGGGACTGGGAGACTAGTCAGTATTGAGGGAAAGATGAATGGAGCAAAGTACAGAGAGATCCTTGATGAAAACCTGCTCCAGAGCGCTCAAGACCTCAGACTGGGGTGACGGTTCACCTTCCAACAGGACAACGACCCTAAGCGCACAGCCAAGAAAATGCAGGAGTGGCTTCGGGACAAGTCTCTGAATGTCCTTGAGTGGCCCAGCCAGAGCCCGGACTTGAACCCGATCGAACATCTCTGGAGAGACCTGAAAATAGCTGTGTAGTCCCCATCCAACCTGACAGAGCTTTAGAGGATCTGCAGAGAAGAATGGGAGAAACTCCCCAAATACAGATGTGCCAAGCTTGTAGCGTCATACCCAAGAAGATTATAGGCTGTAATCGCTGCCAAAGGTGCTTCAAGAAAGTACTGAGTAAAGGGTCTGAATACTTATGTGAATGTTATATTTCAGTTTGTTATGGGGTATTGTGTGTAGATTGATGAGGGGGGGGCAGTTTAACCCATTTTAGAATAAGGCTGTAACGTAACAAAATGTGGAAAAGGTGAAGGGGTCTGAATACTTTCCCGAATTCACTATATGTTGGATCTAGTTTAAAAGTGTATATACCAATTTCTTAAGCCCTGTGTATAACTAACTAATTTATTACAATACAAATGCCTACTTTGGTTGAGCTTTATCTCAATAGATTTCCACCCATAGGCTTAAATAGAAAGGCCACTATTATGGCCATGGGAACACCTGAGTCCGCCAGCCAGTATGACTGTAGTTACATGGAAAGAAGTGTGGTATGTTTCATCATGAACATTCATTCATAAAGCAGTAGAGGAAATATCTGACAGATTAGTCAACATTTCCTGAAGAGTGGGGCAGGGCCCTGTATAGTTCCTTGGCAGACGTCCACTTTCCTGGAGCACTTTAATGTTGACCTCAAGGTACCGCTGCAGTTTGCTGGACTGCTCTCTTCCTGTCACCAAGCCTCCTGTTAGGGAGAGGTCAACATTCACAGTTATGATGATATAAGTACTGCCAAGCATGTAGAGACAGTTTCAAGTATGGAAGGGACACCTGCTAGATAGGACTTGGACATCCATTTGCTCTAACTATCAAATAATAGAATTACAGAATATAACATAACAGACTAGACCATAACATAATATAATATATTACAGAATATAACATAACAGACTAGACCAGAATATAATATATTTAGAATATAATACAATTTAATAGAAATACAGTAGAATAGAACAAAAGTTACAAGAAATTAACAAACAGGCAGAAAGACCTTTAATAGCCATTAAAGATGACGCTCTACATTCAGGCAGTGGGCTGTTGATCTTGTGTCAACGACACACAGGGACACTACTAATTTCACATGGAACAACGTGGTTTAGGTTGTGGCCTTGCTCACGTTCCACCGCTAGGGGGGGGTACTGTTTGCTAATGTTTCCACCCCTCTTGAAGTGTGGTCCCGTCCCGTGACTAATTTCATTTGAACTTGCAGCACGAACGTCTTGATGTTTCCTGTTTCGAGCTACCACTTCACTGAAGCTCCGAGTGGATGGTAGAAAGTACAGGCTTTACCTTTGAGTACGTTTCCCCCTAAATAGTTGAGTCAAACTCACCGGATCTTGTCCTCGTTTTTTACTGACACATTCCTTTGCCTTCAGCGCGACACGTCATTGGAGTTAGTCGGAGGTATGTTTACGCGTATATTTTTCTGTACTTTTGTCGTACAGGATGTGTTTTCAACTCACCGCTTATCATTGCCTTCAATATCTTTGTGCCATCTACAGCCCTAAAACTGTTAAATGGTGTCATTACGTAACTTTTTCTTCAGTTAGAACTGTCTGTTCCGTAACTGAAAGTAACGGCAACTTCCAGGACCCGGTTTCCAAAAAGCATCGTTATGCTAAGTTCTTGAGATGCTTTTGGGAAAACGAGCCCAGCTCTGTCTGTCTTTAGCTAAAGTTTTTCTACTAACAAACTCATTTTTGTTATTATCCTGGTGCATAAATTACGCTGTTTCTGTTGCAAACAGTTTCGTGAACGAAACGGGGAGGGACCTACCAAAACTCTGCAACTGTTTGGACTAATGAGTACACCCCTGTTCTTTCCTATCTGTCTGTCTGTTCATGGAACATCCTCATGTTTGAGTTAACTTACTTTCCACGGCAAATTAGTCAATGTGAAGACATCTGGGTGAACTTTCCCACTTGTGTAATTTTAAGTCAGTGTTCCCTGTTGAGAGTGAGACTTCAGTCTTGTTATGATGGGACTGTATGTCTAGATACAGTAGTACATTAACTGTAGGCTAAAATGTAACAGCTAGGTCGGCTATAGCAGGAATGTGCAATTCATGCATTTACTGGGCTGTGTCTAATGTCTGTGGTTTAGCAACTGGACTGTCTAATTCTCTCAATGCAGCCATAGTTATACTAACAGCTTTTGTCTTACCAGTTTTACCATTGGGCTATAATGGCTTATTTCCCCTCAAAGTTATAAAAACAAGTTGCTTTTCTCAACTGTAACAAAACAAACAGTTTTCCCTGGTGGTGTTGTATCTCCCTGGTCTATGTGAAACAAGAAAACCAACCAACCATAACAGTAAGCTTCAGTAAGCTACAACATTACATTGAATGGGGGTGGCTCATGCAGGAAACACACCCTAAAATAACTGGTGTGTGGTAGATCCACCAGTCTCAATCCACCAATGTCGGTTATAGATTTTCAGAGACATTCTTAATTCAACTTTTCGGCCTATTTGCATATTTAAATTCTCCAGCGTTCAAATAGTTTTACTCATCAAGTTCTGTTCTGTTAGTTTTCAGTGGTGCTGTTTACAGCCATAATTCCCAATCCTGAGAAGTAGAGCTGTAGGAGACATAATGTGAGTGTGTCTGTGTGTATTATGGTATTTGGTTCATCCGCCGGCTGTGACCAGCCAGCCAGTGTTTGTTAACGGTGGAGGACTGAGGCGTCTGGACTGCTGGTTAGGCATTAGTCTGATTAATAAGGCTGTAATACACAATTCATTGGTATATACAGCCTGAAACTAATGCCTGCAAAATTGTGTAAATGTTCCCTACAAGCCAGAATGTTGAATAAAATGACATTTAAACTTAATCGACAGGTTGTCTGTGTGGTTTGTCCTTCAGCTGCTTGAAATTTGAGACTAAATATCCATAGGAAAGTATTTGTTTACCCAACTTTTTAGAGAGGGTTTTGGTCGCCCCAGGTAAAGTTAGTTTTATATTGGATATTCGGTTAACTTTACCTCCTGCATGAGCCACCCTCCCATTCAATGTAATGTTGTAGCTTACTGAAGCTTACTGTTATGGTTGGTTGATTTTTTTTCCAGATAGACCAGGGATCCTAGATGGCAAACAGGAAATACAATACCAGTTTAAATGTAATTTTATTCAACATTCTGGCTTGTAGGGAACATTTACACGATTTTGCAGGCATTCGTTTCAGGCTGTATATACCAATGAATTGTGTATTACAGCCTGATTATTCAGACTAGTTAGGCACATGCTAGGCTAGTCTCACACTTCCCTTTTTTAGAGAGAAACCTTTGTCATGATCAATTCCTTCCAGGGAGGATGTTTGTCTATTGTAGGCCTGTAGCTCAGTTGGTAGAGCATGGCGCTTGCAACGCCAGGGTTGTGGGTTCGATTCCCACGGGGGGCCAGTATGAAAAATGTATGCACTCACTAACTGTAAGTCGCTCTGGATAAGAGCGTCTGCTAAATGACTAAAATTTAAATGTAGTGTCTCTGTGCTAATTTATAGCCCACAGGCTAACAGTAGACAGCCCTTTAGAAATAATCCATACTGTTGCATAACAAATAGCCTAGATCTCTCACCAATTAAGCAACACATAGGCCTGTCTGTAAAAAATACTATGGATAAAGCTCAGTAAAGCCAAGTGCCTATTTCCATGGCTATCCTTTCATACCAGCAGAGAAGAGGACACCCCTGTTTAGGTAGGCTATGTTCCCCAATGCCTACAGCAGTTTACTGACTGGGTTCATGTCACGCCTGGTTGCTCTTTCACTTCTGTTTAGGAAGAATTTCCTGACCTTGAGGTCTAACTGCTGACAAGACACAGCGTGCTGCTGAGACTCTCCTACAAATGATGCTGTTCAGATCGTTCAACATCCAGAGGATGTCCAGAAGGCAAGGATGTGTGTGTTTGAACAAACCAGGAAGAGGAATGGCTATTTCTGATAGTAACATATTTGAGCTTGTCAGCACAAGTTAATTCAAGCTCAGTGTTGTAACTAAGCGTACAACATCTGGTGATCGGCAGTGAATGTTTTTGTTGTCGAATGTGAGGATTCATTTTCTGTTTGATGTATTTATTTAGTGACCTAAACCCCCTGAACCCAAATTTGGGCTAAAGTCTACTTTCCCCTTATGTGATTGTTCATGTATATCACTGTAATCTTGTGATATGGGTTTGAGGTTGCGGATTCATCAGGAATTTATATTCTGCATTCCAAATGAAGGAATATGCTATAGATTAGACTGCTCGTAGTTTATTTATCTTTTGAACAAAAGTATTTCTGGAATGTTCAAAAGCAGATTCTGCCTCGTGACCCGCAGTCATTTTGCCAGGCTTGCATTGATCTGAATTTGAACTGAGTTTGGAACTGAAGATCCCTGCATTTGTGCATTCCAAGAGGCTTTCTCCCTCGATGTCTTTACTACTACGTGAGTTGAATTAGATCTCTCGACCCGGGACATTCAGTACAGTTAAAATAACTCTACCAGCATGTTCTAGCCTACACCGAGCACAGAATGCCAGGGTCTGAAAGAAACTACTTAACATGCTAGCTGACCTCACTCTGAAACAAAGGTCGAGTCACAGCGTCACGCCACCAAACAAAGAGCTTTGTTGCTAACAAGAAAACAGACATGACGTAATCAGCATATAAACGTTAACCAATTTGAACATGTAGAAAATACATTTGATTTGAGGTTGCATTTGTGATTTCTCCATATCGTTTCAAGGCTTCATTAGGCTATGATTGAGACTGATTAAATTCTGCTTTCTCAATAAGGTCTTCAAGGTGATTTCCATATAGGCTACTACTACCTCTGTAGTGAGTGGTCTCTACAATGGCCCCTCTTCCTGTCTTGGTGGTCCCACTAGGCAGCTTCCTAAAGGTCTCCTACTAGCCTGTGTGCCTCAAACTTCAAAGACCCTGCGGAAGGTTATCTATAAATACCTCCAGCCCTCCACACTCTGACAGGAGCCAGCGAGAATGTCACAGACCCAGCATGTGTGTGGCGCGTGAGGGAGTGTGTGAGCTGTATGTGAGAAGAAGAGGAGAGGGAGGTCATGCAGCTCTGGGTCTGTCTATTGGGAGAGATGGAGAGAAGGGGTGATGAGAGGATGGGGGAGGAAGGGATTGTAGGCGATGTGAGGAGGAAAAGGAGGAGAGAAGGAGAGGTGGATAGTAGTGAAAATAGGGAGGTGAGATGAGATGGAGTGAGGTGGTGGATAATAATAATAATATGCCATTTAACAGACGCTTTTATCCAAAGCGACTTAGTCATGTGTGCATACATTTTTACGTATGGGTGGTCCCGGGGATCGAACCCACTACCCTGGCGTTACAAGCGCCATGCTCTACCAATTGAACTACAGAGGACCACAATAGTGAATAGTGAGGTATGAGGGAAAGAATTGAACAGGTCAGAGTGGCCGTATAGGCCAAGTGGAAAGTGAGAGACATGGAGAGACTAAAGGTGGGTGTAGCAGGGGGAGGCCCAGCAGGGTAGCCTAATGTCTGTCCGCCCAGGATGAGATGAGCCTGCTGTTGATGTTGCTGCTCACTGACCCCGGTGTGGTTTCTCCTCTGTCACGCTAGCAGCTAGAACCAACAACTCCCTCCACAACTGCTGAGGATCCATTTGACAGTGCTCTGCAATCAGCTCCACACAGGATCAATGTGTGGGGGCTAAGCTTGGTGTTTATTCAGGTTGTTGAAATGTTAAGAGGGTTGTAAGGTAGAAATGTAACATGATAGAGCAGGTATGCTCATTCTCTTATATGGAATGGAGAGCAGTATCCTTTCGATAGAGTACATTTCTATCTATAATCAACTCGCTCTCATCTCTTGTCCACAGCAGTGAACCAGGAGGGGGATGGTCCAGTCGTCCACGTGAGCTCTGTCAAGGACCGGACGCTGTGGAGGAGTGCTGAGGGGCTTGACCTCTGACCTAAGCTGTGACCTGTTAACCCTTAAACCTCTGAACTCTGACCGCTCCAGCTCAGGATGGAGGAGCAGTCCAGCTGCCCCAATGTCAGCATTCCCTGCTACAACGAGCAGAGGGACAAGAAGAAGCGCTACACTGTGAGTAATGGGTATAGTACACACATTGTCTCACAGCAAAAACTTTAACTTTTTCAAACTCAATTTTCTTGTCTCCTTGTTTTAGTCAATTACAAAACTTAATTTAAGAAAAGTACAAAATGTCTAAAGATTACTTTTCAACATTGCCTGCTCCCGAGCTTTCTCATTACTTAGAAAAATGTAATATTGTAGGGCTTCCCTCATGTCCCTTTTCATGAAGGCGCTAGCAGCCATGTGAGTGCTAGCTAGCTAATGACCGGAACACTAAGCTAGCCAAGATCAACACAAACAGACTATACAGCTACAATAGTGAGTGGAGTTACAAATGGACTATACTAAACAAGTTAAATGTCTGACCTGTGATTAAATGTTTTCCACACACATAGCTACAGTAGGGAGAACAAGTATTTGATACACTGCCGATTTTGCAGGTTTTCCTACTTACAAAGCATGTAGAGGTTTGTAATTTTTATCATAGGTACACTTCAACTGTGAGAGACGGAATCTAAAACAAAAATCCAGAAAATCACATTGTATAATTTTTAGGTAATTAATTTGCATTTTATTGCATGACATAAGTATTTGATACATCAGAAAAGCAGAACTTAATATTTGGTACAGAAACCTTTGTTTGCAATTACAGAGATCATACGTTTCCTGTAGGTCTTGACCAGGTTTGCACACACTGCAGCAGGGATTCTGGCCCACTCCTCCATACAGACTTTCTCCAGATCTTTCAGGTTTCGGGGCTGTTGCTGGGCAATACGGACTTTCAGCTCCCTCCAAAGATTTTCTATTGGGTTCAGGTCTGGAGACTGGCTAGGCCACTCCAGGACCTTGAGATGCTTCTTACGGAGACACTCCTTAGTTGCCCTGGCTGTGTGTTTCGGGTCGTTGTCATGCTGGAAGACCCAGCCACGACCCATCTTCAATGCTCTTACTGAAGGAAGGAGGTTGTTGGCCAAGATCTCGCGATACATGGCCCCATCCATCCTCCCCTCAATACGGTGCAGTCGTCCTGTCCCCTTTGCAGAAAAGCATCCCTAAAGAATGATGTTTCCACCTCCATGCTTCACGGTTGGGATGGTGTTCTTGGGGTTGTACTCATCCTTCTTCTTCCTCCAAACACGGCGAGTGGAGTTTAGACCAAAAAGCTATATTTTTGTCTCATCAGACCACATGACCTTCTCCCATTCCTCCTCTGGATCATCCAGATGGTCATTGGCAAACTTCAGACGGGCCTGGACATGCGCTGGCTTGAGCAGGGGGACCTTGCGTGCGCTGCAGGATTTTAATCCATGACAGCGTAGTGTGTTACTAATGGTTTTCTTTGAGACTGTGGTCCCAGCTCTCTTCAGGTCATTGACCAGGTCCTGCAGTGTAGTTCTGGACTGATCCCTCACCTTCCTCATGATCATTGATGCCCCACGAGGTGAGATCTTGCATGGAGCCCCAGACCGAGGGTGATTAACCGTAATCTTGAACTTCTTCCATTTTCTAATAATTGCGCCAACAGTTGTTGCCTTCTCACCAAGCTGCTTGCCTATTGTTCTGTAACCCATCCCAGCCTTGTGCAGGTCTACAATTGTATCCATGATGTCCTTACACAGCTCTCTGGTCTTGGCCATTGTGGAGAGGTTGGAGTCTGTTTGATTGAGTGTGTGTACAGGTGTCTTTTATACAGGTAATGAGTTCAAACAGGTGCAGTTAATACAGGTAATGAGTGGAGAACAGGAGGGCTTCTTAAATTAAAACTAACAGGTCTGTGAGAGCCGGAATTCTTACTGGTTGGTAGGTGATCAAATACTTATGTCATGCAATAAAATGCAAATTAATTATTTAAAAATCATACAATGTGATTTTCTGGATTTTTGTTTTAGATTCCGTCTCTCACAGTTGAAGTGTACCTATGATAAAAAATTACAGACCTCTACATGCTTTGTAAGTAGGAAAACCTGCAAAATCGGCAGTGTATCAAATACTTGTTCTCCCCACTGTATGTGTAGCCTACTTGGACACTGGGTCCCCACAATTTTCCACTCTCCCACGCCGAATAGCCTGAAGCCACAGGGCTCTTCTCGCAGGCTTCATTTCCCTACGTGGGAGCATTGGGAACCGTAGGTCGGAATTTGTTTTTCCCAATTTGTGGGCGTGGTTGAGGGGAGTTCCTTCTTATGACGCAAGTTTTAAGCCTGTCGCATGCTTCCTAGTCGAAACAGTTCGCGCATATTTTCGGACAAATTTGTGAAATTGTTGGTGTTGAGGCAAGTTGAAGTTCGGTAGCCGACGTCTACGCCCCTTCGTTGGTGAACAGTACTACTCATAGTAGGAGTGGGAACTATGGACGGGATTCTTTAATGAAGTTTGTTGTCATTCAACGAGAGTCGACTATACACATTTTCAGTTGAGAAAACTGCACCAAACATCTTAGTTAGATGTAAAATTGTGTGACTAAGACCTCTTCTGCAAAGATTTCTTGATTTATCTTAGATTCATTCTGACTATTTTGTTGCTACGTTGTTTCAAGAGGGACAAACAGTAATATTGCTGCTTTTTTTTCTCGTTTTTTAAACGGAAGGTCTTTTAAGGGAGTATACGAGGCACAGACGTTCACTTCGCCTAGCCGAGTTCTGCTAGGAGCAAACCCAACCTAGTATGGGGACGCCTTTTAGTGTTGTGGCAACAGCTGTTCAACAGGCTGTATTGCAGACTGCATTATTACAGTATCATTAGAAAGTAGGGAATCATGTCTTTTGTCTAGGTCTATACTCAAATGTGTTTTCCCCCCACATTTGTCCAGGTTTACAAAGTGATGGTCAATGTAGGAAGACATGAGTGGTTTGTCTTCAGGCGATACGCAGAATTTGACAAGCTCTACAACACAGTAAGTGGAAGTGTTACTGTGTTTTAAATACATGTTGTAATAAGACTGCAGGCTTCCTTTCTTACTAAACCTTTTCGTCAGATATCAGCTGGCTAAACTGGGCCAAGCTCGGTTTTTATGAAAACAGAATCCCTTATCTTATCAGAAGTTTTAACTTTGAAGGTCGTAGCTTTTTTTGAGACTCGAGGAGGTGAAAGCTGTGGAGCTGATGGCGTAAGACGTGTTAATGACATTTCACACATGTTATATCACACACTGTATTTAGACTACTGTGGATTTGTGTGTAGTTGACATTTAGAAAATGAGGTAATTAAACTCTCATGATTGGGGTAGAGATGGAGAGGCGTTTTTGTCCCCATTCTTATCTTTGATATAATCTGATTTGTCTCTTTTCTTTTTATGCAGTTGAGGAAACAGTTTCCATCTTTGAACTTGAAAATCCCAGCCAAGAGAATATTTGGGGACAACTTTGACCCAGGTACCATATTGATTAATCTATCGTTGTCTGGTAAAAGTACAGTACACTACCTGTAACAGTACTAGTGTTTTTAGTAGATCAGAATTCATGTCCCTCTGTTCTCCACTGTACTTCAGCCCAGTAATTTGTATGTACATATATACAGTGAGGGGAAAAAAGTATTTGATCCCCTGTTGATTTTGTACGTTTGCCCACCGACAAAGACATGATCAGTCTATAATTTTAATGGTAGGTTTATTTGAACAGTGAGAGACAGAATAACAACAACAAAATCCAGAAAAACGCATGTCAAAAATGTTATGAATTGATTTGCATTTTAATGAGGGAAATAAGTATTTGACCCCTCTGCAAAACATGACTTAGTACTTGGTGGCAAAACCCTTGTTGGCAATCACAGAGGTCAGACGTTTCTTGTAGTTGGCCACCAGGTTTGCACACATCTCAGGAGGGATTTTGTCCCACTCCTCTTTGCAGATCTTCTCCAAGTCATTAAGGTTTCAAGGCTGACGTTTGGCAACTCGAACCTTCAGCTCCCTCCACAGATTTTCTATGGGATTAAGGTCTGGAGACTGGCTAGGCCCCTCCAGGACCTTAATTTGCTTCTTCTTGAGCCACTCCTTTGTTGCCTTGGCCGTGTGTTTTGGGTCATTGTCATGCTGGAATACCCATCCACGACCCATTTTCAATGCCCTGGCTGAGGGAAGGAGGTTCTCATCCAAGATTTGACGGTGCATGGCCCCGTCCATCGTCCCTTTGATGCGGTGAAGTTGTCCTGTCCCCTTAGCAGAAAAACACCCCCAAAGCATAATGTTTCCACCTCCATGTTTGACTGTGGGGATGGTGTTCTTGGGGTCATAGGCAGCATTCCTCCTCCTCCAAACACAGCGAGTTGAGTTGATGCCAAAGAGCTCGATTTTGGTCTCATCTGACCACAACACTTTCACCCAGTTCTCCTCTGAATCATTCAGATGTTCTTTGGCAAACTTCAGACGGGCCTGTATATGTGCTTTCTTGAGCAGGGGGACCTTGCGGGCGCTGCAGGATTTTAGTCCTTCACGGCGTAGTGTGTTACCAATTGTTTTCTTGGTGACTATGGTCCCAGCTGCCTTGAGATCATTGGACAAGATCCTCCCGTGTAGTTCTGGGCTGATTCCTCACCGTTCTCATGATCATTGCAACTCCACGAGGTGAGATCTTGCATGGAGCCCCAGGCTGAGGGAGATTGACAGTTATTTTGTGTTTCTTCCATTTGCGAATAATGGTCTTGTAGCCCATTCCAGCCTTGTGTAGGTCTACAATCTTGTCCCTGACATCCTTGGAGAGCTCTTTGGTCTTGGCCATGGTGGAGAGTTTGGAATCTGATTGATTGATTGCTTCTGTGGACAGGTGTCTTTTTATACAGGTAACAAGCTGAGATTAGGAGCACTCCCTTTAAAAGTGTGCTCCTAATCTCAGCTCGTTACCTGTATAAAAGACACCTGGGAGCCAGAAATCTTTCTGATTGAGAGGGGGTCAAATACTTATTTCCCTCATTAAAATGCAAATCAATATATAACATTTTTGACATGCGTTTTTCTGGATCTTTTTGTTGTTATTCTGTCTCTCACTGTTCAAATAAACCTACCATTAAAATTATAGACTGATCATTTCTTTGTCAGTGGGCAAACGTACAAAATCAGCAGGGGATCAAATACTTTTTTCCCTCACTGTACATATGACAAACTGGATTATGGATGGTATGAAACTAGAGCAGAACAACTAAGTGATTTTGCATCATATTTGCTTGTGTGCTTCCATTTCCATTGTCTTTCATTTGTGAATACAGGGTCAATATTAAATATACGATTTATATTTCCATTTCTTTTATTAGAGTTTATCAAGCAAAGAAGAACAGGTTTACATGAGTTCATTCAGAGACTGGTCTCACATCCTCAGCTCAGCAACCAGTAAGTATTCTACAACTGACTTTATGGTACATTTATTTTTAGAAAATAGCCAGATTATTGCGCTGTACTCAGATAGTTTGACAAATCGATCTGTATCCCTTTATGCAAGTGTGAAGCCCCTTATACAAGTAGGAAGTTACCCCTAGAAACTGATCCAAGGTCAGTTTTGTTTTTTCTCCCCTAATGGGTATGGTTAGGATCTAGGGATGATAAGATGATCCTAGATCTGTGACAAAGGGAGCATATGTAACCCTGTTTTATGGCGGTATCTCCTGATCCAGTTATATTTAACATGGAGTCTAAAAGCAGTGCAACTCTAACAGCAGTGCCTTTGTCTGTCAAACCCCTAACATGTGACCTCTCTCGCCAACTATCTGATAGGCCTGATGTCAGAGCATTCCTGCAGATGGACAAATCTCAAAACTTCTCAGACGCATCAGAAGACGAAGATGACAAGGTAGGTGATGACAGACAGTATGATGTCTGAGGGAAGGAGATATGACTGTTTCATAGATTGAGCGGTCATGTCTTTCAACTGAAGAAATGTCACATATTTCCTAGAGGTTGCGTTGAATAACATCTCTGCTCTGATACAGCACAAATAAATACTTGGAAGTATTGAATATTCTATTTTCAATGTGTGATCATTGATTGCATTATACAACAGTAATAATGCAGCAGATGCATGTTTTGCATTATCAGCATTGTCATTCTGTATAGTATGTGTGGTTCAAACCCCTTGAGACTTCCTGGTAGAATAAAGGTTTAGATCCTATGGCCTCACTTTTTAACCTGCATTAAACCTGTGTTTTTAACTTAGATAATCTGTTCTCTCTCTGGTTTACAGAACAGCTCTACCTCCAGAAATATTAACCTGGGATCGTCTGGAAATCCACAGTAGGTTACATACACAGTCTTGCGTTGAATTGAGGCCTGCAGATATTTCTGTTTTACCTGTGTAAATTTGTGTGCTTTCTGGATGTCTTTTTCTTCTAAGTAACCTTTGCAGGCCTTGTCATAGCCATTCATTTGTTCTAAAAATATATTTCTAGACACTTTCACTTATTTTTTTTGCCAACCTTTTTTGTTTTCCACATTTCAGTGCAAAGCCCACAGACTTTGACTTTCTTAAAGTCATCGGAAAGGGGAGCTTTGGAAAGGTATGTGATTATGTATAAAACAGTATATGTACGTTACGTAGGGTTGCAAAATTCCGGGAACTTTCAATACATTTCCTGGTTTTCCAGAAATCCTAGTTGGAGGATTCTGGAATTCCTGCTTATTCCCTCCTGATTCCGGAATCCTCCAACTGGGATTTCAGAAAAACCAAGGAATTTATTGAAAGTTTTGCAACCCTAATATTACAGCCCTTTTGAATGTCTTGGGCACACTTGTCAAGCTCACTCCACAGAGGGCCGAGTGTCTGCGGGTTTTCGCTCCTCCCTTGGACTTGATTGATGAATTAAGGTCACTAATTAGTAAGGAACTCTCCTCACCTGGTTGTCTAGGTCTTAGGAAAAACCAAAAACCAGCAGACACTAGACCCTCCATGGAATGAGTTTGACACCCCTGGTCTTGGGTCTTGAAGTAGGTCACTCAAAAGAGAAACTCATAGCAACACAAACAATGAATATTGAAACAATCAGGTATTTAGTTTAGTCTTTCCAGTGTGGTAACAAAAACAGTTTTACTACTTTGTCTATTATTAGATACCCTTTCTATTTGGGAAGTGATAGTCTTACAGTTCTGGATTTTCACTGCCTCATTGTTGGTACTGTATTGTCCCTGCTGTTGTAACTGGGGGGTTTAACAGCGAGTCCACCATGCCTTCTCTTCTCGCCCATGTGAAGGTTCTCCTTGCAAAACGGAAACTGGACGGGAAGTATTATGCAATCAAGGTCCTGCAGAAAAGGGTAATCCTCAACAGGAGAGAGGTAATTTATTCTAAAGTACTATTGAATTGGAAATGTTTCTTATTCTGTTTCTCGATGTTGGGTACGTTATCCCCAATAATACAATGTTTCCTGTTTCCACCAGCAAAAACACATCATGGCGGAGCGCAATGTGCTACTGAAGAACATGAAACACCCCTTCCTGGTCGGCTTGCATTATTCTTTCCAGACGACAGACAAGTTGTACTTCGTCTTGGATTTTGTCAACGGGGGAGAAGTGAGTAGTTTCACTTTTCTAAATAATAGACACACAGTGTTGAGTCATTGAGGTCAAAACACAGGAAACCTGCTAAAAAAGTCCCCTGGGATATGACCCCTGACCTGAGGGCAAGGACCCTTATAAACTTTGGGTCCGGTTCCACAGACCCAGATTCAATAGAATTTACATTGAAAGTTTATAGCCAGTTTATACACTATCCAAACAGAATCTGCTGCGATCCACTCCCAACCCACCATTTGAGAAGCACTGGTTTAAGCTATACTGGTTTAAGCTATACTGGTTTAAGCTATACTGGTTTAAGCTATACTGGTTTAAGCTATACTGGTTTAAGCTATACTGGTTTAAGCTATACTGGTTTAAGCTATACAGGTTTAAGCTATACAGGTTTAAGCTATACAGGTTTAAGCTATACAGGTTTAAGCTATACAGGTTTAAGCTATACAGTAGGTGTTGATAAACTCATTCATTTTGAAGCTCAACGCCTCCTTTTCAATAAAAGGAACTGTGCAGTTGGCGAGAGCTGAATTTCCACATTTGAATAAACGCATCCTGACCACTAGTGCAGCGTTTGCCAATGTAACTCTTATAAAAATATTTATTAGTATTTATATACATTCCATTCTGGGACTGTCAAAAAGAGCCAAAACCAAGAGTGGTTCAGACAGGATATTGAAGGTTTGTATTGTTTCTCTAACATTGGTATAATGTCCAGTCTGTAAAAATATTTTGACAGTATTAAAATATTACAGATATTTTTACAAAAAAGCTACAGAGGTCTATGGATATTCCAGATCTGAAGGCTATGTGCTTTAGCTAACGTCTCTGATTATCATTGTCATCAGTATGTGCTTTAGCTGGGGGGGCTATGCTAGATATCTCCTCCTGATTCTGAGAACATGCAGTCCAGGTAGCTACACGTTTTGTTTTTCCAGGGAGCAGAGGCTAATCTCGTAGCTCATGTCATGTTGATGCTAGTACTCAGGCACTCAGTTAATCCCCACAACGTGCTGCTTGAGTCAATTGTAATAGTGAAGTGGAATTTGCAGACAGGGCAGGAACTTTGACCCACGGCTCTGTGTCATGACTCAGCTACAATTGCTGTTAGCAACCTGGGCTAAATATTGTGGAAATATCACGTCATGTTCCTATTGTGTCCATTAGTTCACTATGTCCTTTGGAACTGTCTCACTGTCCTCTATCATTCCAGCTCTTCTTCCATCTTCAAAAAGAACAGACCTTTCCGGAACCCAGAGCCAAGTTCTACATCGCAGAAATGGCAAGCGCAATGGGCTATCTGCATTCTCTCAACATAGTTTACAGGTACGTGGATTGTGTGTTTGTGCGTATGTAACAATTTGTGTGTGGGCTTTGGCTCAACAGGCTAACAGACCCATGTTCAAATCCAGTTAGTGTTGCAAAGGCTGAATTGGATAAATGAGTCAAATTAGCTGCCTGGTTGTCATTGCTCTGGTACACCAGCGGGCTGCTGGAGGTCTGTAGTAGAGAATTCATGTTCTAAGGCAGGGGTGTCAAACGTACGGCCCGCGGGCCGGATCAGGCCCGCAAACGGGTTTAATCCGGCCCGCGAGATGATTTCGGAAAAAACAAAAAAAAGATTTTTTTTTTTTTTTTTTTTTGTAAAGTATAAAAATGCGCTGCAATTTTTCAATAAAATAAACTGCTGTTCCAATTGCGTCCACTGGATGGCGCAATAGCAATTGTGTTACATTTACATTTACGTCATTTAGCAGACGCTCTTATCCAGAGCGACTTACAGTTAGCACATACATTATTTTATCGAACCCACAACCCTGGCGTTGCAAACGCCATGCTCTACCAACTGAGCTACATCCCTGCCGGCCATTCCCTCCCCTACCCTGGACGACGCTGGGCCAATTGTGCGCCGCCCCATGGGTCTCCCGGTCGCGGCCGGCTACGACAGAGCCTGGATTCGAACCAGGATCTCTAGTGGCACAGCTAGCACTGCGATGCAGTGCCTTAGACCACTGCGCCACTCGGGAGACTGTGTTAAGCAAGCAAACTGTTTATACCGGGGCAGAGCAAGTAGGTCAAGCACGTGCAGCCAATGAGCTACTTTGTTTTGCCCGCGATATTTATTACGGCTTCTACTTTTAACATTATGTGCTTTGGCACCCTCATTGACCAATATGTCTCTGTCAAAAAAGAGAAAAGTGGACGCAGAGTGCAGAGTGTTCCAAGAAAAATGGTCATCCTATTTATTCACGGAATTGAATGGGAAAGCTGTATGTTTGGTGTGTTCAGAGCATGTTGCAGTGCTGAAAGAATATGAGTCTTCATGCCGACAAATATGACAACTTTCAAGGACAGCGGAGATGAGAGAAGGTGAATGAACTGTTGGCGGGTCTGAAGAAACAGCAGTCTGTGTTTACTCACAGCCGAGACATCAGTGACGCTGCAGTGAAAGCTAGCTACCTCATTGCTAATGAAATCGCAGTGGCTTCAAAACCATTTAGTGAGGGTGAATTTGTAAAAACATGCATGATGAAGGCAGCGGAGATTGTGTGCCCTGAAAAGCGGCAGGCTTTTGCAAATATCAGCCTGACAAGAAACACAGTTGCAGACAGGATTTCCGATCTTTCAGTGGATTTGGACAGCCAGTTGAAGCAAAAAGTAAAGTCATTTATTGCGTTTTCGGTTGCAATTGATGAAAGCACGGACATTACAGATGTTGCACAACTGGCCATTTTCATCCGCGGAGTTGATGACACATTGACCGTCACCGAGGAGTTCGTGGAGTTGGTGCCGATGACAGATACAACGACAGCAGCTGATATTTTTACCGCACTCGTCGGCGCGCTGGACAGGGTCGGAGTGGACTGGTCCCGCGCTGTCAGCCTGGCTACAGATGGTGCGCCCTCAATGATCGGGAAAAAAGCAGGCGTTGTGACAAAGTTCCGAGAGAAAGTGCAATCTGCAAATGGAGGACGTGATTTTTGGACTTTTCACTGTATTTTGCACCAGGATGCTTTGTGTTGCAAGTCATTAAAGATGGATAACATCATGAAGGTGGTCATCCAAACTGTTAATTTCATCCGATCCAGAAGCCTGAATCATCGTCAGTTTGACAGCCTTCACAGAGAGAAAGACCACATCTATGGCCTGCCATACCACACTGAGGTAAGATGGTTAAGCCGAGGTGCTGTGCTGAGGCGTTTCTTTGATTTACGAGAAGAAATTGAACAGTTCATGGAAGAAAAGGGCAAACCAGTGTTAGAATTTCATTCCGCAGAATGGATGCAGGACCTTGCATTTATGGTGGATGTTACAGAGCACCTGAATAACTTGAACAAACAGCTGCAAGGGCGCAACAAAGTTGTCACGCAGTATTATGACAGCATACGTTCTTTCAAGTTGAAGCTGTCATTGTGGGAGACGCAACTTGCCGGTGGTGATGCAGCTCACTTCCCCTGTCTGAAAAATGTGTGCGCGACCCAACATGTGGCAGACATGAAGCGGTTCAAAGATAAAATAACGGGACTGTTACGGGAGTTTGAGCAACGCTTTCAGATTTATGTTTATGTTTTTATGTTGATGTGCTATTGTTTTTAATTGATTTTATTTGTATATTTAACCTATTCTTGACTCTGTGGTTCTTGCACTTGTTTGGGGAACAGGATTTCATTATTTTTATCTACATTTCTGCCTGAGAAATGACACCCTGATATAGTTCTGTGAATCACTGAGGCATTGTGTGTTTGTGTGTTCTTTGTCCTCAGAACTTTCAAATAACTTGAGGTGTTTTATGATTAATAGTGATGTTGTGCTTGTACTATTTTGGACACACTGTCCTCAGGCTCCAGCTTTATGTTGTATGTTGATCGTATTAAAACAAAGAAAACAATCTGAAGTTGTTGTTTTTAAGTTATATATCCCATAATTTTTCCGGTCCGGCCCACTTGGGAATAGATTTTCCTCCATGTGGCCCCTGAGCTAAAATGAGTTTGACACCCCTGTTCTAAGGTTTCCTATGCTGTAAAACACTGTTTTCCACAATAACTATCCTGAATGAGAAATGCATGCAACACACATCCCCTTATCAATTAGTGGGAAAAGTCCCACTTCTAATGGCATCTCATGTGAAATTCCTGGAACTTTGTGAACATTTGAAGTGTTCCTATTTATAGCCATCCGCTGTAGTAATTTTCATTAAGTCAAACGTCACTGCAGTCACGGTTGGAAGTGCAGAATCATACATTAACTGACATGTGAGGGCAATTTTCCCTTAACACGGGTGTATCCCCTTAACTCCTCATAGGACCTCAAGCCATTCACTCTGCCTGTGGTTTTAGTTTAGTGTAATGCTGGTTCTGTTACTCATGTACATTGTAATCAACTGGATCATGTCTGGATGCAAATCGCTAAGATTAAATAACCCCTCTGTTGCTCTTCAATTGGCCACTTTCCAGGAAGTAGTAAGATTATAGCCATTGTAATCCATTAAGCACAATTCTATTATCCAGTAACAGTGACTTTGGATAATGAATGTTCATGAAATTTCTTTTTTTTTGTTTCACAGGGATTTGAAGCCAGAAAATATCCTTCTCGACTCTGAAGTAAGTGTGACATCCTAACTCGGTTTGCAGTTCATAAGTAGTCGGTTCTATGTGGAGTAGCTTAGGGCTGTATTCATTACAACCTGCACTAGCAATACTTATGCAGTCTGTTTGTTTACAAACAGCTGTTCACATACAAATGTGTCTTGAAACTGGAAGCATCCTCCCATGGCTGTAGTCTACCTGGTATTTTAACATTACCCAAAATAATTCTGCAATTAAATTTAACCTCAGGTAAAAGTTGTACTTTAGTTTAGCCCTTACTAAGTGTTTCAGTGTTTACTACAAGTCATTGGAACACATTGTGAGAATATGAATGTATCAAACAAACCAATCCAACTAGTTATAGAGAAAGCAGGCATCTGTGGTGAAGCCTAATCCTTCACCAACTGACACATCTAGAACACATCTCTCACCAACGGCAGTGTCATTTTCTGTTTGTTTAGAAGAGAATGCTTGTGATTTGATTATGTTTTACTCGTGTTTCCTGACCGGCCTTATTGAGAAAGTGAGGAAATTCCACAATGACAATAGATGATTTAGGACTGACTGAGGATAATGGGCGGTCTGTGTGGCTAACAGTGTCTAAAATGTTCTGTCTCCCTTTCTTTAAAGGGACATATAGTTTTGACTGACTTCGGATTGTGCAAGGAAGGAATTTCCCAAGCCGAGACGACAAGCACATTTTGTGGGACACCCGAGGTAACATTGAGCATTTAGCGATGGTAGATTAATGCCACGTTCCCATTTTAGCTGGTATTTTGTTCACATGACATATCACAATGTTAGTGTCAAATCACTACTAATTATTAACAAAGGAAATTGTTTGGAATGAAAATTGTTAAGAGGGAGGAATGAGGCCTCCCGAGTGGTGCAGCGGTCTAAGGCACTGCATCACAGTGTTGCGGCGTCACTACAGCCTGGGGTTTGATCCCAGGTGTGTCATTACCGGTCGTGACCGGGAGTCCCATAGGGAGGTGCACAATTGGCCCAGCGTCGTCCGGGTTAGGGGAGGGTTTGGCCGGGGGGGCTTTACTTGGCTCATCGCACTCTAGCGACTCCTTGTGGCGGGCCGGGCGCCTGCAGGCTGACTTCGGTCATCAGTTGAACGGTGTTTCCTCCGACACATTGGTGCAGCTGGCTTCAGGGTTAAGCGAGCGGGTGTTAAGAAGCAAGGCTTGGCGGGTCATGTTTCGGAGGACGCATGTCTCAACCTTCGCCTTTCCCAAGCCCGTTGGGGAGTTGCAGCGATGAGACAAGATCGTAATCACGAAAAAGGGGGTAAAAAAAAAAAAGAGGGAGGAATGAAAGTGGTTAATAATTTGACATGCCTGTCTCCATTTTAGGTGCCATATAAAGTTCTATGGATAGTATAAGCATGATTCATGTTTTCCAGGGCAGCGTATGTAATGTAAATGTAAGAACCTTTTAATGTCTAGAATAGGGTTGCAAAGCTACCAGTAATTTACCAAAGTCACCGGAATCTATGGCAATCTATAGTAACTCAGGTAATATATACTTGAATAACTTAATCTATTCATATATACTGTATTCATTTTCTATATCTGTGTCCATATTGTCCATGAGTTTCTAGTGGATAAAATATATGGTTCCAGAGAAAATAGCCTAGTTACATCTCTCACAAACAGCAGTTTCACTTTCAGTTTGTTTAGAAGAGAATGCTTGTGATTTGATTATGTTTTACTCATGTTTCCTGACCGGCCTTATTGAAAAAGTGAGGAAATTGTGAGTGGGCTACTCTGTCCAAAATTCCACAACGACAATAGATTATTTAGTACTGACTGAGGATAATGGGCGGTCTGTGTGGCGGACAGTGTCTAAAATGTTACTAAACACTGGGATTCACTAAGTTGATGGTTTATATTTAGGATAATGTTTTATAGCTTTGACATTCTGTTTTATTTGAAAATCCTCTTATTTGATTATTTTATATATCTTACATGTGATAAGGGCCAGAGATAATTACAGACACCTGTGATCATCAGAAGTAACCAAAAAGGCATCTTATAAAATACAAAAATATGAAAGTTACCAAAATCCTGGTAATTTACTTGTAGTTTATTTAGAACGTTTCTAGTAATATACCCTCCCTTTGCAACCCAAGTCTAGACCACTGTTCTGGATTGAGACTGAAAAGGCCTGTCAATGCTAATGTATTTAACTCTCTCCTCTCCCCAGTACCTAGCTCCAGAGGTCCTGAGGAAACAACCGTATGACAACACAGTGGACTGGTGGTGTCTGGGATCAGTGCTCTATGAAATGCTCTTTGGCCTGGTGAGTTACAGTAGTAGACATTGAAAACAGGAACAATATTTACTGTCAGAGTGCACCGTTGACATGCTGCCTGATCACGCACTGCCCTTCCACTAATACATCCATCTCCCCTCTGTTCCACAGCCTCCGTTCTACAGCAGAGACACCCATGAGATGTATGACAACATCCTTCACAAGCCCCTGATGATGCGTCCCGGAGCATCCAACATGGCCTGGTCCCTCCTGCAGGCTCTACTGGAGAAGGACGGCACACACAGACTGGGCTCCAGAGATGACTTTGTGAGTGGTCATCATCACAGTCTCACAGCTGTGACTAGTGTATCGCTGTAGCTGATGGCATCTGACTCCCTCTGGTGGAGAAATATTGTCATGACAAGGGGTTGCGCAATAGCTGCAGTGTTTGTACACTCAGTGTATATACATTTCTCCTGGGCAGATGGATTGCATTACACTACTTTCATCAGTATGAAGTAAATATCATTTGCCTTGGTCGTTCTAGAACTGAAACATATCAATTATATTCTATTTTTTCAGAATGAGATCAAAGCTCACTACTTCTTCTCAGAGATCAATTGGGATGACCTGGAACAGAGGAAGGTTCCACCTCCATTCACTCCCAATGTGGTAAATGTTCTCAGGATTATATCTGATTCTGATCACACAGACATACACAGATGTGTAAGACACCAGACCACAGGCATGAATGAACTGAATGTTTTTTTCCTATTTCGCAGAATTCTCCTTATGACATCACAAATTTTGATCCAGAATTCACAGACGAGACTGTTACGAACTCTGTGTGCTATACTGAAGATTCCATAGTCAACGCCAGCGTGATGGAGGCTGACGATGCCTTCCTAGGTTTCTCGTATGCACCACCCTCAGACGACTCCTTTCTATGAAAGACTCGCTGTGAGGACCTGCCCCAGAGTTCTGTGAAATTGCCTTAACTCAGTGTTCTTCTATCATGGTCATGTTGATCCACAGGGTATGCAGGCTTTTGTTCCAGCCCAGTAGAGCTTATCGATTAGTTTAATCATGTGTGTTAGTGCTGGGCTGGAACGAAAGCCTGCACACCCTGCTGGACTCCAGGATCAGGACTGAAGAACACTGCCTTAACCTGTACTGATTCTTTTGAATAAAAGGGAATTCATATTGTGGATAAACCCGTTTTGAGAAAAGCTAAAGCGAGCAGAAGTTGTGATCAGACAGCACTTACGGATATGGTTTGGGCTGCAGAGTGTGTGTCAAGAAATCTTTATTTTTACCTAATTATATTTATATAACAGATTATATTTTAAAGAAATGTCGGACATCTTTCTTGACACGTATTGTTTGTTGATCCACATAAAGTGGAGTCAATGTTGGTCCTTTGTTTGAAGAAAAGATAAACATTCACAGTGTCTTCTTGTCAGGGTGGGATGGTTAAAACTAATCCCCAAAATAAAATCCAAGTTTAGAGACCCATACACAAAAATGTATGCACGCATGACTGTAAGTCGCTTTGGATAAAAGCGTCTGCTAAGTGGCATATTATTATTATTATTATTAGAGCTAGAATCCTTAATTAAAACAACACCAAAGCATTCTGCCCTCCACTTTTCGCTACAACGCTAAGGGATGCTGCTGGAAAAATGTAACCGCTCTCAAATTCATAGACAGCTATGGATACAAGGACTGACCATCCATGATATCAAATGTATAGTTTTAACCATGTTTTGAGGTTATACAGTGTTTGTTTAAATTTACATTGTTTACTAACAATGGAATAAAACAAGCTTATATTTTGGGTTCTGATGGGGTATGACAGGTACACTAAGCTCATGAGGCATTCATTCGTCAATAATCAATGGGTATATACACTGAGTGTACAAAACATTAGGAACACCTGCTCTTTCCATGACAGACTGACCAGGTGAACGCTATGATCCCTTATTGATGTCACTTGTTAAATCCACTTCAATCAGTGTAGATGAAGGGGAGGAGACCGGTTAAAGAAGGACTTTTAGACCTTGAGACATGTACTGTAGTAGGTGCCAGGCGCACCGGTTTGAGTGTGTCAAGAACTGCAACGCTGCTGGGTTTTTCACGCTCAACAGTTTTCCGTGCAAGGATGGTCCACCACCCAAACGACATCCAGCCAACTTGACACATTACATTTACATTTTAGTCATTTAGCAGACGCTCTTATCCAGAGCGACTTACAGTTAGTGAATACATATTTGTTTTTATTCTGGCCCCCCGTGGGAATCAAACCCACAAACGCCATGCTCTATCAACTGAGCTACATCCCTGCCGGCCATTCCCTCCCCTACCCTGGGCCAATTGTGCGCCGCCCATGAGTCTCCCGGTCGCGGCCGGCTGCGACAGAGCCTGGATTCGAACCAGGATCTCTAGTGGCACAGTTAGCACTGCGATGCAGTGCCTTAGACCACTGCGCCACTCAGGAGTACAACTGTAGGAACTGACACAACTGTAGGAAGCTTTGGCATCAACCTGGGCCAGCATCCCTGTGGAATGCTTTCAACACCTTGTATTGTCCATGCCCTGACGAATTGTGGCTGTTCTGAGGGCAAAGGGGGGTGCAACTCAATATTAGGAAGGTGTTCCTAATGTTTTGTACACTCAGTGTATATCATTAATTTATAAGTATGTAGTAACTAAGGATTCTAGCTTTAACAGTTTAAGTGGGGAATGAAACTACTTCCTCAATCATTTCTGTTCCACTTTAAAAACAGACTGTGGCCATAATGAAATGACAGTGAACATGTAATTATATTCTCTCAGAAGAACAGCTGAAAGGAATTGTGTTTTGTCTCTTCTCTTTTTAAAAGATGGTTCATCTTAGTTCATTTATTTTTCTCAGTGGGGGAATACTTGAGAGGTCACTGAATAGAGTATTGTGTTGACAGAGGTCATTTCAGTTCATATTTTTATTTTGATCAAGTTTATAGACCTTTTCAGTGACTTTACCTTGCAAACAGATGCTGTGCCATCTGATTTATTTCTAGCTATGTTGGTTGCTTGCCTGTCTGTATTATAGCTTACATCTCTTAATCTTGCTTTAATTGACACTCAGATATTCCTTAGAAATCCTCAACCACCATCATTATGGATTTTCACACAATTTCTAAGTAGTGAGTGTGGTCAACAGTCCTCATTGTTCAATACAATGCTTTAGATGAGAAGTACTGTACACAATAAAATAATGAAACAACAATGTTGTCTGTTTTAGGATGTACAGTGCATTCGGAAAGTATTCAGCCCCCTTGACTTTTTCAGAATGTTGTTACATTACAGCCTTATTCTAAAATTTATTAAATCAATTTTTACATAAGTATTCAGACCCTTTGCTATGCAACTCGAAATTGAGCTCAGCCGCATCCTGTTTCCATTGATCATCCTTGGGATGTTTCTACAACTTGATTGGCGTCCACCTGTGGTAAATTCAATTGATTGGACATGATTTGGAAAGGCACACACCTGTCTTTATAAGGTCCCACAGTTGACAGTGCATGTCAGAGCAAAAACCAAGCCATGAGGTTGAAGGAATTGTCTGTAGAGCGCCGAGACAGGATTGTGTCGAGGCACAGATCTGGGGAAGGGTACCAAAAAATTTCTGCAGCATTGAAGGTCCCCAGGAACACAGTGGCCTCCATCATTCTTAAATGGAAGAAGTTTGGAACCACCAAGACTCTTCCTAGAGCTGGCCACCCGGCCAAACTGAGCAATCGGGGGAGAAGGGCCTTGGTCAGGGAGGTGACCAAGAACCCGATGGTCACTGAAAGAGCTCCAGATTTCCTCTGTGGAGATTGGAGAACTTCCAGAAGGACAACATCTCTGCAGCACTCCACCAATCAGGCCTTTATGGTAGAGTGGCCAGACGGAAGCCACTCCTCAGTAAAAGGCATATGACAGCCCGCTTAGAGTTTGTCTGAGAGTCTTAAGTGCCTTTTGGCAATGAGAAACAAGATGCTCTGGTCTGATGAAACCAAGATTGAACTCTTTGGCCTGAATACCATGCGTCACATCTGGAGGAAACCTGGCACCATCCCTACGGTGAAGCATAGTGGTGGGATTTTTTTTCAGCGGCAGGGACTGGGAAACTGGTCAGGATCGAGGGAAAGATGAACGGAGCAAAGTACAGAGAGATCTTTGATGAAAACCTGCTCCAGAGAGCTCAGGACCTCAGACTGGTGTGACAATTCACCTTCCAAAAGGACAACGACCCTAAGCACACAGCCAAGACAACACAGGAGTGGCTTCGGGACAAGTCTCTGAATGTCCTTAAGTGGCCCAGCCAGAGCCCGGACTTGAACCCGATCGGACATCTCTGAAGAGACCTGAACATAGCTGTGTAATGACGCTCCCCATCCAACCTGACAGAGCTTGAGAGGATCTGCAGAGAAGAATGGGAGAACTCCCCAAATACAGGTGTGCCAAGCTTGTAGCGTCATACCCAAGAAAACTCGAGGCTGTAATCAATGCCGAAGGTGCTTCAACAAATAACTGAGTAAAGGGTCTGAATACTTATGTAAATGTGATATTTCCATTTATTTCTTAATTTTTTTGCAAAAATGTCTAAACCTGTTTTTGCTTTGTCACTATGGGGTATTGTGTGTAGTTTGATGGGGGGGGAAAACAATTTAATCAATTTTAGAATAAGGCTGTAACAGAATGTGGAAAGGGGTCTGAATACTTTTCCGAATGCACTGTATATGGAGATGGGTGACTTGGCTGATTGTCTTGGCTGTACTCTACAGAAGCTCACAGTTCGAATGTTCAAGTGGCCGGCGGCTGCGACTGTCAGGTCAAGGTCCCATGCTAGCTACTAACTAGACTGAGGTCTCTGTAGCCAAAAGCTGTAGGCAGCTAGCTTAGCTAGTTTGTCAGTAACAGAAAATTGAGAAAGAAAATCTTATTGAAAGAGTCAGTTTTGTCTTTAGACAGAAGTGGAGCTCTTCTTCAACTTGCTGAAGACTGCAACCATTCAACGGTAAGTTTAGGGGCGGTGGTAGGCTAGCTATCGAGAGCTTTCGATCAGCTGTCAGTGTAGCTAATGGGATTGTGTCATGTGGTCCTGAGGGAGTAACCTAGGCAACCCTGTATCCACTGGGGGATGTGGTGGCATGTGAGAAGCAGTCCTTCATAGATGACAGGAAGCTCTTATGCTGTTAAATAACGGATGGTTATACAGTGGGGCAAAAAAGTATTTAGTCAGCCACTATTTGTGCAAGTTCTCCCACTTAAAAAGATGAGAGAGGCCTGTAATTTTCATCATAGGTACACGTCAACTATGAAAGACAAATTGAGAAAAAAAAATTCCTGAAAATCACATTGTAGGATTTTTTATGAATTTATTTGCAAATTATGGTGGAAAATAAGTATTTGGTCACCTACAAAGAAGCAAGATTTCTGGCTCTCACAGACTTGTAACTTCTTCTTTAAGAGGCTCCTCTGTCCTCCACTCGTTACCTGTATTAATGGCATCTGTTTGAACTTGTTATCAGTATAAAAGACACCTGTCCACAACCTCAAACAGTCACACTCCAAACTCCACTATGGCCAAGACCAAAGAGCTGACAAAGGACACCAGAAACAAAATTGTAGACCTGCACCAGGCTGGGAAGACTGAATCTGCAATAGGTAAGCAGCTTGGTTTGAAGAAATCAACTGTGGGAGCAATTATTAGGAAATGGAAGACATACAAGACCACTGATAATCTCCCTCGATCTAGGGCTCCACGCAAGATCTCACCCCGTAGGGTCAAAATGATCACAAGAACGGTGAGCAAAAATCCCAGAACCACACGGGGGGACCTAGTGAATGACCTGCAGAGAGCTGGGACCAAAGTAACAAAGCCTACCATCAGTAACACACTACGCCGCCAGGGACTCAAATCCTGCAGTGAAAGACGTGTCCGCCTGCTTAAGCCAGTAAATGTCCAGGCCTGTCTGAAGTTTGCTAGAGTGCATTTGGATGATCCAGAAGAGGATTGGGAGAATGTCATATGGTCAGATGAAACCAAAATAGAACTTTTTGGTAAAAACTCAACTCGTCGTGTTTGGAGGACAAAGAATGCTGAGTTGCATCCAAAGAACACCATACCTACTGTGAAGTATGGGGGTGGAAACATCATTTTTTTTTCTGCAAAGGGACCAGGACGACTGATCCGTGTAAAGGAACGAATGAATGGGGCCATGTATCGTGAGATTTTGAGTGAAAACCTCCTTCCATCAGCAAGGGCATTGAAGATGAAACGTGGCTGGGTCTTTCAGCATGACAATGATCCCAAACACACCGCCCGGGCAATGAAGGAGTGGCTTCGTAAGAAGCATTTCAAGGTCCTGGAGTGGCCTAGCCAGTCTCCTGATCTCAACCCCATAGAAAATCTTTGGAGGGAGTTGAAAGTCTGTGTTGCCCAGCGACAGCCCCAAAACATCACTGCTCTAGAGGAGATCTGCATGGAGGAATGGGCCAAAATACCAGCAACAGTGTGTGAAAACCTTGTGAAGACTTACAGAAAACGTTTGACCTGTGTCATTGCCAACAAAGGGTATATAACAAAGTATTGAGAAACTTTTGTTATTGACCAAATACTTATTTTCCACCATAATTTGCAAATAAATTCATTAAAAATCCTACAATGTGATTTTCTGGATTTTTTTTTCTCATTTTGTCTGTCATAGTTGACGTGTACCTATGATGAAAATTACAGGCCTCTCTCATCTTTTTCAGTGGGAGAACTTGCACAATTGGTGGCTGACTAAATACTTTTTTTCCCCACTGTATCTGTCCAATTTTGATTTAGCTATATATTATAACGTCCACTAATATCACCCAAGTTCATTTTCCCTTCAGATCCCCAGCAGAGTGAGGCTGTGTATCAGTTCTGTGTCAGCGTGAACCCTTCCGTCCTAATAGAACTGGATCCTAGATTGGGTGACTGTGTGCTCCGTGACCCCCTCAAAGCTACGGCACTATTTCAGTCAGTAAGTCCAAAACATCGTTATCTCCCATTACTCTATTCAAACCATGAGAAGGGTCGCCAGCTTCCTCTGTTCTGAGGAGGACTGTCCCTGCACAACAGGTACAGTGGGGAGAACAAGTATTTGATACACTGCCGATTTTGCAGGTTTTCCTACTTACAAAGCATGTAGAGGTCTGTAAAAAAATCCAGAAAATCACATTGTATGATTTTTAAGTAATTAATTTGCATTTTATTGCATGACATAAGTATTTGATCACCTACCAACCAGTAAGAATTCCGGCTCTCACAGACCTGTTAGTTTTTCTTTAAGAAGCCCTCCTGTTCTCCACTCATTACCTGTATTAACTGTACCTATTTGAACTCGTTACCTGTATAAAAGACACCTGTCCACACACTCAATCAAACAGACTCCAACCTCTCCACAATGGCCAAGACCAGAGAGCTGTGTAAGGACGTCAGGGATAAAATTGTAGACCTGCACAAGGCTGGGATGGGCTACAGGACAATAGGCAAGCAGCTTGGTGAGAAGGCAACAACTGTTGGCGCAATTATTAGAAAATGGAAGAAGTTCAAGATGACGGTCAATCACCCTCGGTTTGGGGCTCCATGCAAGATCTCACCTCGTGGGGCATCAATGATCATGAGGAAGGTGAGGGATCAGCCCAGAACTACATGGCAGGACCTGGTCAATGACCTGAAGAGAGATGGGATCACAGTCTCAAAGAAAACCATTAGTAACACACTACGCCGTCATGGTTTAAAATCCTGCAGCGCACGCAAGGTCCCCCTGCTCAAGCCAGCGCATGTCCCGTCTGAAGTTTGCCAATGACCATCTGGATGATCCAGAGGAGGAATGGGAGAAGGTCATGTGGTCTGATGAGACAAAAATAGAGCTTTTTGGTCTAAACTCCACTCGCCTTGTTTGGAGGAAGAAGAAGGATGAGTACAACCCCAAGAACACCATCCCAACCATGAAGCATGGAGGTGGAAACATCATTCTTTGGGGATGCTTTTCTGCAAAGGGGACAGGACGACTGCATCGTATTGAGGGGCCATGTATCGCGAGATCTTGGCCAACAACCTCCTTCCCTCAGTAAGAGCATTGAAGATGGGTCGTGGCTGGGTCTTCCAGCATGACAACGACCCGAAACACACAGCCAGGGCAACTAAGGAGTGGCTCCGTAAGAAGTATCTCAAGGTCCTGGAGTGGCCTAGCCAGTCTCCAGATCTGAACCCAATAGAACATCTTTGGAGGGAGCTGAAAGTCCGTATTGCCCAGCGACAGCCCCGAAACCTGAAGGATCTGGAGAAGTTCTGTATGGAGGAGTGGGCCAAAATCCCTGCTGCAGTGTGTGCAAACCTGGTCAAGACCTACAGGAAACGTATGATCTCTGTAATTGCAAACAAAGGTTTCTGTACCAAATATTAAGTTCTGCTTTTCTGATGTATCAAATACTTATGTCATGCAATAAAATGCAAATGAATTACTTAAAAATCATACAATGTGATTTTCTGGATTTTTGTTTTAGTTTCCGTCTCTCGCAGTTGAAGTGTACCTATGATAAAAATTACAGACCTCTACATGCTTTGTAAGTAGGAAAACCTGCAAAATCGGCAGTGTATCAAATACTTGTTCTCCCCACTGTAGGCCTACTACAAGTAACCTGTGTGCCATGCTATTTCTGTATTCATAACATCAGTGTTGCCATTTACAAAACCATTTATAATTCTGTAGTATGACGCTATCCTCAGGGTTCCATCACATCAGAGTGCACGCCCCCGAGGCCACGTAGATGGCCACAGTGAGGAATTACTTCAGCTGCCTGCTCTGCTCCTCTCACCTTTAAAAAGGATGTCAAGTTCCATGTGCTGGGGGGTGAGAATGATCCCACTAATTGGCTTTGTCCCTGAATGCTATCTGATGAAGTAGCCTCACATGCCATGCTTACATGTAGCTGTTGTTTAAATACGATACGGTTTTGAAACAGACAAGCACCTAGTAGAGCTTATCCATGTCAAAGCACTGGATGTCCTGAAAGTCCATCCTCCCAGTGCCCTCAGGTACCAGTCTGTCACTCTGTTTCTCAGAGGTAGGCTCACAATCTGGTAAATGTATCGTAATGTTTTTATACTGCTGCTACTCGCTGTTTATTATCTATGCAGTCACTTTACCCCTACCTACATGTACAAATTACCTCGACTAACCTGTTCCCCCGCACATTGACTCGGTACCGGTACCCCCTGTATATAGCCTCATTATTGTTATTTTATAGTGTATAATTTATTTTACTTTATTTTTTTTATTATTTTTTTTTGTAAATATTTTCTTAACTCTATTTTCTTAAAACTGCATTGTTGGTTAAGGGCTTGTAAGTAAGCATTTCACTGTAAGGTCTACACCTGTTGTATTCGGCACATGTGACAAATAACATTTGATTTGATACGATGTTGTTAGCTGATATGTAAAATACCGATCCAGGCTTTGTACGATCTGGCATGCTTCAGCAAAGTCTGGGCAGAGGCTTCATGTCCACACCCCGGCTCGGTTGGTTAAGGGCTTGTAATTAAGCATTTCACGGTAAGGTCTACACCTGTTGTATTCGGCGCATGTGACAAATATAATTTGATTTGTATTGCAAGTCATGATTTTGTTTTTAATAGATGTGACTTCGATATCTCCTTAGAATAGGTTACTTAGACATTTATGAATTTTCTCTTCCTTTTCGAAAACAAACATAATTTTGTAGCCCAACCCCAGAGGGGGAGAGTTGAAATAAACAGACGTTTGAGGAGTCGGCCATGCAGTGGTGCCCCTGGGTGCGATATTAGGTGTTCCTGTCCCCTCCAATAACATTTTCCAGCCATTACCCCCTGAGAGAGCAGTGATTCTCAGTGCCAGTATTAGCATATTCTGTTGACCTAGTCTTCTGGAGGAATTCAACACAACGGGCTCACGTTACTAAACATATATGTTATAAGTGTAAGAAACACTCATTAGTTGAGTCGCACGATGCACACAGTGAGATCTTTGTTCCAAGGGCCTCGTTCCTGTGTTGTTCTTGGCAGGGACGTGTAGGTGCCTTGCATGTTCCTCAAATAATCAGGAGACCGCAGAACAGCACAACCCCTCTGAGTGTTATGGTTTTGTTTCCCTCGTAACGTTGTATGTAGATTAACTGTGTATCTCCATGAAGATTGGAGGTCTGTACTGGGTGCTGGGTATACCGGCCCATGTCAACCAGTGACTGAAGGTCACCTGGAGCATGGAGGCCAATAGCGTTCAACAGTGGGAGCCTGAGTGTAAGAACCTACAGTACCAGTCAAAAGTTTGGACACACCTACTCATTTAAGGGTTTTTCTTTATTTTTTACATTGCAGAATAATAGTGAAGACATCAAAATTATGAAATAACACATATGGAATCATGTAGTAACCAAAAAAGTGTTAAACAAATCAAAATATATTTTATATTTGAGATTCTTCAAATAGCCGCCATTTGCCTTGATGACAGCTTTGCACACTCTTGGCATTCTCTCAACCAGTTTCACCTGGAATGCTTTTCCAACAGTCTTGAAGGAGTTCCCACATATGCTGAGCACTTATTGGCTGCTTTTTCTTCACTCTGCGGTCCGACTCATCCCAAACCATCTCAATTGGGTTGTGGAGGCCAGGTCATCTGATGCAGCACTCCATCACTCTCCTTCTTGGTAAAATAGCCCTTACACAGCCTGGAGGTGTGTTGGGTCATTGTCCTGTTAAAAAACAAATGATAGTCCCACTAAGCCCAAACCAGATGGGATGGCGTATCGCTGCAGAATGCTGTGGTAGCCATGCTGGTTAAGTGTGCCTTGAATTCTAAATAAATCACAGACAGTGTCACCAGCAAAGCACTCCCACACAATAACAACTCCTCCTCCATGCTTTATGGTGGGAACTACACATGCAGAGATCATCTGTTCACCCACACCGCGTCTCACAAAGACACAGCGGTTGGAACCAAAAATCTCCAATTTGGACCCCAGACCAAAGGACAAATTTCCACCGGTCTAATGTCCATTGCTCGTGTTTCTTGGCCCAAGCAGGTCTCTTCTTCTTATTGGTGTCCTTTAGTAGTGGTTTCATTGCAGGAATTCGACCATGAAGGCCTGATTCACACAGTCCCCTCTGAACAGTTGATGTTGAGATGTGTCTGTTACTTGAACTCTGTGAAGCATTTATTTGGCCTGCAATTTCTGAGGCTGGTAACTCTAATGAACTTATCCTCTGCAGCAGAGATAACTCTGGGTCTTCCATTTATGTGGCGGTCCTCATGAGAGCCAGTTTCATCATAGCGCTTGATGGTTTTTGCGACAGCACTTGAAGAAACTTTCAGTTCTTGAAATGTTCCGTATTGACTGACCTTCATGTCTTAAAGTAATGATGGACTGTCGTTTCTCTTTGCTTATTTGAGCTGTTCTTGCCATAATATGGACTTGGTCTTTTACCAAATAGGGCTATCTTCTGTATAACCCCTACCTTGTCACAACACAACTGATTGGCTCAAACACATTAAGAAGGAAAGAAATTCCACAAATTAACTTTTAAGAAGGCACACCTTTTAATTGAAATGCATTCCAGGTGACTACCTCATGAAGCTGGTTGAGAGAATGCCAAGAGTGTGCAAAGCTGTCATCAATGCAAAGTGTGGCTATTTGAAGAATCTCAAATATAAAATATATTTTAATTTGTTTAACACTTTTTTTGGTTACTACATGATTCCATATGTGTTATTTCATAGTTTTGATGTCTTCACTACTTTTCTACAATGTAAAAAATAGTAAAAATAAAGAAAATCCCTTGAATGAGTAGGTGTGTCTAAACTTTTGACTGGTAGTGTATATGCATGCTTACAGTGGTACAGATCAGTTTACATTAAATCCTATCCTAAGCTATAGGCCTTGTTATCAGCTTCTCTGAGAAAGCCGTTCATAGGGAACATTCATGTGCTTGTATGTGTGTCTGTGTGTTAGCTCTCTGTCACATGCCTATACTATACCAGAGGAGGCTGGTGGGAGGAGCTATAGGAGGACGGGCTCATTGTAATGGCTGGAATGGAATAAATGGAACTGAGTCAAATGTGTGGTTTCCATGTTTGATACCTTTACATTTATTCCATTCCAATGAGCCAGTCCTCCTATAGCTCCTCCCACCAGCCTCTGCTGTACTATACAATATTTGCATTGACAACACGTCACACCTCAGTTGTAAGATACACTCCACCGTTCACCCTGGCACCATCAGCTCTAACTTCCAGGCCCTGTTGACGGCCACAGCCAGTTCTTCCTGGAGGTTCTCTGCCATCGTGGCTAACTCGTCGGGCTCTGCTGTGGTTCCCCCGGGCCTGTACAGCAGTCTGAAGCTGTGCCTGCTTCTCGGCCTGGTCCAGGGCCGGGGGGACAACCCAGACTCACTGCACCGCCTGGACCTGCTAGCCCTGACTTCTGACACATTCAAACTGGACAGGTACTACATCTCATCATTCATTCAGTCAGTCAATTAATCAATCTCTGAATCAATCAACTAAGTTCTTAGGAAACGCAGTATAATCACTCATTGACCAAATTACAATAAAAATGTACTATGCCTATATTCAAGTCAACACCCTCCGTTACCCTGTCTTAAGGCCAAATCAAACGGAACGAGCGTGTACACGCTGGAATTAGAATGCACGGTAGTGAATGACAGAAAGCGTCATGCGCTTCAAATTAGAAAGCTAGTCTATTTTTCTCGCATCTACGCAGAGGAATGCTCGTTTGCATTTAGTTTGATTTGGCCTTTAGGCTGATGACGTACAGCCTGGGCCTGGCTGGCGGTGGGGTGAGACGCTGAAACGGGAGATGTTTGCCTCGCTGTCTCGGGATGAGCACGGCCAACATCCACGCTGGCTCTGCCTTTCTGGCCACCGGGGGCGTCTGCATGCTTGGGGACCTGGGCCACTATAGGAAGAACAAGATGGATGCCCTTCAGTCAGGTGCTGAGCCCTGCTTACCTTGTAGCCTGGGGGCCAGTCTGATTCAGCTCTAGCTAATGCGTTGTCTTGTCAAAGCAATGCAGCAATGAAGAAACATTATGGCACCTCCTGTGATACACAACGTGTAGAGTAGGTTATTTGAGTGTATGACTCTAGGGATTGGTCTCGGCATTGGGCCTCTGTCTTCAGTCCACCCCAACACAGTTAGTTCACCTTTGACCGCTCTCTTTCCCCACCTTCTTCTAGCTCTGGAGAGTCGGACAGTGTCTGTGATCATCCCAGGGTAGACGTATGGAGAAGATGCTGACCAACAGATCTCCTTTCCCATCCAGTGCAGCTTCTGCGCCCTGGCAGAGTCCACAGCCCCCTCAAAGAAGACCATCAGGACTGACAATGTAGTGCTGGGAACAGCGGTGGGTCATTGTTGGCTTTCACTGTGTTGTTCAATTTACATTATGATTCAAAAGTATTGGACTACAGCACTTGATAAATCTGAGTGTAGTCTCATGTGGTGATTCTGCAACAATGCAATTCCATGTGAGCAATTTGAAGCCTTTTATCATATCACACAATGCCAATAGAACTCAGCACTGGCAAAGACAATGTATTCCGGATTGCAGAAATATCAAATCTCTCAGAGCCAACTGTGTATTTAGGCGTGTGCTTTATGTAGGCAAAACAGGAACGGAAGACTATTTACTCTCTCCAGAGGAAGCAGTTAATTGCTCCCATTCAGAGAACAGGATACCGCCCAAACAAACCCAGCCCAAGAATAGACAATGCCTTCAGCGCCAATTTAGGATGGACAAGAAACGGTAATACTGTAGTGGTAAATATAGTACTGGTGAATACAGTACTTCCATGTTAAGGTAGTAGGTCAAAGTATTTTTACACAAGGGGGAGGCTGCCCAGTCCTGGTCCAGGAAGGCTACTATTCTCCTCTGAAGCTACCAGCCACATGAAAACACGTTGACCATTGTGTAGGACATGCGCCCGGTCCCTGCCCAGCTGGCTGAGGCCTTTGGCCTGGTGATCCAGTGTCGGGAGACGGGGGAGAGCACGCCCTGCTCGCCCAGACGGTGCACACCCTCAGGCAGGCAGTGCAGCCCAGAGAGCCCCTCTACCCATCCTGCATGCAGTTCACCACACAGGACTACCAGGAGGTAAACCATACAATACTGTACATACTACAGTATATGATGGTAATTGACACCATCTCCTGTAGCATATGATGCATGCAAAATACATATGCACACCATTACAGTAAATGCCCCCAAAGTGCTCTGTGACAGACAACATTTGGACTCATCTTTGGTAGTGCTCGGTTGTTTACACTGGGGGGACATGGTGCTCTCCTTCCCATAGATCCAGACAGATCTGAGCCCTGGAGCAGAGAAAATGATTGAAGTGTACTAATGTGGTAGCAGTCGTTCAATCTTCTCGGTGTAACAGTTGGGATAATGGGACAATACGGAGTACAACACATTTCTCATCCCTGGATTGAGGTACGTTTTCTGAGCCATATGTTGGGCCGGGCTCCGCGGTGTCTTAATCTACACAGCGCCTGCGATTTAGCAGTGTTCTCTGTAATCCCATATTTGTCCACAGGGTGGCACACCATCCTTCATTTATTGAGCCTGTAATTGTGTACCTGACTCCAAAGACTATTATTCATAGTTTGGGAAATCTTTTCATTGTCAGATTGTGTGAAAAGTAACAGTAAAAATGAACCCCATTTCATCGAGGGCACGATATAAAGAAGGCAAATCATTATGATCTGAAAGCCTGTTCCCACACTGTATTTGCAATGTATTATTCTGTTTATCTTGTGGTTATTGTGCATTGACAGTTAATGATTCCTCACAGAAAATTCTGCTTTTCCTCTTCAAATTGTGATATCTTTGGGCAACAGAATCACAATCAATATATTTAACTTCCACATAATGTCCCTTTTAAGATAAAGTATTATTTTACTTAAATTGGTGTTTGTCTCCCAGGATCTCCCTTGCTGAGGCCCACAGTAAGCTGTGGCTGAGGAGCAAGTTACTGGAAGATGCAGTGAGCGCCATGTGAAAACGACATCACTCTCAGACATGGTAGGACACCCAGGACCGGAGTCACGTCAGCAGCCAAACTCAAAGATACCATTTGCTGCCATGATATTTGTAGCATTTATAAAAATGTGTTGAAATCACCACTACCTTCATCACACAGCCTGGATAACTGACAGTACAAGAACAAACCCCTCCAGGACTGCACCATTGGTAGTTATAGCAGTCCAATCTTCAATCCCGAGGGTTTATCTGAGAATAATTTATACAGGGGCCCTTTCTACTAACAGCTACAGCCATCAAAAAGTATTTGCTGTAGTTATAGTCCGTGTCGTCTAGAGATCTTGATAGTTGGTCTGGGTACTGCTTCAGCGCAGCGTTTCCCTGTGACCTGGAGGCTCTCCACAGGAGAGAACTGACCCAGGAGCCGCTCCATCAGAGCATCCTGCTCTTTAGTCTACCCCTACACACCCATGGCAGCCAGCTATATCACTGAGGAGTAGGATCAGGTTAACTTCCATTATAGGCATGTATGGTTCAGTGCTAAGAAATAGTTTATTCTGGGAAACAAATGGCTTACAATAGAATGTAATGGTAAAATGGGAGTTAGTCCTTAAACAGTACAAATAGTTCATGATTATGTAAGGTTTTCATTTGATAAATATTTAAATGAAGCCAAAAGAAAAATAACGAGATGAATGTACTATAAAATAGTTTATTTAATAACATATCATGGGCAGAATAAAAATCATTTTTAAAAGTGAATTTATTTACACAGGGTCCCATTGAGACTTGTTTTTTGTCAGGCAAGAAAGTTTTGAAAAAGGGCAAAGGTTATTTAGGTCTCACAGGTCACCTTTATGAAGGAGTACATGAGCTGCCTTCCAAACCTTGGGGATTGGTCAATTAATAGAAGAAATCAGTCAAATGCACCAACAGTAAATGACCAGTTTCTTAATTGATCGTCAACTGTAACGATTAAGACTAATGAGATATTAGCTGGCAACCTAAAATTACTAACATTCTACTATAGTTTATTTATAGTGCTGGTAATTCAGATTAATGGCTTTTCAGCAAGGTAAATCAGCAGAAATGTGTCAGGAAAGGCATCACAATTCCAGTAAAATGACTGAACAGTTCTAAGTTGACACCTCACAAACCAGGAAGGAACTCACCATAAGATGCTCATCTACTGCAGGGCCCACAAACCTACACTATGAAATGACAAAACAAGTCTCGGTAAACCTTATTTTCAGTCAGGGATTGCAGGTTTAGCTATTAAATGATCAAGGATAACGCTGGTGGTTCAGTTAGTCACAGTCTCAACACCCCAATTTAGTCAGATGGGTAAACGGCAAAAGTGTGAAGTCATCACAACTCCAGTAGCAGAACAGACCCAAGGAAAACAATTTATTGGCTACTTTTAGCCCTCAGAGACAAACTCACCAAAGGGTCGAGATGTAGATCTTCATACTCCACGTATTGGACCATCAATCCAATCTAGGATCGAAGAGAGTCTATTAGCATATCATTTGATTATAGTTAGGCAAAATATGCAAGAGATTATACTGGTAGTTCAGTTCGTCACATTCTCAACACCCCAATTTAGTCTGATGGGTAAACGGCAAAATGTAGAACTCATCACAACTCCAGTTGCATGCACTTTCGCCAATCAAAGACGTACACATCAGGTTTGGTCCTCAGGAAGAAACACTCACCAAAGGGCAAGATTTACTTCTTCAGTCCACATGCTAGCCAAATCTAGGAAAGAACACACGTGTTCAAATTAATATCATTTGATAGATGTAATGTAAATTATATGTCAGAATACACTGGTAGTTCAGTTAGTCACATTCTCAGCACCCCAATATAGTCTGATGGGTAAACGGCATAAATGATAACTCATCACAACTCCAGTATCAACATTAGCCAAAGTGAAAATGGATTACAGATTTCAAACAACCAACTCAAATTGGGCTAGTTTTATACTGGCTGGTTAATGCCAGTGGAGAAAAGGTGTAGTCCAAGGGTCTGCAACAGGCAGCACCCCAAAGATGGGCTGAGGTAGTCAATCACCAGGAATTCAGCTACAAATACATTTAATTTAGAAAGTCTGTTCTGAGTATCGCCACAAATAAAATACATGTGATCATGTCTCAATGTAGTCAAGGTATGAAATTGTTATTTTCAAATACAATCTTTTTGGGCTTAATTGTTAATTTGCAGTGCACAAAAGTATAATGCTGTTCCTGCCCCAGATCATTGGCTCCGACAAATAGGCCCGCAGCGGAGTATAGTTACCTACCCCTGATGTAGGCCTAACTCACCGAAGACTAAATGGTCCTCCTACAGAGTCTTCAGTACCCTGCCAGCCCATCAAATCTGTGGGAGAAAAACAAATTATTATCCTGATGATCTTTGGTCTCCAATTGAGATATTGTGGGTTGGAAATTGTATTCTTTACTTAGAATAATGCTGGTGGTTCAGTTAGTCACAGTCTCAACACCCCAATTTAGTCAGATGGGTAAACGGCAAAAGTGTGAAGTCATCACAACTCCAGTAGCAGAACAGACCCAAGGAAAACAATTCCTTGGCTACTTTTATCCCTCAGAGACAAACTCACCAAAGGGTCGAGATGTAGATCTTCATACTCCACGTATTGGACCATCAATCCAATCTAGGATCGAAGAAGAGTATTAGCATATCATTTGATTGTAGTTAGGCAAAATATGCAAGAGATTATACTGGTAGTTCAGTTCGTCACATTCTCAACACCCCAATTTAGTCAGATGGGTAAACGGCAAAAGTGTGAAGTCATCACAATACCAGCAAAACAACCGACTAGCAGAGCACAGCTTATAGTTAGGAATGGACGCACCTCGGTACAACAGCTATGCATCCAGCACCATGCATCCAGCACCATGCATCCAGCACCATGCATCCAGCACCATCTATCCCTGAAAGACACAGAACCTGTGAGGGGGGGGGGAAACTGAAAATGAACTTTGCATCAAGAATACAGTTGTGGTATGGTGTGTGATTATACTGGTGGTTCAGTTAGTCATAATCTCAGCACCCCAATTTAGTCAGATGGGTAAACGGCAAAAATGATAACTCATCACAACTCAGACCTGAAGCATTGCACATTCTCAGCCTTTTAAAAACCTTGGGTCAAGATTGGACAACACACCTGAGTGCAACAAATAAGGCTGTCTGCATGTCTGGAACCGTTAATCACCATCCAACTACAAGAGAAAAAAAAAACACATTTACACAGAATTCATCATAAATCAGCTTACACAGCTGTTGGGTTTGCCTAATTCAAGGTTCAGTTAGTTCTGAGATTCAGATAGTCATGGTCTCAGCAGCACCCCAATCTGGTCAGAGCAACAAAACATGACCACATTGGATTGTGGTCCTCTGTAGCTCAATTGGTAGAGTTTTGTAACGCCAGGGTAGTGGGTTCGATCCCCGGGACCACCCATACGTAATATATGGATAAAAGCATCTGCTAAATGGCATATTATATTATTATCATTAAGTGCAACATAGGTGACCTTCTGCACCATCAAAAAGTCATCCAAAAATAGTACTCCTAAGTAATTGCCCTTTAGGACGGTGAAGCTATTGATTTTCATATTGCATGGATAAGCTGTACTGAAGGAATTGTCAATGCACTCAGACCTCAATGAGTGATGAACTTCGGGTCAGGGGGCACATGTAACAGCTTGGGAACCCAGCCCAGTGCAAGCACACTACAGCCTCTGCTAGGAAGGTTCAACAGCAGGGTCACGACTTTTACCAAGACCTTTACTCCTTTGGAGAGAGCCATAGTCGCTATTCCCCAATCAAGTCAATGCGAAGACAATTCCCAGACCACCGCGGCCTTCTAACCCGTTAGCCCTGGTCAGAGTCTGTGGACAGTAACGTTACTAAACTATTGGTGCCGAAATGCCAAAGGGACCATTTATCATCCGATCTGGGCCAAGCAGCTGCCAGTATGACTTATTACAATACTGTGTGGACGTTTAAGCCCAAATAGCCTACATCGTTTGTCGAGTCATTACTTTCTTTGACCATGTGACGTTACGGTGCCAGTCTATTCACATGACCGAATAGGATCCAAAACTGTAAAACGTTAACTTCGGTAAATTAGCCATAAATAATTATTTGACTACCACCAGCCCACATGCACCGACATTAACGTTAGCCGTCTGCACCAATTTTAAGCATAAACGTGGGAAGATCAGTGGTTAAATACCTAGCTATGAGTACTAGATGATGATTCTTAATAAAAGTACAATAACGAGTTACACCCCTTCGACAGACAATATTCATACATTACCAGTCGGTCAATGCGCACGTGGTTAGTGGTACGCCATGGGTTCGTGGCCCTCGAGCACCGTGAGCCAGGCAGAAACATGTAAACTGTTTGCTTAGCTAGCCGCTACAAACCATCAGAAATACAAGTGTATGCTTAACATAAAACAGTTATTTCGAATCAATTTTTAGGGCTGGAAAAACCTGATTCTCTACGCCGGTAACATTGCATTGAAGTTCTAGCTAGCTAGCTAACAGGGCTCTTAGCCAGCGTATAAAAATAAGTTTAAAAAAACGAACTTCAAACACTAGCTATCTAAAACACCGATTTGCATTATTCTTGAATAAAGCCAACTAGCAAATGTTATTAGCCACCTACCTGTTGAATAAACGGGGAATTCAACAAGTAATTTCTCATATAAGTAATCTTGGTGAGAGCGCATGCAGGCTCCATGCGTCCTCCTCCGTTCTTCTTCCAAAGAGAGAGAGAGAGAGAGAAAAAAGGACTTCCTCTTTGTCTTTATTGACATGCGCAGTTTGAACTCATCACACAGGCACGGATCCTTGGGACGTCCCGTCTCTGACGTTTCCCCATTGAAGTTGAACGGGTTTAGGGTTAGGTAAGGGTTAAGCTTAGGGTATGGGTAGGAGTTAAAGTTAGGGTTACGGTAGGGACGTCCCAAGGATGATTGTCTATTATAGTGACAAGATAGTGAAGTGACCAGTCTAACAATTGCAATAAATGTCCTCAAAGATGGAAGGCAGGCGAGAGGAGGCCAATGAAAGGGCAGATATGCGTGTGATCAACAGGAGAAGGAGAGGACTCATCTTTGTATCTGTGCCATTATAACGTCTGTGACAGCATGGGCAGCGCCATTTACGCTATATCCATTTTAAAGTAGTCAATTTTCTTCTTCTTCATTGGCTGATTACTCCCAACTCATAGCAATCCCCACCCAGTTGACTACTTTAAAATGAGGGAAGCCCTCAATGACAATGTCCATGCTAAAACTGGTTATATCCATGATGAGTCCTCAATCTATCTCTAAGACAACAGACAAAACTCCAATACCTGCATCGACTTATATCCGTGCATTCACCATTACCAAACTTCTGTTCATCAAATAATTATCACGTAGCAAATTACCAATTAAATGTTTTGTTGACTAAATTTGACACTCATTGACCTCCACACAGAAATGCCTTACTTCGTGAACAGATTTAGGTAGAGTAAAACCTATCGTTGAGCCTCTGTCTCTCTGACTACACACAGTTTCATCATGAGAGACACCTAGTTTTTCTTAGTTTTTCTTTTGAATTATTAGGCTAAGTCTCCAATTTGCACATTTCAGCAGTGTAACGGTGTCTGAAGACATAAAAGTGTACTTTCTAAGTTGATCTCTGTCAATTCGATCTCAAAAGTGGCCTAAAGTCACACTATTAAACACACTAATATTATGTTGTATTATGAATAGGCTTAGGGCCTATAAATATACATGCCATGTATGTGCCTTGCATAACTATGGTCATTACATTTTTTTTAAGGAGGAGTGTGTTTTGGTTGCAGAATTGTGCATTTGTGTAAAATACATAACAGGCCTAATACAATCCAGCAAAGCATGATTATCAAGAAGCCTTCTATGACAGACTATTATGTCAAGTATATTTAACTACACTGAACAAAAATATAAACGCAACAAGCAACAATTTCAAAGTCAATTGAAATAAACTCATTAGGCCCTAATCTATGGATTTCACATGACTAGGCAGGGGTGCAGCCATAGATGGGCCTTGGGAGGGCATAGGCCCACCCACTTGGCAGCCACGCCCACCTACTGGGGAGCCATGCCCAGCCAATCAGAATTCGTTTTTCCACACAAAAGGGCTTTATTACAGACAGAAATACGTTGGAGGCAGCTTATGGTAGAGAAATTGACATTCAATTATCTGGCAACAGCTCTGGTGGACATTCCTGCAGTCAGCATGCCAATTGCAAGCTCCCTCAAAACTTGAGACATCTGTGGCATTGTGTTGTGTGACAAAACTGCACATTTTAAAGTGGCCTTTTATTGTCCCCAGCACAAGGTGTACCTGTGTAATGATCATGCTGTTTAATCAGCTTCTTGATATGCCACACGTCAGGTGGATGGATTATCTTTGCAAAGGAGAAATGCTCACTAACAGGGATGTAAACAAATTTGTGCACAAAACTTGCGAGAAATAAGCTTTTTGTGTGTATGGAAAATTTCTGGGATTTTTAAAATTCAGCTCATGAAACATGGGACCAACACTTTACATGTTGCGTTTATATTTTTGTTCAGTGTAATATATTTATTTGAGTCAGCATATGCATGCCAAAAAAAATCATATTTCCAAAGAATGTCAACTCATAATTCCTTTTTAGGCAAATAATAAAATGGAATCCCTCTTGATTGTTAAAAGATAAAGCTTGTCTTCAATGAGAGAACATGTTTATTTACGTAGAACTAATACATCTCAGTAAACGTATTTACAACCTACTTCTTCTTTTTATTTCTCAAGCCATTACCAACAAAAACACATTCACAACCATTCGCGTAAGAAAGAAGAGGAGATGAAGAGGCTCTTACCATTGTTGAGATTCTGACAGACCACTTCACATGACAGATGTTAAGTTATTCACACATGCATTTAGTGCAAATGTTTTAACTGAAAGTGCATAGCCAACAAGTCAAGCCTGAAAGCTCATTACCCAACACATGGAATTTAAATTTTTCAAAAAGTGTACACGGTAATACCTCCAACAAGTACAGAACTGCAGAAAACAGAGCAGAGCATGGCCAAAATAACAACAGAGAAACACTAGGCTTTTTTTAGGCTTTCTCAAATGTTATATACATAATCACATAATATATTAATTTACAATGTGTTCCTACCATTGAAAGAGTTGACTGTCCTTTATATGATATGAAACGTCAAAAGCAGATACTTCAATTGTTTGATAAATAAAATGTATAATGTCAGATGACGAACCATGGTCTGCTATTCATTTCAAAAGTCCTCATGGGTGGATTTAGTAGAAAGTCTTCATAATTACTGGTCGTCTGAATGAGAAGTCAATTATGCAATGGATGGATTTATGTCTGTGAGGTCGACGATGATGCACCTCGATTTTCTGTCTGTTTTGAATTGTTCAGAAACTGACCGCTGGCGCCGACGTATAACCTGGATCGCATCGGCCACTTCTGTTGAGATAAAAAAAAGAAAGAACAAATCCTTTAGGGAGTGCAGTTAACTAATTTCAATGCACCTGAAAATAGAATAGAGAAATTATGTAAGATATTATTTTAAATATTTAATTGAACACAATTTATGGTGCAAATTGATGCTTTCAATAACCAATAATAACAATTCCTCCCTATATAATTGTATTATTAATTAAGCATATGATGAATCCTATTCGTGTTAAAGATCTGTGTGATATAAAATGAATAAATGCATTTTATGCCTGCATGATTGACAATTTCATTTTCATGATTAGGGTATCATCACTTAGGCCTTAGGCCAGAGTTATTTCATATGCTCGATTTTAATGTTAATTTAATGTAAATTATTACTATTATTGTTGTTATTATTAGCCTACTATTTTTACATTATCGCACCACAACACAATTATCACACACACAAACACTTTGTCAGGTTAGTTTCAAATGTCATTTCGAAATCAATTAAAAGTCTAAATGTATTGTACGGGTGTACTTACTTTCACAGGGTGCAGGTAACCGTCCCCTTTCAGCGAGTGTAAGGCCTCTGTTTTTCTAGTGCTATCTCCCTCATCCATCCCCTCCTCTTGCAAGGTCTGAGTCAGGTGGGCAATGTACGTGGTGGCCAAAATCAACACGTCCAGCTTGGACAGTTTGGTGTCCGGTGGCACCGACGGCAGAGTCCGCTGTAGCTCCAGGAACGCGCTTCTCAGGGTCTGAACTCGACTCCTCTCCCGCGCTGCATTGGATGCTGCCGGCCGTCCTCTGCCACCGAGCCCACCGGCCTGGACCACCCTGGAGCGCTGCAGGGCCTCCGGACGCCGACTGTCGGTGGTCAGCATGTCAGGACTAGAGCTGGGGCTGGATGTGGGACTCTCATCCATAACTGTCACTGGGCCATTTCCACTATCCATGCGGATGGTCTGTCTTCCAACCATAGGAAGCACTTATAAACCTGACGGGTAACATATGTCTTCTTGATTAATGTACATTTTCAGTTGTCTAATTCTTAAACAAACTGAAAACACCAAGATTGAAAGAAAACAAGTTATCTCTATTTAATTTTTTTGAATAAACCTTAGATTAGCCTACAGAAAAAGTAAACGTTCATGTAGGTCTATTAACCAGTAGATTAGTGTGCGTAAATGCATTAGATTTGTAACAGGCCACGTCAGTTGCTGAAAATAAATAAAGGCATATTAAATCCTCATCCTTGCCTTGAAATGTGTGTGCACTTTGAACTTGTGTATGGCTAAACATTCCATTGAAAATTAATGTGTTTTGAAAAAGATGAATGGAAAATGTGTATTGAAACGAATTCTGTATCCAATTAGGCCTATTGGTCAATTTACATTACACATATAAAGCATTCATTAGGCTACATTTTCACTATCAACATGGCATAACAACATTACAAAATTATTGTGATGAATTTGTATAATCGCATTCAATTGTTCCTTCATTATTGCAATAAAACAGAAAAATTATCATATCGAGGCCAACGTGTACTAACCTTAACCTTAGAAGGCTGCTTTCCCAAGTTCAATTTGACATAAGAATGTGAATAATATCATAAATAGCACTATTACTGTATCTGTGGCAATTTCATCATTATTTGGTGTGACGCAAACTAATGTAAATCGTTACCAATTATTGTGCATGTTCCATCATTGGCCTACTTTCACAGCGTAACTTAATATGCTTGATGATGATGTTGTTATCAAGAAATTCAAACAACCTTTGAAACAAAATAATATTACTTTGAAGTTATTCCAAGCCATGTCGTCTATGAAAATATGGAGAGCTTACCTTCAAATTTCCCCAAAAGCTTCGTCTTGAGTAACGACATCAAGGCAATGCGAAGAGAATCTATAGAGCACCACAGACTCCACTGCTGCTCCAATACGAGATGGAGAAAAGTAGTCGTGCCGCTCCAAGTCCAGATAATCTTTATAAAGAGGCGCGGTCGTGGAAGAAGGTGCGCAGTGGGTATGTCCACGTACTGAGCGCTCACCTGAGTGTATGCGTATACGTCTCAGGAGCCTCTAATTTATTGCATACTTTATTGCATACACAAAGAGCTGACAACTTTTTCACTCCAGAGTAATTAATCACAAGCCCTTAAGACTCCCTGGCAGTGGGAGAAACTTACTGCTCTTTTCCCTTGCGCAACTTGTTTCTGTCGAAGGGGAGAGACCTCTTTTCAACGCCAGAGGCTGTATTTTTTTTCTAGCAAACTTTTGGGGGACGGTACTTCTTCCAAAACCATAACTGAGCAAACCATGTATTTTTGTCATAGCATTTGGTCACATCAATAAAGAGGGGACATCTGTGTTATTAACATGATATGGGTCGTGAACTGATTATATGCCTTAGCCTACCTGCCTTCCTACCCAAGTGCTCTCTCTGTCATTACTTTCCACAAGGCTACAAGAGGGCTATATCAGGTACCTGCCCAAATAAACAGTCCCTAATATTTTGGTGCTAATACTTGTTGCAGACCCCAATGGTTGCAACAGACCATGATGACAAGATGACTAGGGGTAAGGTGATATGCAAAATTGCCTAATTGCCAGGGTGCCTTGAGTTGCAGGTCACAAAATAGTCTAATTTCCAATAAACAGCTAATAAATAAAATCTAAACAGTGCAATCAACAGGCATGTATGAGGAAATACTTGCGAGACTCATAAATTAATCACTCTGATTTCCAGGGTTCGAAAACGGAGATGTCGGCAAATTAATGAATGGAATTATTCATAACATGCATATCCTCAGACTGTTCTTGATAAAAATTGTTTTTGTAAGGATGGAGTAACAGTATTGCTCCGGGCCACTAATTATGAGGCAAAGCAAAGAGGGTTAAGTAAGCTTCGTTCCCTAATTACCGCACATCTTTCAGGGGTTATACTCCTACATGCCTTTAAAAACCCATCCAGACGCTCGGAGGGAATTTAGACAGGGGATAATACGACAACCAAAGCAATTTTACTCCTCTCTCATCGAGTATTATTTCCACATTATGAGGGAGTGACTGCAAGGAGTGACATTAGGCTATCAAGCTTTTTTGTCAAATTATATGATGCTCTGGAATTACTATTTTGTTTAAAAAAAAAAGAAGGCTCCTGTTCCAATTAAAACGTTCACCATTTATTATACAATAATATTTTCTGACAATGGTGCGCAATTAAGTGCATATCTGACATCATAATGCACGGTTGGTGTCCCACAAAACATGTCATTAATACAGCAGGAAAAAATGACAAACTAGACTATCAAGGACACAGATAGTGGTTATACTGTAATTTCATTTGTATAAAACACAAACTCAGATTGGATTTATGGTGTGGACTTATTTGACATAGAGTTCTGGGATATAACTTCCCAAATTGGTGAAAATGATATTTGTAAAATCCAATAAAGCCATTTGTGAAATGGAGACTTCCCAGCATGGACACACCCAAACACCATTCTTTGGCATTCAGGGGTTTTCATAAATAAACACATCAGATCGTACACTCTAAAATCCAGGTATCTTAAAATTCCTATCAAGTCCACTCAGGTACACAAAACAAACATCAAACAGGCAAAGTAAAAAAAAAAAACATTGATATAATATCCGACATTGCTTTTATAGGGCAGCTATTGTTCTGTCATAACATTTTAACAAGACTCCAAAGAGTGCAGGTAGTTAAGTACATATATTATGACCATAAAGTGCCTCTACTGCAGTCCATCAGTCCCTGACAGTGACAGACCATAGTGTAGACTCTTTCGTATTGAGCGTGTCAGGCTTCAGGTCCGCTCCTGATGTGTGGTCACAGCAGTGGTAGGTTATGTGCAGTGCTTGACTTGGACTGGAATAGGTGCCGGTACCCATTTTGGGTGCCGGTACTGTTTATATTTAGTTGCAGGAGTTCCACAATACTTTCTAGTTAATATTCTATAAGAGGTGCAGGAGCTCAAGCAGTAAAACATTTTAGATGCTGGTACTCAGCTCCAGTGAGCTCCTGCCCAAGTCAAGCACTGAATATGTGTTATGTGTAAGGTAAGGGTCAGTGGTGAGAGGGTCACCAGAGTGTATGTATGTGTGTGTTAGTGGCTCTGCAATGAGAGCGTCATCAGAGTGTGTGTTAGCAGAGCTGGCATGTCCGTCTCACAGGCCGCAGACTTTAGCAGAGTCGGCCACATCACTAAGCAGCCCCGCACTCACTGGGATCTTCACATTCCGTGGCCTGGGAGAACAGAGAGAGAGCTGACCAGTAAGTGATCATCAGCCTCTTATATATATATATATTTCATATTTGAGTGGGATGTGGTATGAAAAAGTATAAAGCAATTTACACTACCATTCAAAAGTTTGGGGTCACTTAGAAATTTACTTGTTTTCGAAAGAAAAGCAATTTTATTGTCCATTAAAATAACATCAAATTGATCAGACATACAGTGTAGACATCGTTAATGTTGTAAATGGCTATTGTAGCTGGAAACGGCTGATTTTTAATGGAATATCTACAGTACATAGGCGTACAGCCCATTATCAGCAACCATCAGTCCTGTGTTCCAATGGCACGTTGTGTTTGCTAATCCAAGTTTATCATTTTAGAAGGGTAATTGATCATTAGAAAACCTTTTTGCAATTATGTTAGCACAGCTGAAAACTGTTGTGCTGATTAAAGAAGCAATAAAACGGGCCTTCTTGAGACTAATTGAGTATCTGGAGCATCAGCAATTGTGGGTTCGATTACAGGCTCAAAATGGCCAGAAACAAATAACTTTCTTCTGAAACTCATCAGTCTATTCTTGTTCTGAGAAATGAAGGCTATTCCATGCAAGAAATTGCCAAGAAACTGAAGATCTCGTACAACGCTGTGTACTACTCCCTTCACAGAACAGCGCAAACGGTCTCTAACCAGAATAGAAAGAGGAGTGGGAGGCCCCGGTGCACAACTGAGCAAGAGGACAAATACATTAGTGTCTAGTTTGAGAAACAGGCACCTCACAGGTCTTCAACTGGCAGCTTCATTAAATAGTACCCACAAAACACCAGTCTCAACGTCAACAGTGAAGAGGCGACTCCGGGATGCTGACCTTCTAGGCAGAGTTGCAAAGAAAAAGACATATCTCAGACTGCCCATCTTAATCTTTTATTTTTATTGGCCAGTCTGAGATATGGCTTTTTCTTTGCAAGTTCTTTGTTTTCTGGCCATTTTGATCCTGTAATCAAACCCACAATTGCTGATGCTCCAGATACTCAACTAGTCTCAAGGAGGCCAGTTTTATTGCTTCTTTAATCAGCACAACAGTTTTCAGCTGTGCTAACATAATTGCAAAAGTTTACAGTTGACAGTTTAGTAATTTAGCAAACGCTCTTATCCAGAGCGACTTCCAATTAGTGAGTGCATACATTTTTCATACTGGCCCCCGTGGGAAAAAAAAGGGTTTTCTAATGATCAATTAGCCTTTTAAAATGATAAACTTAGATTAGCAAACACAATGTGCCATTGGAACACAGGACTGATGGTTGCTGATAATGGGCCTCTGTACGCCTATGTAGATATTCCATAAAAAATCAGCAGTTTCCAGCTACAATAGCCATTTACAACATTAACAATGTTTCTGATCAATTTGATGTTATTTTAATGGACAAAAAAATGATTTTCTTTCGAAAACAAGTCAATTTCTAAGTGACCCCAAACTTTTGAATGGTAGTGTATGTATATTGGCTATTAAAGAGAAAGCCCTGTATGAACTGTTCATATTGTACTGATGGTCAACACCAGGCCGACAGCAGGGAAGGAAACTGTTTATTTGCATGAAAAGAAAGAAGAGCATTTGACAAATAGCAGGCCAATCGTCAAGCATGTATATCAAAATGGAAGGAAACAAGCAGTTAAGTGAAACGTGTTGATGTTAAAATCACTTATTCCAACTAAATACACATTTCTTATTCAAACTGAGATACAATATACATTTGCCTCAAATTTTTGTCTGAATTAAAGAATAAATTAATCAATTATCAGACATGGGTGGGAAGAGCCACTGTATTCTAAATCTGTCATATCGAAAAGTCTAAAAACACTGAATGTTTCCACAATTCTGTGTCCCATATTGATGTATTAAGACTGTCTGTAACAATACATTACCAAATACATTTTTTTGGTATTGATTGTACTGGTGACAGGCACTGACGATATCTTGATCTGAAAACCTTTCCTGCTGCACTGACCACTTTTCCCCCAATTCCACCTACTGTACTTTTTCCCCTTTTAATAAATATGCAACGTCCAGCAAGTCTTTTTTTCTAAAAGTGCGTGGAATGAATGTTTCATATGGGTGATAGGACTATAGATTGTTACGGCACCTCATTGCTGCACTGTCCAGTTGTGAGTGTTCTGAGCGGACCTTCCTGCTGGGTCTCCCACACTCCGGAGGATTCCTCTTTCCCAGGACGGTGGCGTAGTTATAGTTGGATGAAGGATGGGGGCCCATGTGGAAGTCTGCTGCAACACAAACAAAGCGAGTCATACAAAGCGAGTCATACATACACGATGTCACAGTTCTAACGATACTTCGGACATACACACAGCAGGACCAAAGTAGGGAGAGCGTGGTTGACCTTGGAGCAAAGTGTGTGAGGCTGTAACATGGGATATGCATGTTTCATAAGTGCAAAGTGAGTGTCTCTTTTAAAATATTTATTTGATATTTGTATATTTCTCTAGCAGAATGATGTAAAAAGATATAACAGTACATTATCTTACCAGTAAAGGGATAGGTGATCTGGCCGGTCATAATTCTTTCATCCTTCAGTTTTTTCTTGGCGTCTTTCGACGCTTTCCAGTTAATCAGGAACTGCCTGGACAACTCATTAATTTCCTTCCCATCAAGTTCGTCTACAAAAACAATATTATCATAGTCTACAATTAAATTAAATCCTGTGTGTTATAGAGCTGAAATATTTTCTGTAATTGTAGAGAATTAGGTCAAAGGCATTAGTTATTGAAACATCATATAATGTAAAATGCATAATACAATTCCTATGATCATTAGGTAGGGGTACAAAACAATTTTCTCACTCAGTCTTTTGCACACAGTTATCAGCCTATCTCTGTACTTGGGTTTGTGGCACACAGGATTCCCACTCAAATCCATTCGATGCAGCTGAGGCCATTGGCTGAACACCAACTCTAAATCCTAAATAGAATACAAGAAAAATACGGAGATACTTATGCTGAACATACTGTACTTCCAAATGTAAAGGTGTCGGACACTATATTGCAGAGGCTCTGTACAGTATTTACAAGACAAAGTGTGGGAAACAAAATGGCACTTTAACCTTTGAGGAAGTGAAAATGGAGCACTCTATAGTATCAATTTATAATGCGTCTACGGACTGTACTTTCAACAATGTATAGGATGTCATATAATTAATGTAATCAACAAACCACTCTCCGGTGGGAAAATCATACTATAAGCTAAAAAAACAACAACACATAATTCAAAGGTAGCACTGCCAAGAGCAAAATCCAAGGGAAAAGGTGTAAACAACACATCAGCTGTTTAAAACAACAACAACAATTAAACAATGGTGTTGTGTGACTAACAAGTTTTCCCTGCGGGCGCCTTCCACGGGCTCTTCCAGCGTGTTGCCTGTCCTGCAGTGTATGTTTATCTAAAGGCACATTAATCCAAGCCTGGAAATATGTATACTCTCTGGACGCGCTCTGATTGTTCATTGCTTTCCTGTCTCGGCCAAAGCGCTTCCACTTTTCCAGCCTGCACTGCAATCAGTTCAGAGGGGACCCCTTCGGCGCAGCACACTCCCAGGCTTTGATAAATGATCGTGTCAGGGCCGTCACTCACAAGGGCCTCGGCGAGGAGCAGCTCAGCGCCAAATTGCATCCCCTGCGGGGGCTCCGAGACCCGGACTGGATGAGCACTGCGCGGGGCTAAGCTGCTGGGCCCTGGTTCCTCACTGGACTTAATGATGGGCCAGTTATGTCCATCCTCTCTGGTCCTCTCTGCCCCGTGCCGTGTGAACGGCCTCGGTAGATACCAGCCCATTTGTCACCCTGGCTGACTGCCTGTCATAATATATTTTTAAAATCTATAATGCTTCCTCTGGATTCTGCCCCCACTGGGTTGAAGGCGGGATTGATCCTTCATGGTGCTGTCTTTGCAGGATCAATAATGGCAGAGGGGTTGTATAAATTAAAGGAGATATCCACTAAATATGAGAATATGAGAGCTCCCTCTGATTCATGTACCATTACCTGCAGAGGGCTGCTCTGCTCAGTGGAATGGCATTGTGTTGAGTGCCAATGTTACCCATGCTAACGGTGTGCTTTCAATGCTGTGTCCCAAAGTCACATTATAGCGTGGATGAAGAGACATCCTTTTTAAAAGAATTCAACCATCTAGCCTTTCAGATCCATAAAGAGAGAGAAAAAAAGTATTTTCCTCAGAAGTGGAGTCACAGGAACACACAGCATGTCGTTTTTCAAGGTCAACACAGCGAGCAGAAACCATATCTCTGCTTCAAATGAATCTCCCATCAAGTTCAGTGGTGCTGCTGGGAAGGAGGTATCAAATGCTGTACTCACAGAGAAAGAGAAAAAATCATCCTCCTAAGGAAGGAGAGAAACTTGCGCTTGTTTAAAGCTGTCAGCGAAGGCGGTCCTGGGGGACTAGGCTGCTGATTTGTTGAATAATTCTGACCCTGTGCGAGTCGCAGAGACTGTGAACCTCTGGCGGGATTTGCAGGATTTGGTTCTTTAGCACCCTGCTCTCCATATCATTTCACACATCACTGTTCATGTTACCCTGATCTGCTTATAGTCAGCGTGTTGATTTGAATACACTGCGGCACACACCGTTTCTGTGATGTGGTGTGGGTTCTTTTTCGATCGCACGATACGCTCACAGTTTACACTTTTGTCACATAGGTTAAGAGTAGAGTAAGTGGTGACTGGTATTAGCTAACTCCATCAGTAGCAGTGCTTTCATGAGGAAACGTAGGAGCTCATACCTGCATGTCCTGTAGCTGGTTGTCTGCAGCAAAGAAATGTGTGAGTTTCTTTAGAATGGCAAGATCTCTGACATCATCTAGGTTGTTCTTATTGATATTCAAGACACCTAGAGATTCCTGCAAAGATAAGTGAAACATTTGAAAAACGACTTGAATAATATTTACAACCAGTATATCTTAATGTCCCTTGATTACGTCTGTAAAATGGTTCAACAGATTGCTTTGGTTCTATAATGGTTCTATTAAATACTGCTGTTGAAATGTGATATTGGTCTTAGTTTCAGTTCCTTTAACTAGAGCCATTGATAAAAAGCTGGCGCTCTTACATTTGCACTGCAATTTCTTTAATTATCAAAATAAACAAGAATGTGAGATTTGCAGTTTGTTTACCCAGGGCCTGAGGAGTAAACAGCCCTGGTTGATCTGTGAGACCAGAAAGTGCCACAGAGCTCTCTTTGACATCATCAAACCCAGTACAATACCGCTTTTTACAGGGACCATTGGCCTTATGGAAATCTGAGAGACCTTTGCCAGACAAGCACATAATGCAGGTCGTGAACATATATGGTCTTATTGCTCAAGAGGGTGGAAATGATGACGTTACCGATACAGAGCCAACGGGAGATTGATGGTGGAATCTTGGTGCATAACTAGCATTTCAGTTGTCAATTGTGGTGTGAAATGAGCTGAAACAATCTCCTTTACTATAGGATGTGGTTGGTGATGTGGTTGGTGTGTTAAGGCGTCCGCATACTAGGTTGGGTTTGCTCCTAGCAGAACTCGGCTAGGCGAAGCGAACGTCTGTGCCTCGCATACTCCCTTAAAAAAACATTTGCTTGAAAAACAAGAAAAAAGTGCCAATATTACTTTTTGTCCCTCTAAAGATAGCCTAGTAACAACATACAGTTACCCCTTTTACCAAAGAGCACCTTCTGTCTACCAAAATCTACTATTGCGTACCTTAGCAGCGCTTCCCTTCCTTCGTTTTTTCAACAACATACAGTTACACTTCCTCAAAATAGTCATTATTAATCTAAGATAAATCAATGAATCTGTAATTCATTTTGACGTTTTTGGCGATGAGTTCTTAGTCGCGCAAATTTTCATCTAAGATGTTCGGTGCAGTATTTCTCAAGTGAAAAAGTGTGCATGAAAACTAGTAATCTCTCGTTGAATGACAACAAACATGTCATTGAAGAATCCCTACTGTTGCCCAATCACCGACGAAGGGGCGTAGACTTCGGCTACCGAACTTCGGCTTGCCTCAAGAAAAAATGTTGTGTGCTCGAACAGCCGGAAAAAAAACTGCCAAATGCTGCTGAACACCAAAATGAACAAAAACATCACAAAATGTATTCATAATATATGTGCAAAATGTTTAGACTGGGAAGCATACGGTAAGCTTTAGTGTGTCTTACAGCGAGGGAGAGGAGAGTCCTGGGGTCAAAGAGCAGCTTCTCTCCACTGGGCAGTCTCTGGCCCTCCAGGTGGAGCTCCTTCAGATCCCCCAGCTTCTCTAACCCCTCCACCACTGTGATGCTGTTTCCCCCCAGGTACCTGATATGGCACAGAGAGAGAGACACACACACACACACACACAAACGTAAGAGATACACACGCATGCACGCCAAGACAAAAACACGGACGAATGGAGAAACATGGACACATGCATACAGACAGTCATAGACAGTTTAATGGATCTCCAAAGCTTTACCACAGACATCATACATTTAAAGGGATACTTTGGGATTTTGACAATGAAGCCCTTTATCTACTTCCCCAGAGATAGATGAACTCGTGGATTTTATCTCTTTGTCCAGTATGAAGGAAGTTAGAGTTATTTTCACGAGCCAATGCTAAGTAGCGTTAGCACAGTAACTGGAAGTCTACAGGAACAGCTAGCATGCTAGCTGTTGCCATAGACTTCCAGTCATTGTGCTAACACTAGTTAGAAATTGCACTAACGCTAGTTAGCAACTTCCTTCAAACTGCACGCAGAGACATAAAAATGGTATCATTGAGTTCATCTATCTCCGGGGAAGTAGATTACAGTCTTCAATGCCAAAATCCTAAAGTATCCATTTAAACTGGACAAGCTCCTACTCACAGTTTGGAGAGCTTCTGCAGGCTGGAGAGGTTATCTATGTGAGTGATGTTGTTGTTCTGCATGTACAGGTGAGTGAGGTTGGAGGCAAAGCCCAGGTTGCAGATCTGGCTGATCTGATTGTCGTACAGGTAGAGGACTGTGAGGTTTCTGCACATGGAGAGATCATCCTGCAACAAACAAAGAAGATATCTTTACCATTAGAAGCTAAAAGAGAGAAGCACAGAAACAGAACATAGCTAGCCTATATTAATTTGGGTAACTGTAGTATGTCTTGTGATCTCGTACTTACAATATCCTCTATGTTCTTGTTGGAGAAGTTCAGGTGAGTGAGTTTCTTGAGGTACTTTGGGAGGGAGTAGCTTCTCTTGTTTTTGAAATGGTTGCTGGATTTGGCAATCAGATCTATGGTGAGGCGGACCATGATGGCTCGTCACAGACCCTGCTTCAGAGTGGATCCTTTTCAGCTTCAGCCAAGCGTTTACAGAACAACCACTAGAAACATCTGAACAAGGGAAACACATGAACTATCTGTAAAGAGATGAGTCAGAAGGAAAAAACATATCATTGGAGTTATGCCACAGAAAATGTCTGTCCTATTCAAAAATATATATTTCCCCAATGAAATATTTGTGATTTTAGGTGCTCATTGAAGTAAAGTGGAATATTGCTATGCCTAAATGAAACTGAATGTGTGTAAAAGGAAGCTGATAGCATTTGTCAAAGTCAGCACCGGTAACTGCTGCTAAAAGCATTAGCAGGTCATTCTTATTCTCCCAACTAGCTTTACACCAGACATTACGGATTAGAGGGGCAAAGGTGGGATGACCACTAGATTTGTGGAAATTAGGTCCATCTATTCCCCAAGCAGGCCATCTATTCCCCAAGCAGGCCATCTATTCCCCAAGCAGGGCATCTATTCCCCAAGCAGACCATCTATTCCTCAAGCAGGCCATCTATTCCCCAAGCAGGCCATCTATTCCCCAAGCAAGCCATCTATTCCCCAAGCAGGCCATCTGTTCCCCAAGCAGGCCATCTATTCCCCAAGCAGGCCATCTGTTCCCCAAGCACACCATCTGTTCCCCAAGCAGGCCATCTGTTCCCCAAGCAGGCCATCTATTCCCCAAGCAGGCCATCTATTCCCAGGCCATCTATTCCCCAAGCAGGCCATCTGAACAAGGCTTTATTCCTGTTCCACATCTTCCTCAGTTCCAGCGGTACACACACGCACACAGAGCTGAGTGTGACAGCAGGTCTTTCATAAACTTGATCTCAGGGCATGAGGCTGAGTTGACATGGAAGAGTGCCTCTGATCGATTGAGATGAGATCTCCACTCGGCAGCTGCAAGGTCAGTGAAGCCCTCGGGACTGGACGGACAGCAGTTAATCATGTTCAAAACAACTGACACAAGCAGCAGTTAACTTACAGGATAAACACAAAGCCACATTCATTAATTTTCTGTAGCAACTAACGTTAGCTAACTAGCTAACTGTTACTACTACTGTAGCTAACGGTAGGCACAAACATCAAACTAGCAATGCAACTAACTTTAGCCTTTCAACAAAGCTGTCACCAATAGCCAGCAAAAAACAGGCTTTCAAAGTACATATAAATCTACCTACCACTGTAGTATATGCACGTGTCCTTGTAATTTGATGATAAAAGAGACTAATGCTAAAGATGCGGGATGAGATGAGGAGAAAGTTTACCCTTGTGTGTGGATATCCTTGTTGGGAATGGTTGCCATGGGAACAACACAGACGAGCGTGCAAAGAGGACTGCGTAGCTAATCTACATCCTTGCCTTTGCAATAAAAATATATTTTATGCAGCATACTGTTACTTTCCTTTCTCTATTATCCTGGAATAGTAGCAGATTGCTTACTAGTATGCTAATTAACAACCATGGATTTAGTTGAGTTTTTCGAGCATGAGCTGTTTACACCTTGTGTCAATGGTTTACACAAGTGTCAATCAAATTGTGCACCATGTGCAGTTGCAGTCAGAAAGATAGATTGCTATTCTGCTCATTACTAATTACTTACAATGGTTGCCTGTATACACGCATTTAATTATTGTCAACGCTCTGTTATATTTAACTACAAAAACATTTTTTTTCCGATTCTGACAGTTTTGTGAAAAATGACCAAAACACAGGTTGTTATTAATGTGAAAAAAAATGACTGTGCCCCAAAACTTGAGGACATAAATTAATTTCCTTTTTCTTATAGTACATTTCAGTTAAATATGGACCCAAACGTAACTGGATCTAGAACAAACATTGGAATTCACAAAGGAAGTGGTAGATGAATTACATGGCTTTGGCAGAAATTAATTGGCTTTGCAGTGCATTACATTATTGCTGCAGTCAGCATGCAGGTAAGAAAACAAAACATTTCCTTTAGATTGTTCATTTCTCTGCGAACCATAAGTCAACGTAATGAATTTATACATGAATTCATACATATCAATAATTTAATTGATCACAATCAAACTTAGTTGTGTAAATGTATGTAAAATCACCTCGGAATAAATGACAGTTTGAGTCTATCACAGTTTTTGCCATTTGTATCAAGATCTTCCAAATTGTTATATTTGCATCCAAAACATTTGTGAATTGGATTGCATTTCACTCTTTATTACCTTGTCACATCCTCATGAAAAACATATTTTGGGCCAGACTTTTCTGGCTGAGTAAATTAAAAAATCTTGGATAAATATAGAGAAAGCCAGAATTCCTTTCAGCACTTTTCCTTTCTTCAGAAATTGTCAGAAAACGATTCCATTCAAACACCATAAATCATGTGGTCTTTTATGTACATTTCTAATGATCAGCTACTTGTGTGGTATTGTAGACCTCTGAAATAAAAACTGTTTTGCCTTTTCAGTGGTGAAATGTAAAACATTTTATGTCCATGATCCAGGATTATATGAGGTCAAAGGTTAAATTAAGAACAAAGAGTGTGGAATATGTCAAACAGACAGACAGACAGACACACATAAACAGTAAAACAGAGTGAATTTAGTAAAGATCCTGCAGCTACCCCTGAGGTCAGGCCTCTATTGCCTGCAGACTTGTACATGAGGTAACCCGACACCATGTTTATCAGTTTCTCCAACTTTCTGGGCTGAATGCTGTCCCACTTCTCCCCTTCTCTCCAGCCAAGATCACATTGCTCCCAGGAATGATGTGTATAATGTACCAAGCAGGCCGGGGTCACAATGCGATTGGCTCGGTGAGTCTCAGCAGTGACCCGTGCATTGTTATATAATGTCAGGTCCCGGGCTTCCTGCGACTGAATGACTTGCCTCCACTTATGCATGCAGAGCACTTGGCAAGGAGGAAATGTAGTGCTATGGGCCCTTCTTTCCCCCCCAACATAGCTCCCCTCTAGGGCAACGAGTGAGTTCCAACCCCCTTCACTACACCATGCTTGTTGATCGTGTTCTGAGATCCAAAGTAAACAGGGCCTATAAGGGCCCAGTAATAAATAGCTTAATCATAAGCCTTATCAATCCTCTGTTCTCAGAACTTCAGTTCTTTTTTAAAATCAGTATTACATCACCCCTGTTTATTATTCCAATTCATTTTCAATGAATTCACTGAATTCTACTGTTTCATGGACGATTTGGATAATAGTACGCTTAATGAAAATAAATGTTAATTCAGTAACTTACATTGTAATAGTATTGAATGCTTGGCTGTCGGTTGGCTTTCATTGGAATTCACATTTACTAGTTTCCACTGTTAGTGAAGAATATAAATGTTCATCTGGTGCTGATCATAAGATTTACATGCAGGCCAATGTCCAATACGGAACACTGGTCTTATATTTAAATGATCATTTTACAAACCTTGCATTAGGTAAAACCATTACTAAGAAAGCACATTCCATATACTCGTTGAGCATCTAGCCATAACAGTATTTAGCTCTTACCGTAACAGTACTGTAATGCACTTAAAGGTTTGGCAAAACCACTAGCTACAGTGCATTCAATGGACCATGTGAGGGGAAAGCCAATTGTTCACTCTTGTTAATTCCAAAATTCACAAATTGCATTAAACATAATTCAATAAGTTTCCTCTTTCTAAAACACCACATTAGGATACACACTTCACCAATTATAATAATGTAAAAAATCATTACAAGAATTGGTGCCAAAGCCCATGTACATGACAGAATGCCAACCCATTCAATGTGCCCCAAATATGGTTCCCTGCCTCTGCAATGCTGCATCAAAAACATACATTCCACCATTACAATACCACAAGAAAAAAATGTATTATTACATGAAAATGTGCCAGGGCTGCTGTGTAAGGAAAGGCAGACAGTGTCTGCTTTGATGAAGAGCAGACGGGTTGTGTGAATAGACTCCAGTGTGCATGCCTCCTGTTTCTGTGCTGCATCATTGCTGTGGCGCAGCTTGACGACTCTGCGACCCTGAAGGACTGTGTACCATTGAGAGACAACCTGCACCGAGAGCCGCTCCGCGGAGACGTCTCGACCATGCCAGCCAGTGTTTACATTCGAGCCGATGCAGCGGCTTGAGTTTGTTGTTCCATTATGTAATGCTATGACTGGCCAGAGTTGAAATGACTGGCTGACTGGTTGTAGTTTTTGTTATGGAGAAATATGTAACCATGGTCTTTGTTGAAGTGTTAGGTTGTACTCTACTACAGCCAATGCCAAACAGCCATGGGACATGAAAATGGCACAGTGCTGTGTCATGTTGAACCCAAAGGAGCATACCTTTCAAATGTCTGCAAGCATTCAAAAAGAAGAAAAACTACATTAACTAAAGTTGGAAGCAATTCAGTTAAAACAATATGGTTCACCAACCTCAGGAATACTTAAATGAAGTCAAGGAAAGAAAACTTGAATGTAGATACACTGTAACACCACTATTTATTTACGCACACACATAAGTTGAGATCAATCATTCACACTAAAGAAATTAAACTAAGAAACTTTCCTCAGATAATAAGTGACAGATCATTCTGCTAACAATAATCTAAATGCTAAACATACACAGTAATACACACACGAGGGGTGAACTTCACTTGGGCTGTTTCGGGCTTAGTTGGCAGACGTGTTGATTTGATTGAAGAGTTTATCCTTGATGACTTGAGACATCAGACCATGGATTGCCTCAATGGTTGTCTTGCAGCTTGAATAGCCAGGGGAAAAAAGTAAAGTTACGTTTCGCTCTGGACATGAAGAGGTGACACAGATGACCTATCCATCAACAGACAGGTCAGATGAATTAACAGATAGGTGTTGCATTCACGGGAGAAACTCAAGAAATCCCAACTATTGTATAAATAAGCAGACATTGAATAGGTAGGTAGGACATGCCATCAGCTAAAAAAGTAACTAATCATTCCTATCACATCTACACACAAATAATGTGTGATCAAAATAGTTACAAAACATATTGTAATAATACAGATATTGTATAACTTAAAAGTATCCAGTCAGTCAATACCTCCGCCTAAACAAAACATACGGTGATGTATGGTTCTATGTCAAAAAACGATTTACCATGACAATATTAGAGTGTCATGCTATGAATCAATCACTAAATAGCCCGAGGTCTGGGCCTGAATGCCAAATCAATAAGTAAGCCCAAATAAACATGATCTATATTGTGTTGCCTTACCTGTCTCGTGTAGCTTTGGCCAGTTTGTCCTCAGACTTCCTGTCGTGTGTGTCCAGGCCCAGCATGAAGCTTCCTCTTCCCAGCTGAGCCTCCGACTGCTCCAGCTTCTCAGACAGGTCAAACACCTGGCCTGTGGTGTATTCTGAATTCTGGGGACACAAGGACACACACATTGGATTATGTACCTATATGTTATATTGTCATGTACCATGATCAGACGAACGCATACGATTAAGTTAATCAAAGCATGTGGAAGCAGTAGCCTATATACCGGTCCGTGTGTGGGCTATCTACACACACACACCTTAACCAGGGAGAATGTTCATGCACAATTTCACCATCACCTATTTTCTTCACCACTACTGAGACATTCAATACAAGTATGCTGAACTTGATAAAGGCTTAAATGGCTTGCCAAGTCGCCGTGAAAAGGGTTCGGTGAAAAGGTTTGCCTAAGGTGAGGCCGTGTTTTCCATGGAGCAGGCAATTAGGAGACAATGACAGGGGCCCAGACTGTGGTAACAGTGTAGTGACTGACAAAGCCCTTCGCCAATGGAGCAGCCGATTCCTGACAACTAGTCAATCCATCTTCATCCAGAATGCCCAGAGTCCACTGTTTGGATAGTCCGCTGCCTTTAGACTGTTTAGCCAGAGCGGCGGCATCCACAATGGGAATTCACTGGGGCTTTCAATCTCTAGAATGTATTGGCGACGAGGGAGATGATCCACAGTGAACGACAGCGACATCTGTATCATCACATCTCCAAAGCATGGATTCTTTGTTTGCAGGTTAACATGGTGGCCTCAGTCATATTAATTAACCCATGTTTGTAAATCTGTACAATGGACTTCAAAAAATAATAAAACAAATAATCCCCCCAACTGGCCATATAAAATGGCTATTAATAACAATCTAAATAAACAGAGGGATTTGTATTCATATACAAGATCTGCACCTCTACTTCAGCTGCTCCTTGATTCCGTATTGAATTGTTATATATCTAATTGTTGTGTTCTACAAATTGAACATTGCTTGATTAAGAGTTATATTCCAAACACTTACCGTCAGAAGACTTGAAGAGCTCAGAGTGTTGACCCAGTATTTATTCCAGAGGAGCTCCAGTAATTTTCGGTCGAGGGAAGACTTGAAATAAGTCACCTCCAGGGCATAATACCTAAACAAACAAAACCCCACGGCACTTAGTGAATAATTACACAATGTAACTTAAATGAAGAAAATATTACCTTTTATTTACCACAGTGTTACTAAGGCATTATTACATCATAAGGACTTGAACTTGTGCTATAGGCCACATCAACCCTAACACATTTTTTTTTATTTGAAGTAACTTGTCATGTTTACCTAGAAAATGTGTAAGATGATGCTTAAGATTATTTGTGTGCCTAAACATTCTGCCAGTTTAAATGTCCAACAGGACTCACTGTTTGCAGTGCACACCGAAGTCTTCGATCTTGTTCAAGGGAATGGTCTGATACTCAGAGGGTCCTTCATCAGGAGGTTTGTAACCCTGAAAACAACGCAGACAATTTTTAGACTCATTGATACATTTATATTTACAGAGAGGAAATCTTAAAATAGTCTTAAAATATTTTCCCAATCTGATAGAGACACTCAGCTATCCATTAAGGAATTAGCCACTAATAACACATTTTTCAAATGGAGACATTTAACACAAGATTGACAATTAATCACAATATTATTTCTTATACAGTAGATACAAGAAAATCTTAAAAATAAATGTTCCATGTTGTATGGATAATAAATACTGTATAATAAATGATATATTAGGTATTTATGAGTTATTTTATTTTTTCCCCAACTTGTCTAATGTTACATGTAATAGAGCTAAAGACTGAAATAATTGCGAGAAACACATTTTACTCCTTACTTTGGGGTATGTTCTGAAGGCGCCAAGATTGACTTTCCCTGCAGATATGGTGCGAGTGGGGTCGATCTGGGAGGGAACGAGATACAGTAGAACAGGAAAATGCATTCCGAGGTCAGACAGTCTCTAGAGATCACCCCAAGCTGGCCACCAGGAGTGACGTTTTTTTCTTAACTACTGCTGCCAGTGTAGTCAAAGTACACACTTAATTACCCTATGTCCTTGGCACTGCAGCCCTGCGGTTCCAATCAAGTGCAAATAGCATCTACTGTTACAAAAGCCTAATATTTGCCCGTGCCTCTTGGTGAACTACTACCATACATCAACAACCACTAAAGGGATGCCTAAACCTGATTGCACCCCTCTCAGTTACTCATGCATGACCTTGTACCCGCAAAAAGAAAACCAAAGTACTGTATTTAGGAAACAGTCTAATAAAAGGCAAATGGAAATTCGAACATTTTGTATTTTGCGGGTATTGAGCTATTGAACTATGGGCTGAGGTTGGGGCAGGAGGTTGAGCTTTTACTGTACTCACCACCACTGCCACGAAGGGCTCTTGAAACTGCTGGTTGAGCATCTGAGTGCTGACATCGATACCTGACAACCAGCAGCCGTAACCTGGGTGACTGTGGTACCAGCCAATGGCGTTCTCCAGCCGACCAACCTGACAGTTCACAAATGGCAAGGCATCAGCATCAAGTCAATGAAGAGATAGTTCCAACATAGTGTCCAATATGTTACCACTGTGATAAAACAATGGACACAGTTCTCCCTAAAATATCAGATGTTTTGATCAATCCTTTTCTGCAACATTGAGGACGAAAAACATGTCCCTCCCTTCCAGGAGTCAGTCATATTACCTGTTTGGCATTCTCAATGTAGGCAGCCATGTATTCATAAGCCGCAGCCTGGGCGTTGACCCGGGTCTCTGTGCCCTCCACGGGTAAGGCAAAGCTGTCCATGATGTTCATGGTCTCCCCGTCCACTTTCCCCAGCATCAGCCCCATCACCTCCAGGTTGCCCCCGGATCTGGCGTGCATCACCATCTTCAGCAGCGCCAGAGCAGAGATCTTGCAGTACTTAAAGTATTGATGACTACGGGACAGCAATCATAGTAATGTGAATTATGCATAGGGAACAATGACATGCATTTGTTACTGCCAGTTCAGCTAGCTAGCACTACCAGCTAACTAGCTAGCTAGCTTGCAATGTAGGGAGAATTCTCATTGTTGACATGCTAACTAGCTAGCTAGCTAATTTAGCTAGCAGCTAGCTGGTCAAGCTACGTTAACTCAGTCCAACAAAGAACTAGCAAGCAGTTGCAAAGAAAAGCAACTGACAATCTATAAATATATACTTACTCCTTTGTCCATGGCTTCGCAGCAAGGATTTCTTGTTGTTGTTTTTTGTCATATTTATAGATTTCATCTATGCTCTGAACTTCCTGCATACTGTTTTGTAGCTCCCATGTTTTCTGTGCCATGCTACTCCCTGCCATTTTGACAAACTAGTTTCAATACCTCTCTAAAATATAAAGTAATACTAGAGAAAAAAACTAGAGAGAAAACTAGAGTGTTATCAAACGCTTAATATTTCAAAAACCTCTAGCTAGCTAATAATAACATCATCAAAAAACGGTATCTCTTGCTCATCTACTTGTTCAGGGAGCCATGACACTGGTCTGTACCATGCTGTGGTAAAGGAGGACATACACATTTTAAAATCAAAATATAAGGTGACCGTATTATTTTTGTTAAGTTAATGATGATAGCTACATAGGAAACTATCAAATTAAGCCAGAAATGCATTCATGCTTTTATTCACCAACAGCTCAAAAACACCCATTAACGTGATGGTTTAGTCCAAACAACACAGCAGACGACGTGATACAAATCGAAATGCTGACATCTTCTGGGGAATGTGTGAAATGCAGACGCTTTTTACTGATTTGTTATTTGGAAACAAAGTAATTAGTACATTTAATTTAGCTTTGAAAGTTAAATAATGTCAATTTGTTAATATTGTTAGAGTTGCGAAGCAAAATTTTTGATTCTTAAAAACAACCTGATAAAAAACGTATTGAAGTTATTGTGGCAGTGCGAAGTCTCGCGACCCTGCCGCATTAGCAGCACCACTTGATGCACATTCATTCAACAGCGCACTTCATCATTCTTTGTTTGCCACAAAGACTGTTCATGCGGTAAGCTACCATGTTGGTTTGGGTTAATATTTCCCTAAACGTGTTGCATGATAATTTTTTTACGTTTTGGGACAAGTTTCTAACATTCGCAAGGACTGTAACTAAAGTTAATCAGCTAGCTTTGTGTATCGTGGTTGCCTAACAACGGAAAGATAGATGCTCTGAGCCTAGCTTTTTTAAATTTCTCATTTCGAGCATCAAACAAACTGTTCAGCTTTTACTGTTCGTTCAAAGGTTTATATTTGAACAATATATTGTTGATTGACAGCCTGCCTGTATTTGTATTTTATGTAGAAATGGATAACCTAGACAGTTTTTTGGAGGAACAGATAACCAAAGTGGCTAAAGAGAGGGCATGTTTGGAAGAGGAGGATCCACCTTACATGACAATCAAGGTGTGTAATGGTTCCAATGTAATAATGAGAAATGGCTGCAAACTCCAAATGTTTGGCCAAATGTTAGTTTCATGTTAAATGCTTGCCTCAAATGTTGTCAATGATTTTATAACATAAATGATTGAAGTAAATGGCCAATGTGATCTTTATTTTGCCACTGCAACAGACAAAGGCAGACAATGTAAACTCTGTAAAGGAGAACGCTGCTCCATTTGACTGGGCATCAACTCAGAGAAGACTTCCAAACCCTGGCAGAGGTACAGTGCAGCCTATGTTTCTATGACCACCACCATCATCATGAATTGTCATGGGGCAAGGTGTGGTTTGTTGTCTGTCTGTGGAATTGGTAGTGATATGCAGCACTAGCTAATGTTTAACGTCTGTTTTTTTTTCCAGAGGAGAGTTCAGGATTAAGTTTGCAGTTGGGAGCAGAATATGAGCAGAAGAAGCAAAAACTTCAGCAAGAGCTTCGTTTGGACTACAGAAGATATGTGGCTCAGGTTTGCAGTAGTTATTATTATAATACTTTTTTTATTTCACCTTTATTTAACCAGGTAAGCCAGTTGAGAACAAGTTCTCATTTACAACTGCGACCTGGCCAAGATAAAGCAAAGCAGTGCGATAAAAAACAACAGAGTTACATATGGGGTAAACAAAACATAAAGTCAAAAATACAACAGAAAATATATATACAGTGTGTGCGAATGTAGTAAGTTATGGAGGTAAGGCAATAAATAGGCCATAGTGCAAAATAGTTACAATTTCGTATTAACACTGGAACGATAGATGTGCAAATAGAGATACGGGGTGCAAATTAGCAAAATAAATAACAATATGGGGCTGAGGTAGTTGGGTGGGCTAATTTCAGAATGGCTGTGTACAGGTGCAGTGATCGGTAAGCTGCTCTGACAACTGACGCTTAAAGTTAGTGAGGGAGATAAGAGTCTCCAGCTTCAGAGATTTTTGCAGTTCGTTCCAGTCATTGGCAACAGAGAACTGGAAGGAATGGCGGCCAAAGGAGGTGTTGGCTTTGGGGATGACCAGTGAGAGATACCTGCTGGAGCGCAGACTACGGGTGGGTGTTGCTATGGTGACCAGTGAGCTAAGATAAGACAAGGATTTGTCTAGCAGTGATTTATAGATGACCTGGAGCCAGTGGGTTTGGCGACGAATATGTAGTGAGGGCCAGCCAACAAGAGCGTACAGGTCACAATGGTGGGTAGTATATGGGGCTTTGGTGACAAAACGGATGGCACTGTGATAGACTACATCCAATTTGCTGAGTAGAGTGTTGGAGGCTATTTTGTAAATGACATCGCCGAAGTCAAGGATCGGTAGGATAGTCAGTTTTACGATTGCATGTTTGGCAGCATGAGTGAAGGAGGCTTTGTTGCGAAATAGGAAGCCGATTCTAGATTTAACTTTTGATTGGAGATGCTTAATGTGAGTCTGGAAGGAGAGTTTACAGTCTAACCAGACACCTAGGTATTTGTAGTTGTCCACATACTCTAGGTCAGACCTGCCAAGAGTAGTGATTCTAGTCGGGTGGGCGGGTGCAAGTAGCGTTCGGTTGAAGAGCATGCATTTAGTTTTACTAGTGTTTAAGAGCAGTTGGAGGCTACGGAAGGAGTGTTGTATGGCGTTGAAGCTCGTTTGGAGGTTTGTTAACACAGTGTCCAATGAAGTGCCAGATGTATACAAAATGGTGTCGTCCGCATAGAGGTGGATCCGAGCGTCACCAGCAGCAAGAGCGACATCATTGATATACACAGAGAATAGAGTCGGCCCGAGAATTGAACCCTGTGGCACCCCCATAGAGACGGCCAGAGGTCCAGACAACAGGCCCTCCGATTTGACACATTGAACTCTATCTGAGAAGTAGTTGGTGAACCAGGCGAGGCAGTCATTAGAGAAACCAAGGCTATTTAGTCTGCCAATAAGAATGCGGTGGTTGACAGAGTCGAAAGCCTTGGCCAGGTCGATGAAGACGGCTGCGCAGTACTGTATTTTATCGATCTCTGTTATAATATAGTTTAGGACCTTGAGCGTGGCTGAGGTGCACCCATGACCAGCTCGGAAACCGGATTGCATAGCGGAGAAGGTACGGTGGGATTCGAAATGGTCTGTGATCTGTTTGTTAACTTGGCTTTCAAATACTTTCGAAAGGCAGGGCAGTATGGATATACAGTGGGGAGAACAAGTATTTGATACACTGCCGATTTTGCAGGTTTTCCTACCTACATAGCATGTAGAGGTCTGTAATTTTTATCATAGGTACACTTCAACTGTGAGAGACGGAATCTAAAACAAAAATCCAGAAAATCACATTGTATGATTTTTAAGTAATTCATTTGCATTTTATTGCATGACATAAGTATTTGATCACCTACCAACCAGTAAGAATTCCGACTCTCACAGACCTGTTAGTTTTTCTTTAAGAAGTCCTTCAGGTTATGGGGCTGTCGCTGGGCAATACGGACTTTCAGTTCCCTCCAAAGATTTTCTATTGGGTTCAGGTCTGGAGACTGGCTAGGCCACTCCAGGACCTTGAGATGCTCTTACGGAGCCACTCCTTAGTTGCCCTGGCTGTGTGTGTTTCGGGTCTTTTGTCATGCTGGAAGACCCAGCCACGACCCATCTTCAATGCTCTTACTGAGGGAAGGAGGTGTTGGCCAAGATCTTGCGATACATGGCCCCATCCATCCTCCTCAATATGGTGCAGTCGTCCTGTCCCCTTTGCAGAAAGCATCCCCAAAGAATGATGTTTCCACCTCCATGCTTCACGGTTGGGATGGTGTTCTTGGAGTTGTACTCATCCTTCTTCTTCCTCCAAACACGGCGAGTGGAATTTAGACCAAAAGCTATATTTTTGTCTCATCAGACCACATGACCTTCTCCCATTCCTCTCTGGATCATCCAGTGGTCATTGGCAACTTCAGACGGACCTTGCGTGCGCTGCAGGATTTTAATCCATGACGGCGTAGTGTGTTACTAATGGTTTTCTTTGAGACTGTTGTCCCAGCTCTCTTCAGGTCCTGCCGTGTAGTTCTGGGCTGATCCCTCACCTTCCTCATGATCATTGATGCCCCACGAGGTGAGATCTTGCATGGAGCCCCAGACCGAAGGTGATTGACCGTAATCTTGAACTTCTTCCATTTTCTAATAATTGCGCCAACAGTTGTTGCCTTCTCACCAAGCTGCTTGCCTATTGTCCTGTAGCCCATCCCAGGCTTGTGCAGGTCTACAATTTTATCCCTGATGTCCTTACACAGCTCTCTGGTCTTGGCCATTGTGGAGAGGTTGGAGTCTGTTTGATTGAGTGTGTGGACAGGTGTCTTTTATACAGGTAACGAGTTCAAACAGGTGCAGTTAATACAGTTAATGAGTGGAGAACAGGAGGGCTTCTTAAAGAAAAACTAACAGGTCTGTGAGAGTCGGAATTCTAAAATTACAGACCTCTACATGCTTTGTAAGTAGGAAAACCATGTATCGCGAGATCTTGGCCAACAACCTCCTTCCCTCAGTAAGAGCATTGAAGATGGGTCGTGGCTGGGTCTTCCAGCATGACAACGACCCGAAACACACAGCCAGGGCAACTAAGGAGTGGCTCCGTAAGAGCATCTCAAGGTCCTGGAGTGGCCTAGCCAGTCTCCAGACCTGAACCCAATAGAAAATCTTTGGAGGGAACTGAAAGTCCGTATTGCCCAGCGACAGCCCCATAACCTGAAGGATCTGGAGAAGGTCTGTATGGAGTAGTGGGCCAAAATCCCTCCTGCAGTGTGTGCAAACCTGGTCAAGACCTACAGGAAACGTATGATCTCTGTAATTGCAAACAAAGGTTTCTGTACCAAATATTAAGTTCTGCTTTTCTGATGTATCAAATACTTATGTCATGCAATAAAATGCAAATGAATTACTTAAAAATCATACAATGTGATTTTCTGGATTTTTGTTTTAGATTCTGTCTCTCACAGTTGAAGTGTACCTATGATAAAAATTACAGACCTCTACATGCTATGTAAGTAGGAAATCCTGCAAAATCGGCAGTGTATCAAATACTTGTTCTCCCCACTGTAGGTCTGTAACAGTTTGGATCTAGAGTGTCACCCCCTTTGAAGAGGGGGATGACTGCGGCAGCTTTCCAATCTCTGGGGATCTCAGACGTTACGAAAGAGAGGTTGAACAGGCTAGTAATAGGGGTTTCGACAATTTCGGTGGCTAATTTTAGAAAGAAAGGGTCCAGATTGTCTAGCCCAGCTGATTTGTAGGGGTCCAGATTTTTCAGCTCTTTCAGAACATCAGCTGTCTGAATTTGTGTGAAGGAGAAGCGGGGGGGGCATGGGCAAGTTGCAGCGGAGGGTGCAGAGCTGGTGGCCGGGGTAGTAGTAGCCAGGTGGAAAGCATGGCCAGCCGTAGCAAAATGCTTGTTTAAATTCTCGATTATTGTAGATTTATCGGTGGTGACAGTGTTTCCTAGCCTCAGTGCAGTGGGCAGTTGGGAGGAGCTGCTCTTATTTTCCATGGACTTTACAGTGTCCCAAAACTTTTTGGAGTTAGTGCTACAGGATGCACATTTCTGTTTGAAAAAGCTAGCCTTTGCTTTCCTAACTGATTGTGTATATTGGTTCCTGACTTCCCTAAAAAGTTGCATATCGCGGGGGCTGTTCAATGCTAATGCAGTACGCCACAGGATGTTTTTGTGCTGGTCAAGGGCAGTCAAGTGTGAGGAGAACCAGAGGCTATATCTGTTCTTAGTTCTGAATTTTTTGAATGGGGCATGCTTATTTAAGATTGAGAGGAAAGCACTTTTAAAGAACAACCAGGCATCCGCTACTGACGGAATGAGGTCAATATCCATCCAGGATACCCGGGCCAGGTCAATTAGAAAGGCCTGCTCGCTGAAGGGTTTTAGGGACAGCGGATGTGTATTTAGAAATCCTGCAAAAGCACCACTTTAAATCTCGTGTTCACCAGAAATGTTCTCATAAGTTACTTGGAAATGAGTAATTAAGCATGAATAAGCATAAAAAATGACTTATCGACTAAAGAAATCTTAGTCGACTAAGACCAAAACGACCGATTAGTCGACTAATCGACTAAGAGGGGCAGCCCTACTGAACATATATGTATGACTGTAGATATGTACAATGTGCTCTCATTAATTAACTAAATAAAACTAGGGCTGCATGTCAAAATAAGAGAAAATAAATAAAATGTGAAAATTGTGCATTTTCAAAAAAAGTGCTTAACTTCAGAAAAATAATATAAAGGGAGGAAAAGTTTGAATTTCCCCTTTTCTGTTTCACATCTTGACTCAACAGTCTCAACCAATTTTACAAATAATAAATCTCAACAGATCTTAACAATTGAACAGTTTTAGAGTATCACTTTCTTCCCCTCATATCCCACTCCACCATGTTTTTGCTCAGTGAGAGAATTGAGCTTTAGCCTGTCTTGCCAGAATTTTAAACCTGGGCTTGAATGGAGTCAGGGCCATTCTCATACACATGTGAAGGTGCTCATTGGTGAGCCTGGAACGATATTTAGTTTTAATTATGTTCATTGTGGAGAAAGCTGCCTCGCAGTTGTATGTGGAGCCAAACATGGTCAAGATGTATAGGGCTACTTTCCTCAGACCCGGGAAAGCAGTCTCAGGGACCATTTGGAACCAGAAAGTGGAAGGGTCAGTTCTTACAAACTGCTCTTTCAGGGCCACATCTGCTTGGAGATCAACCAATTGCATCTGGAGAGACCCAGCATTTACCCATTTAAAGTGCTGTGTGACTTCCTTTGAGAACCCCCTGACATCTGTGATCAGAAATGGGTTCTGAATGAACATGGTGAGCTGCTCTCCAAAGCTGAAGCTGTCAAAACGGTTGCTGAAGTTTACAATCAGCTTATCAATAAAATCAACAAAAGAAGACAAATCTCTCTGTCCCTGAACCTGTTCCTGCACTGCTGGGAAGTGTACACAGTCTCCCTGCAGGTCTTCCTTGAACACTTCAAGTTTCCTCTGAAAGGAGCGAACAGCTGTCATCAGTTCACAAATTGAATTGTCCTTGCCCTGTAGCCTCAAATTCAGTTCATTCAGATGTGACGTGATGTCAACCAAAAAGGCCACATTATCCATCCATTTCTCATTTTCTAAAAAGAGAGAAAACTGTGTTGCCTTCTGACTGCTTAGCTCTGCCAAAAAAGATGCTAATTCCCTCCTGATGGACCAAAAGCGCTCTAGCACCCTGCCTTTGCTGAGCCATCTCACATTGTTGTGCAGCAAAAGATCATCAGCATTGGCATCAACTTCTCTGAGGAATTCCCTAAGCATGCGATGCTGGTAGGAAGAGGATGCCCTGAGAAAATGTATCATTTTCATCATTGTATTCATCACCTCAGCATGCTCATCTGACAGGGAGGCACAGAGGACAGATTGATGAATGATGCAATGGTAAGATAAAAGCTCAGGATTGTCCCCTTTCAGTCTTGCTACAGCTCCTTTTTCTTTCCCTATCATAGAAGGGGCTCCATCTGTGGTTATTGAAACCACTTGTTTTGGCTCTATTCCTCTTTTTGTTAACATCTCCTTAATGGCCAGGTAGATATCCTCTCCTCTTGTACTGGTCTGAAGGGGAGTGACACCTAACATGTCTTCACAGAATGTTTTCTGGGCTGTGTTGAAAAACCTGGCAAACACTAACAGCTGAGCATTGTCACATATGTCAGTGGACTCATCCACAGCTAAGCCTACACATGGTGCCTTATGCATGGCTTCATCTAGCTGGGTTAGCACATCCTGAGTTAATATTTCACTTTTCTTTGTGGCAGATGATGCTGACATGGGAATTTGCTTTATTTTATCACAAAGCTCATTTTTTTGTTTTCCCTCAAGTAGTGTTTCAGCTACTGCACTCATGCATTCTTTGACAACCCCTCCATCTGTAAATGGCTTTTTGTGTTTACCCAAAATCCAAGAAACTCTGAGGGAACACTCAAGAGCACGTTGTTGGGCAGTGAATGTGTTGCTCAGGATCCTGGTGGACTGGTCATATTGGGCTCTGTCATTGTCCACTTTTCTTTTTTTGGAGAGTGCCATTTGTTCCTTATTTTCTCTAACTGTTACCCTTTTTCTGCCTCACTCGTCTGTTTCGCTCCCTTTCTCCGTCTCACTCATATTTTCGTCAACTTTCTCCGTCTCACTCGTATTTTCCTCAGCTTTCTCCGGCACACTCGTCTGTATCTCTCCCTTTCTCCGTCTCATTCGTCTGTTTCTCACTCGTCTGTTTCGTTCCCTTTCTCCGTCTCATTCGTCTGTTTTCGCTCCCTTTGTTTTCTACATATATCGCTATCTTTTTAATCCGACTTTCTTTTCCTTGGTAACTTGCCTCTAAAACTCTCATCTGTCTGCACTGTAGAGTCCCAATGTTTACCGCCAGGAATGCAAAGACTTCATTGGCTGAGTGGTATCACGTGGGATCGCTTAACTCACATGCAATTGGTCGGTGAGTTTCCTCATTCACAAAACGAGTACCGTAAAGACTACAAAAGCTGTGCATATTAAAATAGAAGCGCCCCGTCAGGTTTTAATTCATAATCTTTTGTTTTGGTCCGGGTCCGTATGGGACGGCTTCTGGGTCCGGATCCGGACCGCGGTCCGCCTGTTAGTGACCTATGATTTAGAGGGTACATTTGTCAGGATGATATCTATGAGGGTGCCCATGTTTACAGATTTAGGGTTGTACCTGGTAGGTTCGTTGATAATTTGTGTGAGATTGAGGGCATCTAGTTTAGATTGTAGGTTGGCCGGGGTGTTAAGCATATCCCAGTTTAGGTCACCAAGCAGTATGAACTCTGAGGATAGATTGGGGGCAATCAGTTCACATATGGTGTCCAGGGCACAGCTCGGGCTGAGGGGGGTCTGTAGCAAGCGGCAACAGTGAGAGATTTATTTCTGGAAAGGTTTAGAACATAATCTATTATACTGTTCCTTACTAAGGCACCATGATGCGTATGTAGAATATATACAGATAATTGTACGTTTCTAAATGCAATGTCTTAGTTCTCCCAAAAACGTGCAGGAATTTACTGGCGAAGGAAGAAAGGTAGGGAATCCCTTTCTCTAACTGTCCACATCACATCAGCTGAGGTGTTATTGAAAGCAGCCTTTAAAATGGAATTTCCTTTGAAGAACAGAGTTTGGGTTGGAACCATTGTTACAGGACAGCATCTATTAAAACAGATCTTATACATATTCTTGCCCCTAAACAGAAATCGGTTGTCAAGTTTTAGTTTCTCATTCTTTTGTTATTCCCCGAGTCACACTGACTCTTCCAATCTCTAACTCTAGAAAAAGGATCTACACGCTGGGGAGCCCGGCCCACAGGCTCAAGGCCTCTCCTTACCCATTGGTGAGAGGAGATTTGCTAAGGTAGCCATTTACTCTTGTGTGTGCGTGCGCGTGTGTGTGTGTGTGGGAGATACTGTAGTGGGCGTAAACAAAATGCTAGGTCACCATGGCCAGGCTAACATACCGACCAAGCCCTCTGTCATTGCTCCAAGAGGCACTTTTACCTTGGCATGACTTAAGGAGTGATATATTAGTGGTTTACGTTCGTTTCCCAATGTTGATTGTGCAAGATAAGATTTGGTGTCCCACAGCAACTACTTTAGTTGACACTTGTGTATGTTGGCTTGCTGTAGCTAACTTAACACCGTATATACCTGGAAAAATGAAGCTAAGAAGAATACTCTTCAATATATTTTTTTAAAGTGACTCAATGGCTTGTGATTTGAAGATGGGCAAGTTTGTGTTGTCTTCCTCCAGGACAAATTAAGGGATGAAAGACAGAAGGAATACAACCTCTTCCTTAAAGGACGGTCAGGGCACATAAGGAGTCCATCTTCAAATGCCTCTCAGGTAACAATAGATTATGCACACCTTGAATATGATGTAGGGCTTTTTTGTGAAAATATCTCTCGACTTATTCAATGTGTTTTTAATGAGTTTACGTTTGATTCTCCTGTTTATTGTCTACATTTGACTAAGATTCTACAGCATGTTGCCACATTTTGATCATTTAACACATCTCTTTCCTGATTCACAGGTGCAGGCCCCGGAGACTGTGAGTCCAGCTGTACTTTATTCTCCCCCAGCCATCCCAGAGGCCCAGTATAACACCCAGGTTAACCGTGGAGGCCTGCCTTGGGAAAGAATCCCAGAGGCCCAGCATAACACCCAACTTAACCATGGAGGCCAGCCTTGGGAGCGACTCCCATCCAGGAGGGACGCTGCAACCCTAACCGACAGGGGGACAGAGGGTCAGGCCCCACGAGGGCGGAGGCGCTGGGAGCTCCACAGACCAGAGGACTCCCTGGAGCGCTGGGAGAGAAGGAGGCCCAGGAGGAGAAGTAGGCGCAGGGATGAGTACTACTCTGAGGAGGAAGAAGAGGAGTTTGAGTTCTTGGAGAGGGGGAGACCCAGACAGAGCCGAGAGCCAGAGTATACTGGGAGAAGAGAGAGGAACATAGTTTATCACAGCCCTGACAGGTGCATCACAGGAGAGTTGATAAGATCCAGCACTATCCCATCTACAAGCTATGTTTTTTTTTCTATCGGAAAACCACCTGCCGCTGTAAAGAAATACCCTGAGTGTACAAAACATTATGAACACCTGCTCTTTCCATGACATAGACTGACCAGGTGAATCCAGGTGAAAGCTATGATCCCTTATTGATGTCACTTGTTAAATCCACTTCATTCAGTGTAGATGAAGGGGAGGAGACAGGTAAAAAAAAAAAAAAATTAAGCCTTGAGACAATTGAAACATGGATTGTGTATGTGTGCCATTTGAGGGTTGAATTGGCAAGAAAAAATATTTAAGTGCCTTTGAACGGCGTATGGTAGTAGGTGCCAGGAGCACCGGTTTGTGTCCAGAACTGTAATGCTGCTGGGTTTTTCACATTCAACTGTTTCCCGTGTGTTTAAAAAATGGTCTACCACCCAAAGGAGATCCAGACAACTTGACACAACTGTGGGAAGGAAGCACTGGGGGCATCTCAAGGAAAGTGTTCTTAATGTTTTGTACACTCTGTGTAAATATATAAGGATCATTGTAATCTTCCTGTTTAAAGGCCCAGTGCAGTCAAATTGAATATTCCTGTGTTTTATATATATTCCCACACTATGGGGTTGGAATAATATTGTGACATTGTGACAATTATGAGAATGGCCTTTTATTGTAAGAGCTGTTTGAAAAGACCACCTGAAATGTCAGCCTGTTTTGGTGGGATGGAGTTTTGGCCTGCCTAATAACATCACCAGGCTGTAAATTAATTAATAGACCGATAGGAAAGAGGGTTCCAAACCTCTCTGCCAATAACAGCTAGTTTTCAGTTTTCCCCTCCACACTCAGACCACTCCCAGACAGTCTTAGCAAAATTCTTCCTTGAGCAATTGCTCTTTGCCAAAAAGCTATTTTTCTTTCTTTTTGACCATTTTTTAATTGAAAAAAAAATCACAGTAAGGTACTTAATTTTTATTCTGAAATTATTTGATGGTGAGATAAAAACAGCTGCAGTGGACCTTTTTTAAAAATAGTATTTTTTTTCTCCTATGGCAGAGTTCTGCGGGAGAGGAGGGAGGTGGAGCCCCCTGTTGTCCATGAAGAGGACTTCAGAGACCGGATCAGAAAGACCCAGTCGGTGACACCAAAACCCAAGTACTGAGTGACCCACTGGAATTAAACTCATTAGATTAGTCAGGGCCTTTTTCCTTAACTAAAATTGAGGGAAAATGTATTAAATGGCCACTAAGGTAATCACTTTAGCTGAGTTGGCCACCACGTGTATAAAACCTCTCTATCGATCTGTTCCTGTATTGATTGCGGAGGAAGACTACAAAGGAAGCAGAACTGTAATGCACAAGATTTATATTTAGTCCCGACTCCCCAGCTTGTTTCTTTATTGCATTTATTGCATAAAATATTTTGTTCTTCCGTTGGATTTGATTTTCATACCATTTCTGTGCTTCTAAATATAACCACTATCAATAAGCTGTGGAAGAAAGCATTCCCTCTCACTACTATTGAGGTTAGGGTTTTAGCCCCAGGCAGACACTCACTTCAATTCCATCAGTGGAGCTGCATTGATCTGACTGGTGATGTGATGGGTCTTTACTCTTAGTGTCTGGGTCACTGGGGAAAGAGAAGATTGCAGTCAGACACTGGGATCTGTTGTGGTAGTGTGTGATGTGAGGTGCGGGTTGACTTGGGTGGGGCTGCAAGGAGTATTGATTGGTTAGGCCGTGTGTTTTATGAGGTGGTTCATTGATTGGGTGAACTGAACTGCAGACGTTTACCTAGCTACTGTCTGTCTATGTAACGGTGTAACTGTTCTCCAGTGCTGTGATGCCAGCGTCCATGAAGACCACCGAGAGATCCAGGTCTGCAGCACACAAGGACAAGGCCGAGTTTTTCACGGGACTCATGATCGGTAGGAGCCACTCTCATTTAATGCATGTTTAGCATGTGTGTGTGTTCAGGTCTGATCTTTAGATACAGTTAGGCTATATCTATATACCGGTAGCTGTAACTAATAACATTAGATGTGTATTATGTATGTGGCTATATGAGAAATGCGCAATGTGAATGATGGGTAACGTGTAATGTACAATTTCTATTTTGTATACAGCTGTGTCTAAGATAATTTCCTCCTCTGGGACATTAAAGTTAATCCTGTCCTAGACATGAACTAACTGAAACGTGAAACACATTTTTTTTTTGGGGGGGGTGAACATGATTATTATGGGTAAAAAAAAAATACTCCAGGCCAAACTTGAACATCTAAAACGTATCAATTATAATGGACCTATATATTTTCAAATAACTGCCTTTTTTCTGACCCACATTGATTTTGACAAACAAATCGGTCAAAAAGAAGTCTGTGCGGCCCTCCGTTGAATTTTGAAATCCCGATGTGGCCCTCGAGCAAAGAAGTTTACCCATCCCTGCTCAAACACATGCTTGTTAAGTTGTAAGGCTATTTGTTGTGTGTTGGGATTTTTCTCAGGGGCAACAGAGGGGGATGTGGCCACACAGAGGAGGAAGGACCGCTACAGACAGGAGCTACTGGAACAGATGGCTGAGGGGCAGAGGAACAAAAAGAAGTGAGTTTAACACTGGGAGATTTCATGGTATCTTTCACACCAATATGGGCCAAGTTAGTTGTCAGATAGGACCTATGTTGGGTTATACACTGTGCTTTTTTAATATATATTTTTTTAGGGAGAAGGATCTTGAGCTGAGGGTTGCTGCCACTGGGGCTAATGATCCAGAGAAACAGGTAAAAGGGTTGCGCAGGAAAGTTTTAGATAGTTAAATGAATAAAAGCATATTTTTCGAGGATGTATTGCATACAGCCTGTCCTTGAAATGCATACTGTATGACATTTGAGAGTAGGGTTAATCATATGAAAGAGAATGTAAGGTCATGGCTAAACAAATATGCTGTGGTGGTAACAATATTGTAAGGATGTGTACTCTTAACATTTGCAGCAGTGCCAGAATGTAAATCATGTATTTCAAGCTTTGGAGGAACAAACAAATATGTCATACCAAGATGTTTGTTTGTTCACTAATTACCAGTGACAAGTGTGACTTTTTACTTGGGATTTTACGTTTTCATAAAAGACTTGGCATCATATCTGAATTACTTTGTACTTTACCATAGACAATGACTAGAAACGTTCACCCTGATGTGTTCCATCATTTCTGACCACCATGAGTCACAGGGTCTCTTTCCACCTTTACTCCCAGCCTGACCGCATTAAGCAGTTTGGGGCGGTGAACCGCGAATATGAGGGCCGGAGACGTGACGTCCCCTATAGACCCGGAGTAGGCCTGGATGCCCTGGGGACCAACTCTAGCCCCAGGCCCCGCCAGGAGAGGCCCGAGGCGGGCACAGAGGAGAGAGGTCCCCCTGGGAGGCCCCGTGTTGCCTTCCCCTCCCCTCCAATGGACTACACTAACGTCCTGGGCCAACTAACAGGGGCAGGGGGGCCGCGGTTAGGGATGGGGGCTGGAGCGGGAGCAGGGGCAGGCATGGGGGTGCCTGGGGTCGCCCCTCTCAATGAAGACTTCCACAGGAGCCTCTCTAGTACCCTGGGAGAGATAATCGCCCCAAGGTACAGTGAAACAAGAAGGGGTAACAAAAGTCAATCTTTACTTGGTCAGTTGTTGTATTTTTTGAATGTGTATACTAAAATTGTGTGCGATTGTGTGTTTGCCGCTTTTTCCAGAATTGCTAGCTTACCTCCTCCATTGCCGCCCACTCTAACTGATGCCTACAGGACTCCATATGATGAGGCCTATTACTACTATGGAGCAAGAAATCCTCTGGACCCAAATGTGCCCTACTGTTAGTATCTCAGTTAACAGCTGGCCCAAATATACTGTACTAAGTGTTTTAGGAAAGAGGCCTCGTGACAGGATGGGACCATAATCCTTTTCTCTCTTCTTATTTTGTAATATTGTGCACTCAGAGGTTTAGGATCTGTCTATCCTTAAAATGAGACAGATTTATTGCAGACAATTGTGATTCACTGTTATTTAATTCTCTTGGGAATATCTGGTGACTCCATTGTCGGCGGTGACTCATCCACCAAGCCTTAAATACACCCCCTGGAGCTCTCAATGGAGGGTCATTACCATTTTATTATGAAGCCACTATATCACCAGATCAAGGGCCAACAGGGCTTGGCACGGTTTCCCATAACGCTCATATGACCCGCTCATGATTTATACTGCTCATGGACAGACAGCTTATTGGAAATGAGTTCCACAGACTCCCAGTCCAGATGTATGTGAGCAACTGGATCTAATATGCTCCACTTCTAGATAAATGCCTCCTATTGTTCAATAGCCAATACTCACTATACTTTATGAAATGGGAAAGTATCCATCCAGGGCAGTGGTGGCTGGTAGTACTTTAAATGCGGAGGACGGGCTCATAGTAAGGCTGGAACGGAATGAATGGAATGGAACGGAATGAATGGAATGGTCTCAAACACATGGTTTCCATGTGTTTGGTACCACTCCATTCCATTAATTATGAGCCATCCTCCCCTCACCAGCCTCTTCTGATCCAGGGCTGTGTGTGTGTGTGCCGGGTGCAAACGTGAGTGCTACAGCTCTGTGCCAAAACATGGCAATCTACTAACATAACTTGAGAACACCCGTTGTAGCTGCCGTCGTTAATGCAGTAAAGGTCTAACAATGTTTTGGACACTTTTGGTGTGTGTTTGATTGATATCCAACTGATAATGTGTTTTCCTATCTTTCCCATTAGATGGACCTTGGGGAAGTGGAGGGCAGCCCATGGTCTTCCCAAATCTGCCTCCAGGAATGATGCCTCCACCTGGACATCAAGGGGCCCGGTGGGTGTCCTTAGTACAGGACTTCCATAACTTTCCACTTTGTCTAGAGACCTGCACACAAGTCACCCACTCACACACACACAATCACACCAATGTGTTTTCATACAGCTCATTGCTAAGTAACTCAACCTGGGGGCGGCAGGTAGCTTAGTGGGTAAGAGCGTTGTGCCAGTAACCGAAAGGTCGCTGGTTCTAATCCCCAAGCTGACTAGGTGAAAAATCTGTCGATGTGCCCTTAAGCAAGGCACTTAACCCTAATTGCTCCTGTAAGCTCTGGAAAAGAGCGTCTGCTAAAATGTAAAAATGTAAATGTAACTTCAGTTTTGAGTTATTTAAAGAACCAGAAGAGGGCACCCTAAGCAAGCATTGAGAGCTGTGTGTAGGCAAATGTCTCTGACAACTAGGGATATTTTGTTGATAGGGTTACCCATAATGTTTAAATGTCTTTCTCCAGAGGAGCCAATCGGCATGATGTGGCCCCCCCTGGAGCTGTGCTGGGTGTCGGAGCTATAGGAGAGAGGCCCAAGCAGTCCAAGGAGAGTGTGTTGAACTACCAGGAAGCACTGAGACAACAGGTAGGCTACACATTGAAAATGTATTTAAACTTTGTTTAAACAAGGAAAACCCCATTGACATAAACAATATCACAGGACATTATGATACAATGAGACGTGTATGTGTGAAATACTCCGGGGGTCTCCAGCCAACCACACCTTTCATACACCATAAATCACTCACACCTGGGCTTCATTTTCTCCCCAGCTGTGGTATGGAGGTGGGGTAAGTGTTATGGAGGGGTGGGTTAGCCGTACTCTCATTAGTGTGATAAAAGACTGAGAGAAAAATCTGTCCTCTCGTCCTTACCTCACCTTACTGACTCCCTCTCTCTATCTCCTTCACTTCACCTCTTCTCTTCTCTTCTCTGCTGGTCATATCTGCTGGCCATCTCTGTGGACTCACGACTGGCCAAGATTGACTAAGCCCAGTTTTAGTGAAGGATAAACCATTAAATATTGATCCAGTTTCTTAGTCATCACAGCATTATTATGTGCACCAATAACTGCATATTTGGGAAAAGATAAATGTTTTGCTGTGTTGTGCGCTACTGAACACGACCCTGTGAGAGTGAAGGTGGAGGGCGGCTCAGTGAGATGCTAACTCTGCTAGCTATCAGCGTCAGACTGTTGTGTTTCCCTCTGCTGATGCCAGAGGAACAGGAAACCAATAATTCAGATTAGTGACAGACTGCAATATTTTGACAGGAAGAGATCAGGCGAGAGTGGAGTCAGCACTTTTCCAAGGTAAAGGGAGTACAGCAGGAATATCACTATTCAACCCTCTATTGCTTTGAGATGTAAAATAGAGAGGTATCCTTAACTTTCTGTTAGAAGAGATTTCTAAACTTAAGTTACAAGAGCTTTGGAATAGAGAATGTTCTTATATCTCTCAAATTAACTGACATTTTTTAAATGAAATGTAATGACCAGTACTTGATGGCATCTTTCCAACTCTGGCCACAGATCCAGGAAAGAGAGGAGCGAAAAAGACAGGAGCGGGAGGAGAGGGATCGCTATGATGCCAAGATGGAGGCGGAGATGAAGGCCTATGACCCCTGGGGGAAGGGGGGAGGAGGGGCCCCTCTCAAAGACGACAGGGGAAACCTCATCAGTATGTCACCTTTGATTTTATACATCATAGTCATTAGTCCTCATTAGTTGTTCTGTCTTCACTGTTAGATTTAGGTTTATTCATATATATATATATATATATATATATATATATATATATATATATATATATATATATATTGACTGTAAAACCAAAATGATAACTTCTCTGAATTTGTCTATGAAACCTTAGTTTTCAGTCACTTGATTTAGTCTAAGCCTCCGGGTTATTGCTCTGTCAACATCTCTGTTATCATTGCATTGGCCCTTGTGCGAGGAGGCACTTTAGCTGAAGCTGTGTCACCACTACATTAAAAGTGTCTCTGTAGCTGATAACGATGCCTCCATGCCTCCAGGTGATCTGAACAGAATGCACAGGACCAACAAGGAGGCATATGTGAACCCAGAGTCCAGGGACAGGAGATGGCCACAGGGCTCTGTAGGCAGGATTGGAGGAGGAGGGGGACCTACCCCCAGGGGAATATCAGGTAGCCCAACTCTCACAGGCACTCTGTAAATGTCAGAGTTTTCACTTTCCTAGTCTTTTGTGTGTGAATTGATGAGTCACCCCTCTCCATCCGTCCCTGCAGGTTTCTCCTTTGCCCAGACGTCTCAGTTTGCCCGAAGCAACGTGTTCAGTGATCAGCCTACTCCAAAGCAGCTCCAGGAGCAGGACACATACAAAGACTACCTGAAGCAGCAGGTACTTGGCCCTACAGCCCTCAGCCTACACCCAGGGAGAACACCCACCTCCACGGGCTCCTCTGGAGTAATAACGGAACCATGCTATTGATCTGTGGATACTATGGATCAAACAAGACCCACAGAAAGGTTCTTGATAGATGTCTGTTGTTCAAAAGAGCCCGTCCAGGCTGTGCTCACAAACCACGGTCAGAGTGATGAACAGTTTTGTTTGTTTTGTGATGGACAGATCGAGGAGAAGAGGAGGAAGGAGGCGAAGGAGAGGGACCGTGAAAGGATGGAGGAGGAGAGGGAGGAGAAGAGGCTAGCAGAGCAGAGGGTTCTTATCCAGCAGGAGTTTGAGGAGGAGCAGCAGGGGAAGAAACGGAAGGAGATCGAGGTGAGGAGGAGGTTATCATTTTATATTAGATACATGAACACACATTGGTTGAAGGATGCATTGTCCAAGTATTGAAACTGGGCCCTGTCTTTTCCCCTGCTTTAGCAAAGTGCCAAGAATGAAGAGCTGATCCGCCAGGCTGAGGAGCGCCGTAAGGAGGCGGACAGGAAGAGCAGGGAGGAGGAAGAGCGTCAGAGCGAGACCCTGAGACAGCAGGTTGAGAGGGAAAGACAGGCGCGGAAGGCAGAGGTGTGTAACATGTTCACAAGATACTGGATACTGGGGGCCTCCTGAGTGGCACAGTGGTCTAAGGCACTGCATCGCAGTGCTAGCTGTGCCACTAGAGATCCTGGTTCGAGTCCAGGCTCTGTCGCTGCCGGCCGCGACCGGGAGACCCATGGGGCGGTGCACAATTGGCCCAGCGTCGTCCAGGGTAGGGGAGGGTTTGGCCGGCAGGGATGTCCTTGTCCCATCGCGCACTAGCGACCCCTGTGGCGGGCCGGGCGCAGTGCACGCTGACTCGGTCGCAGTGCACGCTGACTCGGTCGCAGTGCACGCTGACTCTGTGTTTCCTCCGACACATTGGTGCGGCTGGCTTCCGGGTTAAGCGGGCACTGTGTCAAGAAGCAGTGCTGCTCGGTTGGGTTGTGTTTCGGAGGACGCACGACTCTCGACCTTCGCCTTTCCCGTGTCCGTACGGGGGTTGCAGCGATGGGACAAAGACTAACTACCAATTGGATACCACGAAAAAGAGGGGTAAAATACCACAAAAAAACACTTGATGTTGTATTGAGCCGTCTGAATGGGAGTTGTGCTTTGTCCTTTATGCAGAGCCAGAGGGATCCGTCACCACCTATCCCAGCCCTGCAGAAGAGACTGGGGAAGCAGCACCTCACTCCCAGACCTCCCTCTGCTGTCAGCCAGCTCTCTTCTAGGGCCCTGTCCGTAAGTCACTTGGTCACCCTAACCCTAGCTTCATGTACAGTGCCTTGCAAAAGTATTCATCCCCCTTGTCATTTTTCCTATTTTGTTGCATTACAACCTGTAATTTAAATAGATTTTTATTTGGATTTTTATTTGGATTTTTTATTTGGTGAAGTGAAATGAAAAAAATAACTCTGGAGGAGCTCTCCAAACAGGTCAGGGACAAAGTTGTGGAGAAGTACAGATCAGGGTTGGGTTATAAAAAAATATCCGAAACTTTGAACATCCCACGGAGCACCATTAAATCCATTATTAAAAAATTGAAAGAATATGGCACCACAGCAAACCTGCCAAGAGAGGGCCGCCCACCAAAACTCACGGACCAGGCAAGGAGGGCATTAATCAGGCAACAAAGAGACCAAAGATAACCCTGAAGGATCTGCAAAGCTCCACAGCGGAGATTAGAGTATCTGTCCATAGGACCACTTTAAGCCGTACACTCCACAGAGCTGGGCTTTACGGAAGAGTGGCCAGAAAAAAGCCATTGCTTAAAGAAAAAAATGCATTTGGTGTTCGCCAAAAGGCATGTGGAAGACTCCCCAAACATATCAAAGAAGGTACTCTGGTCAGATGAGACTAAAATGGAGCTTTTTGGCCATCAAGGAAAACGCTATGTCTGGCGCAAACCAACACCTCTCATCACCCAGAGAACACCATCCCCACAGTGAAGCATGGTGGTGGCAGCATCATGCTGTGGGGATGATTTTTATCGGCAGGGACTGGGAAACTGGTCAGAATTGAAGGAATGATGGATGGCAATAATACAGGGAAATTCTTGAGGGAAACCTGTTTCAGTCTTCCAGAGATTTGAGACTGGGACGGAGGTTCACCTTCCAGCAGGACAATGACCCTAAGCATACTGCTAAAGCAACACTCGAGTGGTTTAAGGGGCAACATTTAAATGTCTTGGAATGGCCTAGTCAAAGCCCAGACCTCAATCCAATTGAGAATCTGTGGTATGACTTAAACCCATCCAACTTGAAGGAGCTGGAGCAGTTTTACCTTGAAGAATGGGCAAAAATCCCAGTGGCTAGATGTGCCACCTGTACCCCCGCACATTGACTCGGTACCCCCTGTATATAGCCTCATTATTGTTAATTTATTGTGTTTTATTTTTTAATTTTTTGCTTTAGTTTATTTAGTAAATATTTTCTTAACTCTATTTTCTTCAAACTGCATTGTTGGTTAAGGGCTTGTAAGTAAGCATTTCACGGTAAGGTCTACACCCTGTTGTATTCGGCGCATGTGACAAATAAGATTTGATTTGATACGATGTTGTTAGCTGATATGTAAAATACCGATCCAGGCTTTGTACGATCTGGCATGCTTCAGCAAAGTCTGGGCAGAGGCTTCATGTCCACACCCCGGCTCAACCCTAACCCTTGCTTCATGTCCACACCCCGGCTCAACCCTAACCCTAGCCGTAACCTTAACCCTAACCCCTGTAGAGACACACACACACACACACACACACACACATACACTTACTCTCATTGTTCCTTGTGTCCCCAGGAACGTTCTATGTCTGCACCACACTCTCCACCTGTACCTGCCAGGAGAAACCAGCTCCGAGCCACAGGTTAGATAGAGCAGGGTTTTCCAAACTCGGTCCTGGGGCCCCCCCTGGGTGCACGTTTTGGTTTTTGCCCTAGCACAACACAGCTGATTTAAAATAACCAAAGCTTGATGATGAGTTGGTTATTTGAATCAGCTGTGTAGTGCTAAGGCAAAAACCAAAACGTGCACCCAGGGGGGCCCCAGGACCGAGTTTGGGAAACCCTGAGATAGACCACTCAAAGAAATACTGGAGAAAAGACCTGACTTTACTGATATCTTCTCTCATCACATAAAACCCTTCTCTCAACTATGTTTCTTTCCCTCTCTCCACGGTCTGTCTGTCTCTACCTGTCCATCTCCCTGCCAGAGGACCAGCAGCAGGGTGTGATCAGTGAGTTGTCCACGCTGCGGAGGCAGCTGCAGAGCGAACAGAGACGGCTGGAGGGGCAGCTGCTGCAGAGTAACAGAGAGGAGACAGACACACCCCTTTACACCAGGTAGGCAGGATAGACGCACCCCTTTACACCAGGTAGGCAGGATAGACACACCCCTTTACACCAGGTAGGCAGGACAGACACACCCCTTTACACCAGGTAGGCAGGACAGACACACCCCGTTTACACCAGGTAGGCAGGACAGACACACCCTTTACACCAGGTAGGCAGGACAGACACACCCCTTTACACCAGGTAGGCAGGACAGACACACCCCTTTACACCAGGTAGGCAGGACAGATACACCCCTTTACACCAGGTAGGCAGGACAGACACACCCGTTTACACCAGGTAGGCAGGACAGACACACCCTTTACACCAGGTAGGCAGGACAGACACACCCTTTTACACCAGGTAGGCAGGACAGACACACCCGTTTACACCAGGTAGGCAGGACAGACACACCCGTTTACACCAGGTAGGCAGGACAGACACACCCGTTTACACCAGGACAGACACACCCCTTACAGTAACACCAGGGCCACAGTAGGTGACAACGTTGACAAACCTAAACCATTTACCTTGAACAGTCTTGCCCTTATTGCCCAGGCTATGTTCAGGAGGAACAAACGTTTCATGAATGGTGAATGCCCTTGGCTTCAATAACAGAACTTTGCTCTGGTCACGCATGGCTCTTCAAAGTGCTGCGTGTATGCAAACACTAGTGCACCTTAAAAGCACTGGAGAATACATCTTTGAGCCTCTGCCAGTTAGAAGGCTTTCCTCAGGTCGTATAAGCAGCCTATGCTGAATACCCCATCATGCCTGCTTCGGGTTTGATAGAAGCACTTGAAAGTGTCGAACATCCACAGGCCCAGGTGCTATAGCTTTATTCTGATTCTGGAACAATACACTGTAATCCATGTTTTAAATTAAAAACCAGGACTTATCAGATACTTGTTTGTTCTGTAAGCTGTACTCTCGTCGGTGTATGGTTGTAAACAAAACATGCATATTTTATAGTGGCGACTGTGGCGTGTTGATGTTCCATACTTGGTTGTGTTGTGCCCAGGCACAGAGGGCGCCCCCATGGGGACGTGTTGGAGATGGCACGCATCAGAGCCCAGGGGTCATCCAGAAGACCCAACTCTGGAACGGCTGCTGCAGCTGCCCATGTCAACATGCAGAACATCAGGGAGTTCAACCAGCTCAAATACAGAGGTAAGTCAATGATACACTCTTTATACTATAACTGGACATGCATCTTCTCCCTCTCACTTCTCATTCTCTTATTGATGCCCTCCCCCAGATCAAATATAGAGGTGAATTGACAGCATACAGTGCCTTCTGAAAGTATTCAGACCCCTTCACTTTTTCCACATTTTGTTACGTTACAGCCTTATTCTAAAATTGATTAAATTGTTTTGTTATTCTCATCAATCTACACACAATACCCCATAATGACAAAGCGAAAACAGGTTTTTTTAAAATGTTTGCAAATGTATTACAAATAAAAAACAGAAATACCTTATTTACATATGTATTCAAACCCTTTACTATGAGACTCGAAATTGAGCTCAGGTGCATCCTGTTTACATTGATTATCCTTAAGATGTTCCTACAACTTGATTGGAGTCCACCTGTGGTAAATTCAATTGATTGGACATGATTTGGAAAGGCACACACCTGTCTATATAAGGTCCCACGGATGACAGTGCATGTCAGAGCAAAAACCAAGCCATGAGTTCAAAGGAATTGTCTGTAGAGCTCCGAGATAGGATTGTGTCCAGGCACAGATCTGGGGAAGGGTACCAAAACATTCTGCAGCATTGAAGGTCCCCAAGAACACAGTGGCCTCCATCATTCTTAAATGGAAGAAGTTTGGAACCACCAAGACCCTTCCAAGAGCTGGCCGTCCGGCCAAACTGAGCAATTGGGGGAGAAGGGCCTTGGTCAGGGAGATGACCAAGAACCTGATGGTCACTCTGACAGAGCTCCAGAGTTCCTCTGTGGAGATGGGAGAACCCTCCAGAAGGACAACCATCTCTGCAGCACTCCACCAATCAGACCTTTATTGTGGAGTGGCCAGACGGAAGCCACTCCTCAGTAAAAGGCACATGACAGCCCGCTTGGAGTTCGCCAAAAGGCACCTAAAGGACTCTCAGACCATGAGAAACAAGATTCTCTGGTCTGAAACCAAGATTGAACTATTTGGCCTGAATGCCAAGCGTCACATCTGGAGGAAACCTGGCACCATCCTTACGGTGAAGCATGGTGGTGGCAGCATCATGCTGTGGGGATGTTTTTCAGCGGCAGGGACTGGGAGACTATTCAGGATCGAGGGAAAGATTAATGGAGCAAAGTACAGAGAGATCCTTGATGAAAACCTTTAGAGGACAACGACCCTAAGCAACTCAAAGTGTCTTCGGGACTAGTCTCTGAATGTCCTTGAGTGGTCCAGCCAGAGCCCGGACTTGAACCCGATCGAACATCTCTGAAAAGACCTGAAAATAGCTGTGCAGCGACGCTCCCCATCCAACCTGACAGAGTTTGAGAGGATCTGCAGAGAAGAATGGGAAAAACTCCCTAAATACAGGTGTGTCAAGCTTGTAGCGTCATACCCAAGAAAACTCAAGGATGTAATCACTGCCAAAGGTTCTTCAACAAAGTACTGAGTAAATGGTCTGAATACTTATGTAAATGTGATTTTTTTCAGTTGTAAATTTTTTATAAATTTGCAAAAATATCTTAACCTGTTTTTGCTTTGTCATTATGGGTTATCGTGTGTAGATTGATGAGGCGGAAAAAACCCCCAATTTGAATCCATTTTAGAATATGGCTGCAATGTAACAATGTGGAAAAAGTAAATACACTGTACATCCCATGCATTTATAAGCCTATACCCAATGTTTCTATATGAATAACTCTATGATCCATTACCAAGGCTTAGTCCATTCCTGCTGCTGCCCATCTGCTCTGTAAATTAACAGATCTTTAAAAAAAATTATTGAGGGATTCTGTGTTCTCTAGTTGCCAAGGTGACTGTCATTGTGGAATCCTGTTGTTTATGGTCAGAGGAATCCTTCTGCTATGACGCTGTTGATGGAGCTAAATGAAACACACACCATAATGAACTACTCTGGCATCATGGCTCAACTATTCTGCTTAGCTTGGCCGGATGTGCAGCCCTCATCAAGCCCTCGGTGCTCCGTCTCCTTTCCATCACGCTATGGCATTACTCTCATGAGGTCATGGGGTGACTCATCATAAAAGCCATCCATCAGTAACGGACAGTTTGGAAGCATAAACACAGAGGGAATAGAACACAGGGCTGAAACAAAGGAAATGGGCTTTGAATGGATTCCCAGTGCTGAGTTTATTTGGGGGTCCAGAGAACACTTAAGACTCGCAAACATTCACAAATGTGCGTGTTAGGGCTTTGGCTCCTACGTTTCCTTTTTTCTATCTATGTACAACAACAACTGACTCTTCGCTAAGCTCTGTCCCACTCGGTTACTGTTGCAACCTCGGACAACCTTTCCCCATTCCTCCATCTAACCACTGGTGAAATCCCCCCCCACAATGATCTCAAACTGTTTTTAATACACAATTAAATTAAACACAGACTACCCCTTGCTAATCAGGAGGTTTTCGGGTATGTTGTGGTGGACTGAGTACAATCGCTTCACGGGAACCTGGTAAAATGAATATTGTAGTGTGGGTAGCCACTGGAAGGCTGATGCCAAAGTTACTAACCACTTTTGGAGCTAACTAGTGCTCTCTCAAATCGTATCCTGATGTCGACAGCAGGTGAGGGTTGTATTCATAACATGGCTAACTTAGCTAGCTAGCTGAGCTAGCAAACAATATAACAAAAGTATAATTTCGGATTCTAAAAATACTCCAACAGTCTCTGCATTTCAGGAATCACAGTAGCAAGTACCACTGGTGCACTGTTACATTATTTAGCCATTTAAACCATTTGTTTTTGGATTACCATTCTCAGTTTTTTTGTAATGCCCTCAATGGCTTTCATGTGTTTCAAACATGAGTTTGTCCGAGGTGTTGGACTCGACGACAGTTGCTATCCATTGGAGCGCTGCGATTGGTTGGCCAACATTCTGGGGCAGGCTTAGCGAAGGGTCAGTTGGGTGTGCCTGTACATTACAGGGCGATGACAACATTGTATGCCTGTGTGTTATGTATACAGGGGCAGACTTAGCGATTTGGAGGCCGCAGGCAGAGGCCAGTCTGAGCCCACCCCCCCATATTTGTTTTATGGGATTTGTAGTAAAGACGTAATTTAACTGTACAAATGTATTACCTTTTAATGTGCCATGAACACAACCAGTCATGATGTTTTCATCTGACTGTCAAACAAATCAATTCAAAATGTAAGTTACCTTTGTATGTTCATCCAAAATAATTCCAGCATCCAAACTGTGCATCTACCAGTTTTGCTCCAATTCGCAAGTGGCTGAAACTATCTTACCAGAGAAAGCATCCGAGCGAGCGAAACAGCGCCAAGCTGTCTTACATGCCATAATATTTTTAGCCAGACAGCATCAGATACATGGGCTACACATACATGTCCTTTGCCTTGACGACAATGGTAGAATTATCAGCAGCACTTACTGTATCCTGTGTCTTTTCACTAAAGAAATGTGTATTGTATCCCCCGTGAAGTTTACCGTGGAATTACCCGTATACCTTTTACATGGAAATGCCCTATTCATTTTTCAGCCTGGTCCCTTCAGACGAGTCCCGTGGCACTTGTGGGGGACGGAGAGCAAAGCAGAGAACACCATTGTGTTCATGTTCGCTACAGATGTTTTCAGGATGTCTCCTGGTCTGACAAACGCCACTGTAGCTCGCCAACCTTCCACCACAGATGTGGAAGGTCGACATTGGCGAATGCGGTGGATTTAGATGCAGCTTAAACAGACCGATTTGGGTGGGGATTTGTTTTTATGATTTATTTATTTATTATGCCTCAAGTGGAGCATGGTGGATTTCTCCTTATTTGTATAAAAATATAAAATATGCCCAGCTCACGAGGCCCCTTGATGTGAGGCCTGATGCAATTGCCTCCTCTGCCTAATGGTAAGTCCGCCAGTGTGTGTGTGTATACTCCAGTGAGTGGAAACACATTGCTGTTGTGTGTGAGCAGAAAGTCTCTTGCCTCCAGTACTATAGCTCACCAGAGGCCTACCTCAGAGCCGGCCTATGTCTTCCTCTCCCTTTGCAGAGAATGGGATAAGGCATGGGAAATTGGGGTACAGTCATGCTCAAGTATGCTTGTCATGTCTTGACACAACAATTATGTTCCTCATAGTCCATCTGCAGCTCACTGCTCAGTGTCTAGACTGCAGAGTAGCTGAGTCACCATGGCACTGCCTCAGAGTATACACTGAGTGTACAAAACATTAGGAACACCTTCCTAATATTGAGTTGCACCCCCTTTTACCCTAAGAACAGCCTTGATTCGTTGGAGCATGCTGGCCCATGTTGACTCCAATGCTTTGCACAGTTGTGCCAAGTTGTAACTGTAAGTCGCTCTGGATAAGCGCGTTTGCTAAATGACTAAAATGTAAGTGCTTTGGGTGGTGGACCATTCTTGATACACATGGGAAACTGTTGAGTGTGAAAAACCTAGCAGCGTTGCAGTTCTTGATACTCTCAAACCGGTGTGCCTGGCACCTACTACCATACCCTGTTCAAAGGCATTTAAATCTTTTTTGTCTTGCCCATTCACCCTCTGAATGGCACACATACATACACAATCCATGTCTCAATTGTCTCGAGGCTTAAAAATCCTTCTTTAACCTGTCTCCTCCCCTTCATCTACACTGATTTGAAGTGAATTTATTGAACAAGTGACATCAATAAGGGATCATAGCTTTCACCTGGATTCACCTGGTCAGTCTATGTCATGAAAAGACGTCCTAAAGTTCCTCATGTTTTGCACACTCAGTGTAGATGGATGGAGGAGGGGAGGGGTTGACAATAAAGGATGTTTTCCACTAGAATTAGGTCTAGATGTCCCCCCGCCCCCCCATATAAGGTCAGTGTCGACTATCAGTTTAATCTTGGCCACAGCTGAGCTACTACTGTAATACAGAGCTTCTCATCATAGTGGGCACTGGCCAGAGAGAGTCCGTCTGATTGGCTGGTGTGGGAGGAAATCCACTGTGATAGGCTAATCTGAATCCACCATTAGTGCTGCATCAGTACACATGACCACCGCTGCACTGCCTGACATCTGTCGTGGTGAGGATGTGGTAATCCTGAAGGCAGTGACTAAGGTGTGTGTGTTTGTGTATGCCCATGTTTGTTATAGACAGCGCATCTCGTGAGGAGGTGCGTCACGTGTACCCCGACACCCCCAGTGATGAACACAGTCTGGACATCCAGCAGCAGGCTCTGCTCAGGGAGCAACAACGCAGGATTAGGATCATGAGGAGAGGAGGAGAGTCAGGTCAGTCTCTCTCTCACACACATACACACACACACACACACACACACTGTTCTTATTGTGTGTCTCCCATCCTGACAGACTACTTTGAGCCGTCTGTGGAGCGACAGCCTCATCATCATCCTGTGAGTTCACTCTTGTTACATATGATCCAGTTTCCTCTGGCCTCTCCTGGCTGGGGAAACTCATCTGTCTGACTTGGTCCAACTTGAGGTTTTTATAGGTGTCTGACTGGCTGTTATTCTGTGTCTATCTTGTCAGAGGGAGAAGCCAGGCCGAGACCACCAGAGAGTCTCTTTATTGGAGTCAGAGAGTGCTTTTATTGGTGAGCCTGCTGATCAAACGGCCTGTTTCTGTAGAGGAGGTGTGGCCTGGTGTTGTCGGTGACCGAACAAATATTCTCCTGAGGATGTGCCTACTGGAAAGGAATGAATAGTGATACATTGGGGTACAGTATTACACTGAGGTGGATATGGGATGAACACACACACACACACACTACACTGCAGCCAATTGAGGGGAGGGGCATTGGGCACGATCTGGGTAGCTGCCAGTGCCAACACGGCACATGCCAAGCCAATGGGGCCACACAGCTAGTGCCAATCCTGAGAGAGGGCAGAGAGCCTGTGCCAGCTGCAGGGTGGGGGTAGCAAGGCCGGACTGAGAAAGGAGGGCAGGGAATGTGCTGCAGCTGCTATACAGTGTTAACCCCTCCAATATTGCCCTCACTTCATGTTTTTACCACTGCTGTAGCATGTTCACTTTTAAAGGGACTTGGAATAATAGCAATTCAGTCATCCAACCTTGTTTGTTTGTAAATGTGTTACTGTGCCGTGTCCTCAGATTACCCCAATGGTGATGCAGGGTCCCCATCCCCAGGGCAAGCCCAGGTTAACCTGAGGTCCAGACAGCCCTCAGCCCAGGAGAGGGAGAGCAGGAGGCCCGCGAGGAGAAGAGACTTTGAGGATGTAAGAGTCTATTCCAGAGGAGTCAAGGGCCTGTTGCTTCAGAAGAGTCCACATCGCATAATTACAGTGCCACTTCAACAGCTCTTTAACCAGTCCATTAATGTCCTCCATTTGAGAAAGGCCTTGGGGAAAGGATTCTGAAGATTCTAGTCAAGATAATACACAACCGTCCTTATTTTCTAGGCCTTAGAATTAGAAGATAAGGGGAAATGAACAAACATTTTCTGGTGGGAAGGAACTTGCTGAAGTTGGGTAGTGCAGCAGCAGTTTTCCTCTTGTCATGTCAGTCATTGCAGACCTTCGAGAGCTACGAAATTCAGAAATGTCCAGTTGATCAACTAGCCCATGTTAGCTAACATTTTTTATCCCATCGATTTTGTTGAGTCACTCAGATATCACATTAGCTTTAAAACTGCAAAGTGTTCTCTCCGCTAACAAGAGGGATATGAACAGTTTGTGTCATGGACAAGTGCATATTCTCTCTGTGGTCTTTATTAACCCGTTCTGCTGTACTGAGAGATGTGATGTTTCCATGTTGTGGTCCAGGACATGGTGACTCCCGGGGGTCAGAGGGATGACGAGGGTAAACTGGACGCCCAGTCTCTATTCTCTGTGACCAGCCTGAACATTGAGGGGGTCAAGGACCGCAACCAGAGACGTATCCGCAGACTGGATGACCTCAACGACCACGACTGGAGATCAGGTGAGAGCGACAGGGAGTGACCTTTGACCTCTGTGACATCACCACTTTATTAGTTTAGTTTATTAGGATCTCCATTAGCTACTGCACATGCAGCAGCTACTCTTCCTGGGGTCCACATACAAATACATGACAAAGTACAGAACAGTTATAGACAAGGACATTCAATTCTAAATAAAAAATTAAATAATAGTTATATATTGGAAAGATGACAAGAAACAACAAAAATACTATTTACACACTAGTCATATATACATATTCATATTGTTATATATAGTACAATTAAATTAGATCTTTAGAAAGAGGAGAGGCGCTGTCATACATTAACCTTTAGTGGCAGAGCATTCTATGATGGCATGGCTATAGATCACAGGCGGCCGGTGGCACCTTAATTGGGGAGGACGGGCTCATAGTAATGGCTGGAACGGAATGAATGCAATGGTATCGAACACATCAAACACAGATTCCATGTGTTTGATACCATTCCATTCACTCCATTCCAGCCATTATTATGAGCGTCCTCCCCTTAGCAGCCTCCTGTGCTCTATATATAACTGAATAGAGGTAGAGAGGACAAGGTTGTCCTCAGCCTTAACGCACCAAAAACTGCAAATCATTCACGGCTGCAACTTAATAGAGGCCGTTGGTAGATTGCTCTATAAAATAAATTGCATGATAAATGCAAATCTAAGTATCTCATGTTAGGATTGGGCTATCAGGTGTCTGTCTGTGTGAATGACAAGTCTCTCTGGTCTCCAGGAGGGCTGTCAGCCGATGAAGGGGACCACCTCTCGCTGCGGTCCACCCCATACCACCCGGACAGGCGTGTGTCTGTGGAGACTGTTGCCACGGAGCCCTGGCTGCGACCTGGCACATCGGACACGCTGAAGCGGTTAGGGGCGGGTCAGAACCGGAGAGAGAGGCCAGTTACTAGAGACATCTTGGACGGGACGCGCCCTCTACCTACCATGGATACCCTGTGACCTTTTAGGTCTGTTGACCCGTCATCTACACATAGGATCCCTTTTATAATGCACTACTTCTGACTAGAGCCTGTTGATTTCAAAGCCAAAGAGGTGTATTTTTTTTATATGCAGTCGATCCCCATTTCTCATTTTACAAATTTAACATGGGCCATTTCTGTCTCGGGATCAGAAGAGTGCAAAAAACATCCATGTTTGTGCTTTTTACTCAGAAAAAAATATGAATGTAGCTTATGTATGTGTACATTTTGAACCTATACAGCCCCCAGAGGAGACATCCTAATGGAGATGAGAGAGGTAGTAGCGGAGATATTTCAGTCTCTGTATACAACGGCTCTAGCCTGGGTACCAGTCTCTTTAGCTAACATTCCACTCCTTGCCATTGCCAAAGAGACTGGCCTTTCGGCAATCTCAATGTTCAATATGTAGCCGGATTTACGGCGCATTTGCTGATTGGTAGTTGGAAACAACATTCATATTTTCCATGACAACGTTCCGGAACATAGGGTGCGCTCAAATTTGCCGCCATATAGAATTAAAATTGGTGGATTAATAGTCCAGCCTATGAATTAACTTCTAATTTACACATCTCTGTCTAAACTGTTCACTTCTTGTGCAATTCATGCCTCTCCGCTGGCATCTCCACTGGGCTCTCTTCCATCCTCTGTATTCCTTTTATAGCTCTTGAACCAGTAGCCTAGCCCAATGCGTGTCGCAGAAGTAGCAATATACAATAGTTTGGTCACTTATTTTGAGCATTGAAAAATATATACACTCCCGGTCAAAAGTTTTAGAACACCTACTCATTCAAGGGTTTTTCTTTATTTTTACTAGCAGCCAACAAGTGCTCAGCATATGTGGGAACTCCTTCAAGACTGTTGGAAAAGCATTCCAGGTGAAGCTGGATGGGAGAATGCCATTTTTCCAGTCAAAGGTTTGGACACACCTACTCACTCATTCAAGGGTTTTTCTTAATTTTTACTATTTTTTACATTGTAGAATAATAGTGAAGACATCAACACTATGAAATAACACATATGGAATCATGTAGTAACCAAAAAAGTGTTAAACAAATCTAAATATATTTTATATTTCAGATTCTTCAAAAAAAACCTTTGCCTTGATGACAGCTTTGCACACTCTTGGCATTCTCTCAACCAGCTTCATGAGGTAGCACCTGGAATGCATTTCAATTAACAGGTGTGCCTTGTTAAAGTTAATTTGTGGAATGTCTTTCCTTAATGTGTTTGAGCCAATCAGTTGTGTTGTGACAAGGTGGGGGGGACCAAGTCCATATTATGGCAAGAACAGCTCAAATAAGCAAAGAGAAACAACAGTCCATCGTTACTTTAAGACATGAAGGTCAGTCAATACGGAACAGTTCAAGAGCTTTGAAAGTTTCTTCAAGTGCAGTCGCAAAAACCATCAAGTGCTATGATGAAACTGTCTCTCATGAGGACCACCACAGGAATGGAATACCCAGAGTTACCTCTGCTGCAGAGGATAAGTTCATTAGAGTTACCAGCCTCAGAAATTGTAGCCCAAATAAATGCTTCACAGAATTCAAGTCACAGACACATCACATCAACTGTTCAGAGGGGACTGTGTGAATCAGGCCTTCATGGTCGAATTGCTGCAAAGAAACCACTACTAAAGGACACTAATAAGAAGAAGAGACCTGCTTGGGCCAAGAAACACGAGCAATGGACATTAGACCGGTGGAAATGTGTCCTTTGGTCTGGAGTCCAAATTGGAGATATTTGGTTCCAACCGCCGTGTGTTTGTGAGACGCAGTGTGGGTGAACGGATGATCTCCGCATGTGTAGTGCCCACCGTAAAGCATGGAGGAGGAGGTGTTATGGTGTGGGGGTGCTTTGCTGGTGACACTGTCTGTGATTTATTTAGAATTCAAGGCACACTTAACCAGCATGGCTACCACAGCATTCTGCAGCGATACGCCATCCCATCTGGTTTGGGCTTAGTGGGACTATCATGTGTAAGGGCAATTTTACCAAGAAGGAGAGTGATGGAGTGTTGCATCAGATGACCTGGCCTCCACAATCCCCCGACCTCAACCCAATTGAGATGGTTTGGGATGAGTCGGACGGCAGAGTGAAGGAAAAGCAGCCAACAAGTGCTAAGCATATGTGCAAGACTGTTTGAAAAGCATTTCAGGTGAAGTTGGTTGAGAGAATGCCAAGAGCGTGCAAAGCTGTCATCAAGGCAAAGGGTGGCTATTTGAAGAATCTCAAATATAAAATATATTTTGATTTGTTTAACACTTCTTTGGTTACTACATGATTCCATGTGTTATTCATAGTTTTGATGTCTTCACTATTATTCTACAATGTAGAACATTTAAAAAACAAAGAAAAACCCTTGAATGAGTAGGTGTGTCCAAACTTTTAATATATATATATATATATATTTGAGGAAAGAAGCGCCTTGCTCTTGCTTGCTGGATATGAAATAGGCTACAGCATTCACAATGAACTGCTGGGGAAGTTTGAATGTCGACAGCTTCTTCTCTGGTGTGATGTGATCACATTGGCTGGTGATAAAAATGAAATAAACGGGAATCCTCTAGCTAAAGAGACTGGTATTCAGGCTACAACGGCTCTATGTAGTGAGGAGGAGCAGGACAGCATCAGTGAGTGTCTGCTCTGCTCAGAGTGAAGCCAGTAGACTGAAGAATTACAGCACTGGGTCCTGAGCTGCACCACTCAGCGCTACAGGAGTAGGGCTACGGTATGGTTGAAGGATAGGCTCTGGTGCCTCCTGTAGCTCAGTTGGTAGAGCATGACGTTTGCAATGCCAGGGTTGTGGGTTTGATTCCCACAGGGGGCCAGTATGAAAAATGTATGCACTCACTAACTGTAAGTCGCTCTGGATAAGAGCGTCTGCTAAATTACTTAAATGTAAATGGTCTGGTCTGGTCTGCTGATGTAAGTGACTATGCTAATCTTTTGAATGTACTGTCGTGGTCAAAAGTTTTGAGAATTACACAAGTATTGGTCTTCACAAAGTTTGTTGCTTCAGTGTAATGATATATTTTTGTCAGATGTTACTATGGTATACTGAAGTATAATTACAAGCATTGCATAAGTGTCAAAGGCTTTTATTGACAATTACAATAAGTTTATGCAAAGAGTCAATATTTGCAGTGTTGACCCTTCTTTTTCAAGACCTCTGCAATCCGCCCTGGCATGCTGTCAATTAACTTCTGGGCCACATCCTGACTGATGGCAGCCCATTCTTGCATAATCAATGCTTGGAGTTTGTCAGAATTTGTGGGGTTTTGTTTGTCCACCCGCCTCTTGAGGATCGACCACAAGTTCTCAATGGGATTAAGGTCTGGGGAGTTTCCTGGCCATGGACCCAAAATGTCGATGTTCTGTTCCCCGAGCCACTTGGTTATCACTTTTGCTTTATGGCAAGGTGCTCCATCATGCTGGAAAAGGCATTGGTCGTCACCAAACTGTTCTTGGATGGTTGGGAGAAGTTGCTCTCAAGGATGTGTTGGTACCATTCTTTATTCATGGCTGTGTTCTTAGGCAAAATTGTGAGTGAGCCCACTCCCTTGGCTGAGAAGCAACCCCACACATGAATGGTCTCAGGATGCTTTACTGTTGGCATGACACAGGACTGATGGTAGCGCTCACCTTGTCTTCTCCGGACAAGGTGTTTTCTGGATGCCCCAAACAATCGGAAAGGGGATTCATCAGAGAAAATGACTTTACCCCAGTCCTCAGCAGTCCAATCCTTGGACCTTTTGCAGAATATCAGTCTGTCCCTGATCTTTTTCCTGGAGAGAAGTGGCATCTTTGCTGCCCTTCTTGACACCAGGCCATCCTCCAAAAGTCTTTGCCTCACTGTGCGTGCAGATGCACTCACACCTGCCTGCTGCCATTCCTGAGCAAGCTCTGCACTGGTGGCGCCCCGATCCCGCAGCTGAATCAACTTTAGGAGACGGTCCTGGCACTTTCTTGGGTGCCCTGACGCCTTCTTCACAACAATTGAACCTCTCTCCTTGAAGTTCTTGATGATCCGATAAATGGTTGATTTAGGAGCAATATCCTTGCTTGTGAAGCCCTTTTTGTGCAAAGCAATGATGACGGCACGTGTTTCCTTCCAGGTAACCATGGTTAACAGAGGAAGAACAATGATTTCAAGCACCACCCTCCTTTTAAAGCTTCCAGTCTGTTATTCTAACAGCATGACCGAGTGATCTCCAGCCTTGTCCTCGTCAACACTCTCACCTCTGTTAACGAGAGAATCACTGACATGATGTCAGCTGGTCCTTTTGTGGCAGGGCTAAAATGCAGTGGAAATGTTTTTTTGGGATTAAGTTGATTTTCATGGCAAAGAGGGACTTTGCAATTAATTGCAGTTCATCTGATCACTCTTCATGACATTCTGGAGTATATGCAAATTGGCATCATCAAAACTGAGGCAGCAGACTTTGAAAATTAGTCATTCTCAAAACCTTTGACCACGACTGTAGTTTGGCAGAATGAATGTATATTTAAAACGTGAAATGTCAATCTGATGTTAATGTTTGTATGTATCAAGTAAAGATGTGATAATATATAGAAAGATTTGGGGTTTTAAAAATAAATTATTTTAATAATCTTGCCTTTGTCCAGGCTGGTCCTTGGAGCTCAATCCTTTCCTCTTGAGGCAGACTCATATGGGTCGTTCCACGAAGAGTGCCTTTTGCGTGCATCCCTTTGATATTACAGTTGAAGTCGGAAGTTTACATACACCTTAGCCAAATACATTTAAACTCAGTTTTTCACAATTCCTGACATTTAATCCTAGTAACAATTCCCTGTCTTAGGTCAGTTAGGATCACCACTTTATTTTAAGAATGTGAAATGTCAGAATAATAGTAGAGAATTATTTCTTTCAGCTTTTATTTCTTTCATCACATTCCCAGTGGGTCAGAAGTTTGCATACACTCAATTAGTATTTGGTAGCATTGCCTTTAAATTGTTTAACTTGGGTCAAATGTTTCGGGTAGCCTTCCACTCCACAATAAGTTGGGTGAATTTTGGCCCATTCCTCCTGACAGAGCTGGTGTAACTGAGTCAGGTTTGTAGGCCTCCTTGCTCGCACACGCTTTTTCAGTTCTGCCCACAAATGTTCTATAGGATTGAGGTCAGGGCTTTGTGATGGCCACTCCAATACCTTGACTTTGTTGTCCTTAAGCCATTTTGCCACAACTTTGGAAGTATGCTTGGGGTCATTGTCCATTTGGAAGACCCACTGATGTCTTGAGATGTTGCTTCAATATAACCACAATTTTCCTTCCTCATGATGCCATCAATTTTGTGAAGTGCACCAGTCCCTCCCTCAGCAAAGCACCCCCACAGCATGATGCTGCCACCCCCGTGCTTCACGGTTGGGATGGTGTTCTTCGGCTTGCAAGCATTCCCCTTTTTCCTCCAAACATAACGATGGTCATTATGGCCAAACAGTTATATTTTTGTTTCATCAGACCAGAGGACATTTCTCCAAAAAGTACAATCTTTGTTCCCATGTGCAGTTGCAAACTGTAGTCTGGCTTTTTTATGGTGGTTTTAGAGCAGTGGCTTCTTCCTTGCTGAGCGGCCTTTCAGGTTGTCGATATAAAACTTGTTTTACTGTGGATATAGATACTTTTGGACCGGTTTCCTCCAGCATCTTCACAAGGTCCTTTGCTGTTGTTCTGGGATTTATTTGCACTTTTCGAACCAAAGTACGTTCACCTCTAGGAGACAGAACGCGTCTCCTTCCTGAGCGGTATGACGGCTGCGTAGTCCCATGGTGTTTATTGTTTGTACAGATGAACGTGGTACCTTCAGGTGTTTGGAAATTGCTCCCAAGGATGAACCAGACTTGGAGGTCTACAATTTTTTGGCTGATTTCTTTTGATTTTCCCATGATGTCAAGCAAAGAGGCACTGAGTTTGAAGGTAGGCCTTGAAATACATCCACAGGTACACCTCCAATTGACTCAAATTATGTCAATTAGCCTAGCAGAAGCTTCTAAAGCCATGACATTTTCTGGAATTTTCTAAGCTGTTTAAAGGCACATTCAACTTAGTGTATGTAAACTTCTGACCCACTGGAATTGTGATACAGTTAATTATAAGTGAAATAATCTGTCTGTAAACAATTGTTGGAAAAATTACTTGTCATGCACAAAGTAGATGTCCTAACCGACTTGCCAAAACTATAGTTTGTTAACCAGAAACTAGTTCTAATGACTCCAACCTAAGTGAATGTAAACTTCCGACTTCAAGTGTATAAGTAGAAATTGTGCACCAATATTGAATTTTAAAAGCCTGTTATATTAAATCAAGTGCCCTTTAATATAGACAACATGGAGAATTCAATAAATCTGTAATAAATTCAGCATATTGACATGTCCCTCCATCAACCCTATGTCACTTCTAGGAAGATTAACCCACTTAATCCCAAGATTTCTCCATCATACATCTGTCCCTCATTTTAAGGTCAACCCTATTACGTGAACCGAACTCTTGTTTTAATATGGTGAAACTATTGTTTTCAAAAGCGACATTGAACATCTAGTCAAATCATAGTGTAAAAGCTGGTTAAGACTCTTTTTACTATTTTCTGGTGTTTTGTGGTAGAAAACTGAGCGGGTCACGCATAACTCATCAACCCTGTTACCCATAGACAGGCTAGAAATGTTTTAGCAAGTTCATGTTTTTGTGAAGCTTGCATTCAATTGCCACTCCCTGTTGTACACAAGATTCCATTCCCCTGGTCACGAGGGGATTTATGGCTGATTAAGATTAGACAATTTAAAACAATACAACCACACATGGATAAAGCATTTAAAATCATTGAGAATGCCAGTTTGAAGATGAAATCAACCCTGTTACTTTATTTGGCACTTAATATTTTTTATTTTTTTAGTCATTTAGCAGACGCTCTTATCCAGAGCGACTTACAGTTAGTGAATACAGATGATGGTACAGTTAACAAGTACAAGGTTATTTGCAAGATTTGTAAGAAGGAGTTTCAATTTCACCGGAGCTGTTCAAGCTTGAAGTACCATGTCAACGCCAAACATGCGTTTGCTGGGCCGTCAGATTCAGCAAGTGGTTTGCGCCAGACCACGCTGAATGTTTGCAGGCAATTAACAAAATCAACCTCAGATAATTTGACCAACACAATAGCAAAATGGATTGCAAAGGATTGTAGACCCATTAGCATTGTAGAAGACTCAGGTTTCCTTGATGTTTTGCAAGTGGCGTCTCAAGACTCATTCTATAAGCCACCGTCAAGAGCCACAGTTATGAAGAAAATCCACGAGCTCTATGAAAACGAAAAAGAAAAAAGGAAAGAGGTCTTGGCTCAAGTAAATCATATCTTTATTTATCTTTTGGTATGCATTTCAGAAAAAAAATGGTTTGGATTCAGGTGTAATTGCAAATAGTGATTAATCATGATTAATCCACTGAAAATTCTGATTAATTTGATTAAACATTTTAATCATTTGACAGCCCTAATATATATATATTTTTATACTGGCCCCCCGTGGGAATCGAACCCACAACCCTGGCATTGCAAACGCCATGCTCTATCAACTGAGCTACATCCCTGCTGGCCATTCCCTCCCCTACCCTGGACGACGCTGGGCCAATTGTGCCCATGAGTCTCCCGGCTGCGACAGAGCCTGGATTCGAACCAGGATCTCTAGTGGCACAGTTAGCACTGCGATGCAGTGCCTTAGACCACTGCGCCACTCAGGACTCAGCAAATTAATATGCAGTTACCCTTGTAACTTTTTTATTTAACCTTGAGATGAGAACACTTTTTTTATGAAGTTGAACATGTCCTCTGACAGAATGTAAACATTTGGTGGATTTGTTTTTTTTTTGGGGGGGGGGGGACCAAGTTACACTTCTCAAAAAGGCATGGAATTGGTGGAACGACCCATATAGTCCAATCAAATCAAAATGGCCAAACAGATCAAGTTCAAAAACTTTATTGACTTATAACCTGATTAAAATGTCGGATGATGACCAGTTTTGTACAGGAACTTGTACAGAAATCTTTTTTCAACATAGAAAACTTTACATTGCTGTACCATATACATTTTGTTTTCTACATCCGTGAGCAAGGATTGCATCCCATCCACAAGTCTTCTTTTAAAGCACAGTTAACATTATTCTTCATTTACTCTATACATACAGCATGTCCCCAAACGAAAGAAAAAGGAAATTAAATATATTATTAATTTATTCAAATTTGTACACAGAGTGAAAACTAACTTGAAACATGGAAACAGACCAGTGATTCAGAAGCAGCGCACACCAGGGGCCTATTCAGAAGCATTGCAGATAGAAATGTTGTATATAGATCTATTAATTCATTGTAGTACATGACAGAATCATATCTACACAATACATTTCTATCTGAACGTTGGAACCTCCTGAACAGGGCCCCCTAGTTGCTCTCTTTTTTTCCAGTTTTAGGAGGAGCCCCAGTTATCGACTATCAGTTAAAAAGTCTCAGAACATAGCAAATGGAATAATTTAACCCTTAACTTTGTCGCGTCGTCGTTCAATTACAAATCTCACATAGGACAAACTGCAGGACAGATGGTTCAGTCAAAATAAATAATCACAAAAGCAGAAATCGAGTGCATTCAGTAAAGAAATCAAGTGCAGCAGAATCCAGAGAAAAATAAAACCTAATAAAATCCAGTGTTATGAGATTACATTACAAAGCGGCATTTCTGTAGTTCATTTTTCATCCACAGGGCTATTGGTGCTAACGTTAGCCATCAGTGGTGCAGCCAGGAAAATATCAGAATTATTATTGAGTAAGAAATGTCATGTTTCATATTACTGAATATTCGTAATTTGCATTGTAGCCATTTCATTCTCAAGAGTAGCTTTTAAGGATACAGTCATTTCAAGAAGCAGTACCTTTTGAAATATATTTGACTCTTCTGAGTCAAAGGTGGGTAGGCTAATTGTATAATCACAGTTATTCTGCAGTCGTCAGTATAATTGGAGAATCAGATCTTCATACAATGCCAAGCCATTCTTCCAGTGATATGAGGGGCTTCGGGTAGAAGTTGCCCATAGGATCTAAGATCAGCTTGACCTCCCAATATCCTAACCTTAACCATAAGGGGATGCAAAAACTGGCCTTCGATCAACTTCTAGGGGCAACTTCAACCTACTCTGAAATGAGAGAGGGGTCATTTCCTGTCACATGACCAGTCAGGTTCACAGTAGAGATCCCTGGAAGTTTCCTGTACTGTTAGTGGGGGATTCTGGGTAACTGCCAAATCCAGAGGGGGTGAAGTCTGGTCAGATGCACCCCTCGTAGTACCCTGGGGGATGGGAGACCATAGTCCTAAATGGTTTGTAGACAAACCCAAGGCAAGAGGGGAGGAGGACTTCCAGAGTTCCAGGCTTCCTTATACAGAGGTCTCGGTGCCAGCCCGCTACAAGTGCAACATCACTGGGCTTGCTCTCCAGCCACCTTCCCTCTCTCCACCTCCACTTCCACTTCAAGCCCTGGTTCTGGTTCCTGTTCTGGCTGGGAGGTGTCAGGTAGCTGGGCGATCTGGAACACGAACCCGATGCGTAGGTAGAACTTCCGCAGTACGGACCGCAGTTCTGGGATAAGATCAACCTGCATGATCTCACACAGCAGAGGGTAGTACCTGGACGCATGGGCCTTGAACTGGGGACCAAAAGAGAGACATAAAACATCTTCATACAGATTGATATCCATACGAAGACGGGGTTAGGGCTCCTTGAACATGTCACTGACAATGACTTGACCAAATCAATGGCCTGTCAATGTTGTTAATGGTTGAGATCCTTACCCTGTCGTCACTGATCTTCAGGACCTTGGTGAGGAAGAGGAGGAGCAGGTTGGTCCAGGATTCTCTGTGGCTCTCTGATGTTAGAGTCAGGAAGTAGGCTACTGCCTCACTGCACACACTAGAGGGAAAAAGGGAGATATCATGATAAAGTGACTCATTAGCCATATGAAAACTGTTCAGTGACACAGAATTAAGATGTGATCACTAATTAATTAGCACCAAGACTAATTTCACTGCCAACATGAAATGATTTGCCGAGTTGACCAGCCACAGGGAGAGGAGCAGCCGTGACCTCAGCATTGTCCTCTAGCCCTCACCCTGGACCTTTCCTCAGAACCGCCATCTACCAGCCCTTCATCCCTCCCCATCACCTCCTCTCTTTACATCTTCACAGTTCCCCTACTCTCCATGACCTAATCACCTCCCAAATCTGCTTAGTTCTCTTAAGAACACTGCCATAATCAACCCTGCATAACTGCTGCCCTCTCTTCTAGCATGCTATGCTATGCTTGTGTGGTGTGTGTGAGTTTGTTGCACATCTTTATGACAGTGCAATTCAGTTCTCTCTCTCACACACACACACAAATGCACATAGAGACCGACAACCTAAGAGTTTTCTGCTAACCTAGACACTGCCTTCAATACAAAGTAAATCTGAAAGAGACAAGATGATAGCTACTTTGTGATACTCTAATTAGAGACAAGGCGATGACAACTGTGTTGACTCAGTAATAACAGCGGCATCCTGTCTGTTTGTGGATCCATATACAATACCCACTATCCATTCCAGACCATTTCAGATATCTGTCACATTTAGACGGGCGCTCTAAATGAGTGGAGAGAGTGGGAGTCATCGACTGTTGGCGATACAGCGACATCAACACAATCTGACTCAATCATTCTCTTTCAGGACCAATTTATTTTGATTCCCCTCCCGCTTTGGTGGATAATTACATTTTGCGTCAGCGACTGTGACTCCTCTATTCCCTAGTTGGCATAAACAGAGGCGTGACTCTGTCTCAGTCTCTCAGACAGCGGTGATCAGGGTCAGGACAGATCACCGGTGTCGTATCGAGAAGTGTGTGTGTGTGTGTCCCCAATAAATCCTGCTCCCCTCTAATTACATGGACTGATGAAACCCTGCCCTCTCCCAGCAGCCCTTCAGAAATAGAAGGCGTCTGACATGCCCTTGCTCCCCTTCATGAAAAATAATGAAAGTTGTTTGTTCTGGTAGATTGCTGCCTGCCTGGTTCTTAAATCCAGATGTTCCATTTATAGGATTTCAATAAAAGTAACGTTTGCAGAGAGTTCCATCCACAACAAAGCAGCAAATTAGTTATAAAATATTTTGTGAAAATCGAGAGCACATTCTGGGCATCCTTCAGACATATGTGACTACCATTGACTACCATTACAGGGTTGTGTGTGCAGTGAGAGGATGATTAGGGATTGTCGTGACATGGTGAAAGGAGCAGAACACAACAGGAAGTAGCAGAACAGAACTGCAGAGGGCATTTGTATAGTTTGACAGCCTCCATTCAGTGATATGGTGGTGGGGCGTGGCGGTCCTTCCTTACTTGAGCAGCCGTCTCTGGACCTCCTCCGAGGCAGTCTGACGGCTGTCGTCAGCGTACATCCGGAACAGGATCCTCAGGCCACACGCCAGACTGCTGGTCTCCTGCTTCAGCAGATTGGGCTTCGACTTCCCTTTAAAACCTGGAACAGACAGACACAGAGACAGAGAGACAGAGAGAGAGAGAGAGAGAGAGAGAGAGAGAGAAAGGTTACTGCCCGTTACAGCCACAGAGAGGCCAATCAACATTAGGTAGTACAAACGGGGGCCATTGTTCCAATTGTTCAAAGAGTTCCATTTGAGACTCATAACTTCACTCTTCTACATCATGTCATTCAAGCAGATTCCTTGGGTGGTGCACTGCAGAGCCACAGATGGACGCTGGTATAGCCGCCTCTGTTCTGGTGTAGTGACCCACCTGCCTTCCAGAGAGTGGTCCTCTGCTCATTGTTGGCGTTGAAGGCTTTGGCGAAGCGGTGGGACTCCAGCAGGCAGTCTAGCAGCTTGAACAGCTGTTCTGAGGTCAGGTAGCGGTACATTCCCTGGTCCTGGGTCTCCACAAGTACATCTGCTGTGTCCAGAGCATCTCTCTGGAGAGGACCAACACACATACACAACCTTTATACACATACAGAGCCTTCTCACATCTTTGTTGTCAATGATAATGCTTTCCTCCTTCCCTAACATCTACTATAATAAGAACATACAGTAGATCAGCGTTTCCCAAACTTGGTCCTGGGGACCCCAAGGGCTGCACGTTTTGGTTTTTGCCCTAGCACGATTCAAATAATCAAAGCTTGATGATTAGTTCATTATTTGAATCAGCTGTGTAGTGCTAGGACAACAACCTAAACGTGCACCCCTTGGGACCGAGTTTGGGAAACGCTGCAGTAGATACCTTTAATATTTTCAATGATCAGTCCATCCAGCCAAACTACTAAAAATTAATCTGGCAAGAACAAACATTTTGGCAAGAAATGTGTCCTTCCCCAAAGTTCTGAACCAGTGATAAATCTCATCCTCCACGTAGGGGTGGGAATGAGACGTTACCTGTGCAGCAGCCAGGTTCTCAGCATCCTCCTTCCTACTGGTTGCAGGGAAGAAGACCATGTTGTCTATGGTCTGGATCAGCTCCAACTGCACCACACACTTAATGAGTAGGGCTGAAAATAACCTCTGCTCCTGGATCTCTGTGGAACACACACACACACACACACACACACACACACACACACACAATGAGTATAAGGTTGAAAAACACTCAAGTGGTACAAGGCGTAAAAGTGGTAAAAGTGAGAGAGACAGTAACTTGTTGGGGTCCTGTTTCTGGGGCCGTCCTCATACATGCCTACGCTGTACTGACTCTGCCGCCGGGTCTCCATGGCAACCCTCTCTGCACTGTTGATGGAATGCGGGTCTTCGGAATGGGACTGGATGTCCACTGACTTCTGGGAAATTGAGTCCTGAGGGCACATGGGGAGAAGTTATTTTGTCTGCATGGTTCTGGGTTATGTTGTTGTACGGTCTAATCAGGCATAAGATAGCAGACTGAATGGAAGACCTACAGTACAATCAGGGTTTGAACCATACCAGCTGTTTGTCTGATACGTCCTGTGGTGACATGGGATCTCCCTCTGCTCCTGCCGGTCTCCATGTCAACAGCCTGACAGAGGAACAATATGGGACAGGACAGTGTTACTCTACTTCTACACAGCATGACAGTGTTATAACATACACAGACAGTCAGATATCACTCTATTAACTAAACAATGGCAGAAGTGACCAGGTCCATTCAATACCTCCTCTCCCATCCCTTCTTATTGGATGTTTCTTCATATGATCTCAGTGCGCTCCATGTTTACATCACTATGGTCAGCAATAACACAATCATCACGGACAATATTCACAGCTGAATCTCAGCGATATGAATAAAGCCTGCATCAGTAGCTTACGCGTGTGGGATGGTGGTCTTGAAGATGTCCAGCATGCAGTTACAGGTCTTGTCCCAGGTCTCCGGAGTAAACTTCTCTCCATTCAGGATGACCACATTCTCCAGACAGTTTGTGCCTGACCGGGCCAACTGCTCATTATCTAGGCCGAGAGGGAGAGGAGGGAAGAAGAGAGAGAGGAGAGAATAAGTGAGGGAGAGAGAAAGAAGAGTCTATTAATGTGGAGAGAGGAGGAGAACGGGAGCAGAGAGGGGGTTGAAAATAAGAGGAAGTGTGCTACGGTGGTTTAGCAGTCCATAAGCCTCTGGATCACATATTCTGCTGCAACATGGGTTCCAATCCATCCTACTGCTATTTCACTACACTCCTCTATCCTCTCTACCTCCGTCCTATCCAATAAACCAAAAAATGCCCCACTCCTTAAAGAAAAAATAGGAAATATGCATAAGAGGGATTGAGGCACAGAAGGTTGGTGGCACCTTAATTGGGGAGGACGGGCTCATGGTAATGAATGGAGCGGAATCAGTGGAATGGTATCAAATACACAAAACACATGGTTTCCAGGTGTTTGATGCCATTCCATTTGCTCCGTTCCAGACATTATTATGAGCCGTCCTCCCCTCGGCAGCCTCCACTGGATTGAGGTGTACTCAGTATAAGCCTAGGACTGAAGGTGGCTGTCATTCCTCACCTTGCTGAACACACCAGTACAGCTGGGCCAGGATGTCATCCAGCAGGACGTCACTGAGCGACTCAAAGTACTGCGTGAACACGTCAGAGATGGCGTAAAGTGCGTGGTTACAGGTCGTCGTCATCCACTCTGCTTTCTGGCAGACCAAAACAACACAGAAGGGTTACCACGGTTACACCAGTGCCTCTGGGCATCATCTAGTCATTGTAGCAGTTGGTACTGGATACTAGTTGAACACATGGATTGGTGCTGTAAATTGTGGAACCAATGGTGTACATATAGAAATAGGCGTTGGTTACACGTGAGATAAAGCTGGGTCTTTGGTGAATGGGTGTTTGGGATGTGGAAACTTGCCTCAGTTTGTTGCTCAGGTAGCTTCATGTTGTCAAAGATCCTGAAGACGATTCTGAACAGATCCTGCCACCAGTGTTTCTCGAAGGTGTGTCCATAGGTCTTCATCACCTCAAACATCACCGTCAGACCCCTGACACACACACACACTTTTACTGAACAGTACACCCAAACCATCAGTTCAGACTTAATATTCCCATCTAGGATGGCACAGGACTGAAACTCTTCTCACCTGGTCCTAACGTCCAGTTTACACCTGTTGATGATGCAGGACAGCTCAAAGAGGATGGGGAACCACCCCCTCACCCACACCCGGTCCTCTGGGGCTACATTCATGTCATCGCTGGTGTAGTCTTTGAACGCCTGCCAGAGAGAAAACAGGATCGTTTACCACCATGTCCTGATGTGTGATACACGGACAAGCGCCAACAAACTAAAATTTTAACGGTCTAAGCCGTATGTACGGTTCACTGGAAGCTTTCCCTGAATTTGCCCTGCTGCCCATGCGGCCACTCATCTCACGCCACACACACACACACCTAACCCCCTCCTCTTATCCACCCCCACACAAACAAATAGAAAGAAGGCAGTGGGGCTGGAGAGTACAGGGACGAGACCTTGAGGAAAAGCACTGGCAGTAAGCACCAGTCACAAGAAAAATATGAATGTTTGGCGACCAGTCATGGTCTAACATGAACAACTGTGGGCAGTACCATTTGATGTTCAGCGATGACTGATTTGGGTTCAGCTCTTAACTATGAGACCTGGTAATAAACCCAGTCCAGGGTGTGTTTGTAACCGACCTGGGGCCTGTCAGAGACGTATTTGGCGCAGTGTCGGATGAGGCGGATGGCCTCCATGCTGGTGTCGGGGAAGGAGGCGTTGCAGGCGAACTCAGATAGACACTTGACTGCATCCTGGAAGGAGTCTATGGTGGCTGGGAAGTGCTTCTCAAATACATTCGCTGAGAGAAGAGAAGAAAAAACTAAGTCGCTCTGGATAAGAGAGTCTGCTAAATGACTAAAATGTAAGAAGATCAGAGGAAATGGATCAAATTGAAATCTGATGACTAAAGTTAACTGATCTGTCAATCAGAATTACATTCCATGGCCCTGTCATCAAAAATACTAAACTAAACCTCAAATTGATGATTCAATATTAATCTAATACTGAAACCATCATATTGAAAATAAAATCTTAAAAGATAGAGATAATACAGATCAGATATCAAAGATCAGTTCTTAGCCCGAGGTGTGTGTGTGTGTTTGTCTCAGTAACTCACTGGAGATGTGCCCTGTGGTCTGGAATGCTAGCTCTACGATGCTCTCGTCCTGGTCCGAGGCAGCCAGGTGGAACACTGAGAAGATGTTCTTCCAGCCTGACCGGATGTTTCCCGCCTGTGAGTTGACCATCTGGGCTATACAGCGCACCACCATGTCCCTGATTGTTGGAGATCTGGAGGAGCAGGAGGAGGACATATGGGTTATACTGTATGTGAAAGAAAGTTGGTCTATGAGGAGGATCATCAATGCTACAGCCCTTTATTCAGGCAGTCTCATTCTTCCCTTTCGGATGTTGTGACATGCTGGTTTCCGACGGCGACTGTTGTCATAGCGAACAGCTGGCCAATTTTTTCAGTGCTTTGAAGAATGAGAGAGGACCAGCCTCTGCACAAAAGTACACTCACAAACATACTATACAAACACACAGGCTGAGTCTAATGAACACATAGCACCGCGGGGCGTCCATGTCTTTACGTGGCTCCCTGCCATTTCCTCTGAGCTGTAACACTCTTCTCACAGTAAGCCAGTGGTTGGATTTGGGACTGGTAGTTCTCCTTCACGTCAATGAAAACAGATTGAGTCCTCCAATTTGAATCAACTGTATCTGTCACAGCTTGCCAGAGTGCTATTCTAGTGCTCAAATCACATGATTTCCCGTTTTTGGAACACTTCACATGTGATCACATGTGTAGTGTCATGTTATCACATGTTGCTTTACATGTCACATGCTATCACATTCATTTCACGTGATCACAAACATGTTGTATTCGGAACACTTCACGTGTTCACATGTGAAATTCATGTGTTTTTTCCATAAGGGAGTACAGGGAGACTGGCTGACTGCAGCACTAAGCGAGATAGGTGCTGAAATGTGAACCACAGAGGTACAACACAATACAGACCTTGTGAGGCCAGACTACCACAGCCAAGCGCCTAGGCAACCAGCTTGTGTGTACATATACCACCATACGTGTACCCAGGGGCCCAACTTTGGTTTTAGAAGTGGGGGGGGACATAATTATAAATAAATAAATGTATCCAGTCGGATAAACACTCCAAACAGCCTACCCAACCGCTCGGAGGCGGCCACATGGTCCTAAAGCACACCGTTGGCTGGTTTTATATCACATTACAACTGATAAAACTGGGGAGGAGAAAAATGCAATATCCCCCCTTCCCCAGTGAATGTTGCGCCCCTGCACGTACCTAAGCAAGCAAGCACAACCACAAGCACATTCATGCAATTATGCTTAACACACGTACACACAAACACACTCACAGGATTCAAATCAGGAATAAAGTTTAAGGCAACATCCTCTTTACCTGTTCTTTTTCATGATGTGCTCGAAAGGCCTCAGAAAGTCCTTCTGGAATCTGAAGTTTGCCAGCTCTCCCTTCTCTAGAAACTTCATGGACAGCTGCCGGAGAGAATCCAAAGCAAAGATAGCCACGTCCTCATTGGGGTTGCATCCAACCTGAACAGATAGACAGAGAGAAGTTTAATATCTCTACCCCACTCACTAACATTGAACATCCTCTGTAACATTTACAATCTCCGCCCATCTCTAATATTTCCCTTATGAAAAAAGATTGCAGTTAGAGTGCAGTATAACTGCAGTATGCTGCAAATACTGATGCCAAAATAACACTGTTTTATTTACTGCAATTACTGCGTCCAAAATACCATAGTTGACTGCAGTTACAGCACTTTTACTGCAGTTTCAAAACTGCAATCTTTTTTTGTAAGGGTAATAGCCTATTTTAACACTTCTGTCCTCCCTGATAAGCTAGACCCCACTCAAAAACATGCCCTGCTAAATAAGACATGCTCCACTCGAGAAACGGAGCAGAAATCAGTGAAATACTAAAGCCTTTAGATTTGATTTTTTAAGCCAGGTGTTCCTGAGGGCAATGTTACAAAGACTGATTAACACCTGATTAAGGTGTGTGGGCTCTCTAGCCCAGTTGCCCAACCCTGGCCCTCCAGTACCCCCAACTGTACACATTTTCATTGTAGCCCTGGACAAGCACGCCTCATTCAACTCATTTAGGGCTTGATGATCAGTTGACAAGTTGAATCAGGTGTGCTTGTCCGGGGATACAATAAAAATGTGTTCTGTTAGGGGGTACTGGAGGACTGGAGTTGGGAAACACTGCTCTAGCCAACAACAACATGAATTGATCAATTAATGCAGAGAAAAGAAAAACAGCAGACCCTGACAACCAGAGTTGTGTACCCCTGCTTTAAGCACTGAAATAAATCCCAAGATGTCCACCTTGTTGAAGTGGTCTCCAATGACCTCCCAGATCCTGGACCACTGCAGTCTGATACGTCCCATGTTGTAGTAGGAGATCTCCACTATCTTCTGCAGGCTGAACATGCGGGGGTGTGTGGGCGAGGCCAGCTCATCCATAGACACAGCACACAACCAGCGCACAAAGTCCACTGAGAACACAGAGAAACCAGCGTTAGTCAACGATCGGGACCACCATGGCACAATGCCAATACATCCTCATCGGATAAGGATGTAATCAGATACTGTCATTGAATTCAGTTCCGATTTAGAACACTCACCAATTGCATTACCATCCAGTCTGGTAGAACCTGTGAATATTCTGCAAGAACAGAATCAAATCAAATCAAATTGTATTTGCCGCATGCGCCGAATACAACAGGTGTAGACATCACTGTGAAATGCTTACTTACAGCCCTTAACCAACAATGCATTTCTTTTTTTTATAAAAAAGTAAAATAAAACAACAACAAAAAAGTGGAGAAAAAAAGAGCAGAAGTTAAATAAAATAACAGTAGGGAGGCTATATACAGGGGGGTACCGGTGCAGAGTCAATGTGCGGGGGCACCGGCTAGTTGAGGTAGTTGAGGTAATATGTACATGTGGGTAGAGTTAAAGTGACTATGCATAAATAATTAACAGAGTAGCAGCAGCGTAAAAAGATGGGGTGGGGGTGGTGGGGCAGTGCAAATAGTCTGGGTAGCCATGATTAGCTGTTCAGGAGTCTTATGGCTTGGGGGTAGAAGCTGTTGAGAAGCATTTTGGACCTAGACTTGGCGCTCCGGTACCACTTGCCGTGCGGTAGCAGAGAGAACAGTCTATGACTAGGGTGCCTGGAGTCCTTTGACAATTTTGAGGTCCTTCCTCTGACAACGCCTGACATAGAGGTCCTGGATGGCAGGAAGCTTGGCCCCAGTGATGTACTGGGCCGTATGCACTACCCTCTGTAGTGCCTTGAGGTCGGAGGCCGAGCAGTTGCCATACCAGGCGGTGATGCAACCAGTCAGGATGCTCTCGATGGTGCAGCTGTAGAACTTTTTGAGGATCTGAGGACCCATGCCAAATCTTTTCAGTCTCCTGAGGGGGAATAGGCTTTGTCGTGCCCTCTTCACGACTGTCTTGGTGTGTTTGGACCATGATAGTTCGTTGGTGATGTGGACACCAAGGAACTTGAAGCTCTCAACCTGTTCCACTACAGCCCCGTCGATGAGAATGGGGGCGTGCTCAGTCCTCTTTTTTTCCCTGTAGTCCACAATCATCTCCTTTGTCTTGGTCACGTTGAGGGAGAGGTTGTTATCCTGGCACCACACGGCCAGGTCTCTGACCTCCTCCCTATAGGCTGTCTCATCGTTGTCGGTGATCAGGCCTACCACTGTTGTGTCGTCGGCAAACTTAACGATGGTGTTGGAGTCGTGCCTGGCCATGCAGTCATGGGTGAACAGGGAGTACAGGAGGGGACTGAGCACGCACCCCTGAGGGGCCCCCGTGTTGAGGATCAGCGTGGCAGATGTGTTGTTACCTACCCTTACCACCTGGGGGCGGCCCTCGGGATGTCCAGGATCCAGTTGCAGAGCGAGGTGTTTAGTCCCAGGATCCTTAGCTCAGTGATGAGCTTTGAGGGCACTATGGTGTTGAACACTGAGCTGTAGTCAATGAATAGCATTCTCACGTAGGTGTTCCTCTTGTCCAGGTGGGAAAGGGCAGTGTGGAGTGCAATAGAGATTGCATCATCTGTGGATCTGTTGGGGCGGTATGCAAATTGGAGTGGGTCTAGGGTTTCTGGGATAATGGTGTTGATGTGGGATAATGGTGTTGATGTGAGCCATGACCAGCCTTTCAAAGCACTTCATGGCTACAGACATCAGTGCTACGGGTCGGTAGTCATTTAGGCAGGTTATCTTAGTGTCCTTGGGCACGGGGACTATGGTGGTCTGCTTGAAACATGTTGGTATTACAGACTCAGTCAGGGACATGTTGAAAATGTCAGTGAAGATACTTGCCAGTTGGTCAGCACATGCTCGGAGTACACGTCCTGGTAATCCGTCTGGCCCTGCAGCCTTGTGAATGTTGACCTGCTTAACAGTCTTACTCACATCAGCTACGGAGAGCGTGACCACATAGTCATCCAGAACAGCTGGTGCTCTCATGCATGCTTCAGTGTTGCTTGCCTCGAAGCGAGCATAGAAGTGGTTTAGCTCGTCTGGTAGGCTTGTGTCACTGGGCAGCTCACGGCTGTGCTTCCCTTTGTAGTCTGTAATAGTTTTCAAGCCCTGCCACATCCGACGAGCGTCAGAGCCGGTGTAGTATGATTCAATCTTAGTCCTGTATTGACTCTTTGCCTGTTTGATGGTTCATCGGAGGGCATAGCGGGATTTCTTATAAGCGTCCGGGTTAGAGTCCTGCTCCTTGAAAGCGGCAGCTCTACCCTTTAGCTCAGCGCGGATGTTGCCTGTAATCCATGGCTTCTGGATGGGGTATGTACGTACGGTCACTGTGGGGACGACGTCATCGATGCACTTATTGATGAAGCCAGTGACTGATGTGGTGTACTCCTCAATGCTATCTGAAGAATCCCGGAACATGTTCCAGTCTGTGCTAGCAAAACAGTCCTGTAGCTTAGCATCTGCGTCATCTGACCACTTTTTTATTATCCGAGTCACTGGTGCTTCCTGCATTAGTTTTTGCTTATAAGCAGGAATCAGGAGGATAGAGTTATGGTCAGATTTGCCAAATGGAGGGCGAGGGAGAGCTTTGTATGCTTTGTATGTCTCTGTGTGTGGAGTAAAGGTGGTCTAGAGTTTTTTTTCCTCTGGTTGCACATTTAACATGCTGGTAGAAATGAGGTAGAACGGATTTAAGTTTCCCTGCATTAAAGTCCCCGGCCACTAGGAGTGCTGCCTCTGGATGAGCGTTTTCCTGTTTACTTATGGCCTTATACAGCTCGTTAAGTGCAATCTTAATCAATCATGTTTAAAACATTTACAGTACATTCATTCAAATGATAGAACAATAGCAGAGTTAAGACTCCAAACCAGTCAATGGTAATACAGCAGGATCTATAAGAGACCACTACAGTACACTACCTGTCCACAGCCACCACCACACTCTGGGAGCTGGTTTCTCCTATGGACTCCTGGATACTGAGGATCTGCTTCCGGTCTACTGTCCCACCTGCTGTGGACCACAGGACAGTCAGTCACATCTCCAGCATCAAGCATATTCCCAAGCATCTCCAGAGTCAAGCATGTTACCAAGCATCTCCAGAGTCAAGCATATTACCAAGCATCTCCAGAGTCAAGCATGTTACCAAGCATCTCCAGAGTCAAGCATGTTACCAAGCATCTCCAGAGTCAAGCATGTTACCAAGCATCTCCAGAGTCAAGCATATTACCAAGCATCTCCAGAGTCAAGCATATTACCAAGCATCTCCAGAGTCAAGCATATTACCAAGCATCTCCAGAGTCAAGCATGTTACCAAGCATCTCCAGAGTCAAGCATATTACCAAGCATCTCCAGAGTCAAGCATGTTACCAAGCATCTCCAGAGTCAAGCATATTACCAAGCATCTCCAGAGTCAAGCATGTTACCAAGCATCTCCAGAGTCAAGCATATTACCAAGCATGTTACCAAGCATCTCCAGAGTCAAGCATGTTACCAAGCATCTCCAGAGTCAAGCATGTTACCAAGCATGTTATTGAGTCAAGCACATCACCTGCTTGTTAACTACCATTTATTTCACCAGTTTATAACCAAAACATGCGTTAAAGGGATAAGCACTGACCCAGGCCCAGGTATTCGTCGTTGCTCTGCTCCTTGGTGCTGGTGATGAAGCCCTCTTTCCCCCGAACCGTCCCTGAGATGTACCTGGCCTTCACCCCCGTCCCGATCAGCTGGGCCAGCTCCAACTGACTGATACACTTCATTATCTGTACAGTTGTGGTCAAAAGTTTTGAGAATGACACAAATATTAATTTTCACAAAGTCTGCTGCCTCAGTTTTTATGATGGCAATTTGCATATACTCCAGAATGTTATGAAGAGTGATCAGATGAATTCCAATTAATTGCAAAGTCCCTCTTTGCCATTAAAATGAACTTAATCCCCAAAAAACATTTCCACTGCATTTCAGCCCTGCCACAAAAGGACCAGCTGACATCATGTCAGTGATTCTCTCGTTAACACAGGTGAGAGTGTTGACGAGGACAAGGCTGGAGATCACTCTGTCATGCTGATTGAGTTAGAATAACAGACTGGAAGCTTTAAAAGGAGGGTGGTGCTTGAAATCATTGTTCTTCCTCTGTTAACCATGATTACTTGCAAGGAAACACGTGCCGTCATCATTGCTTTGCACAAAAAGGGCTTCACAGACAAGGATATTGCTGCTAGTAAGATTGCGCCTAAATCAACCATTTATCGGATCATCAAGAACTTCAAGGAGATAGGTTCAATTGTTGTGAAGAAGGCTTCAGGGCGCCCAAGAAAGTCCAGCAAGCGCCAGGACCGTCTCCTAAAGTTGATTCAGCTGCGGGATCGGGGCACCACCAGTGCAGAGCTTGCTCAGGAATGGCAGCAGGCAGGTGTGAGTGCATCTGCACGCACAGTGAGGCGAAGACTTTTGGAGGATGGTGTCAAGAAGGGCAGCAAGGAAGCCATTTTTCTCCAGGAAAAACATCAGGGACAGACTGATATTCTGCAAAAGGTACAGGGATTGGACTGATGAGGACTGGGGTAAAGTCATTTTCTCTGATGAATCCCCTTTCCAATTGTTTGGGGCATCCGGAAAAAAGCTTGTCCGGAGAAGACAAGGTGAGCGCTACCATCAGTACTGTGTCATGCCAACAGTAAAGCATCCTGAGACCATTCATGTGTGGGGTTGCTTCTCAGCCAAGGGAGTGGGCTCACTCACAATTTTGCCTAAGAACACATCAATGAATAAAGAATGGCAACACATCCTCCGAGAGCAACTTCTCCCAACCATCCAAGAACAGTTTGGTGACAAACAATGCCTTTTCCAGCATGATGGAGCACCTTGCCATAAGGCAAAAGTGATAACTAAGTGGCTCGGGGAACAAAACATTGACATTTTGGGTCCATGGCCAGGAAACTCCCCAGACCTTAATCCCATTGAGAACTTGTAGTCAATCCTCAAGAGGCGGTGGACAAACAAAACCCCACAAATTCTGACAAACTCCAAGCATTGATTATGCAAGAATGGGCTGCCATCAGTTAGGATGTGGCCCAGAAGTTAATTGACAGCATGCCAGGGCGGATTGCAGAGGTCTTGAAAAAGAAGGGTCAACACTGCAAATATTGACTCTTTGCATAAACTTAATGTAATTGTCAATAAAAGCCTTTGACACTTATGGAATGCTTGTAATTATACTTCAGTATACCATAGTAACATCTGACAAAAATATCTAAAAACACTGAAGCAGCAAACTTTGTGTCATTCTCAAAACCTTTGACCACGACTGTAGGGTGGTGGGGGACATAGGCACCCATACATTCACTTAGTTATTCATTCATTTTCACAGCTATATTTATATATCTATTCATCACTCTTAATTAGTTGACAGAGAAACATATTTATCACATAGATTCCATATCAAAATAAACAAAATGGAGACAAAATTATGCAATATAGCTTAGAACAGCAATACTGACAGTGATACTATAGCAGCTAATTTGATTACTAGACTGAAAAATGAGACGAAATGTGGGCAGCGGGTTCAGACCTCGTGCCAGGAGTTGCCCAGGTAGTTTCCGTCTGTGTGGGCGACGGTGATGAGGGTCTTGATGGTGTCGATGTTCTTCTGCTTCATCTCAGTGATGCCAGAGCTGGCTGTGAGCAGGGTGAACCGCGCCAGGGCCTGCACATACGCATCCCGTTCCAGCTGTGTGTGTGTGTGTGTGTGTGAGAGAGAGAGAGAGAGTACTGCATTACTCTCTCCATAAGGTTTTAGATCATGCCGAGACACACTAAGACACACACGTATAATCTAAATAGGTGTAATAACTGGGCTATGTGTATTTTTAATCATTTGAATAGGTGCTTTACAAATATTATCAGGTCCCACAGCAATGTTGTTTCTATGACGTATGTGAAATGTGTTGATTTCTGTGTTGTAAAGTGACTGTATGTCCAGATCAATGGGTTTAAATGTCTGTTTGTACATAATGTTGTCATGTTTATATGTTCAGCTGCCGGGGACTGCAGATGGAAATTAGCTGTCAGCTACTCTGGGACGTATGTGCTGTGGTACATTGTCCCTGCCAAATAAACGTAATAAATACATTACAATAATGTTTGGGAAACACACCATTTGAACACATACAATGTTAGCGTGCTAGCTAGATTACCTGTATGGTAAAGATGCAGGCTATCCGGATGGCAAAGCGTATTCCCTCCAGACAGAGAAAAGCCACCTCAGTGTCATCACAGTCCTGGAGGCCCACACTGAAGGCTGCTAGGAACGGGGTCCAGGCCAGCTTGAACATGGGTCTGACATGCTCCAGGTGTGTGGCGCTGGTGAAGGGAGCCTGGACGTGGCTGACTGCCTCCATCAGGGCCTTGGCTGTCTTAGCCATCTGCTCCATCTCTACGTTATACAGCAGCCGCCTCTGCTTCTCACTGGCCACACCTGATCCAGGAACAGAGGTAAAGGCAAAACATCAACAAACAGTCTCTGCTTCTTACTGGCTACACCTGATCCAGGATCAGATTAAATGCTTCCTCCATATAGCTTTTGCCTATATTTTCAGATCAGTGCATATCATAGAGGAGACGAGAGGAAGCCACTTGCACAAACACGTGAAGATGATAAACATCACTAACTGGAAATAATACACTCAGAAACTTTCCCCATTGAACAACAGACACTATCTCAAACTTTTCCACCGATCAGTAATACAATCTAATCAAACTATATCTTAATCCCCTTTATATCTCTTTGATTGTGATGAGAATTCTATGATCTCCACAAAGATATCATATAAAATGACTCTCGTCGGTTAAATCTAAAGCTGATAACTTGAGAAAGATCCATTACACCTCAAAATAGGCATTTCATGTCTTGACGTCTGAACAAAATCATCTTTGACACGCTCAATTTCAGTCTGTAATGACATTTTGTGCTGGCAGACACAGAGGGACAGAGATACGCACTGTGCTTGTTGGATTTGAGAGTAATTTCCTTGGTCTCCTTCATAGCGATCTTCTTCCCTGCGATCTCGTCGTAGATGGCCGACAGATATTCCTCCGGTAGATCCTTGCTGTCGTTGATCCCTCTGTTCATCTTGATGTATTGCTCTTTAGTCATCTTGTTCTTCACCTTTGAAAAGTCAAATATGAGATGTATTACCATAACCATACCCTGTCTGCCTGTCTGTCTGTCTGTCTGCCTGCCTGTCTGTCTCTCTGCGCCGGCCTATTTGTCTGCCTGTCTGTCTGTGCCGGCCTATTTGTCTGTCTGTATGTCTGTCTGTCTGTCTGTGCCGGCCGTCCGCCCGCCCGCCCGCCGCCCGCCGCCCGCCCGCCTGCCCGCCTGCCCGCCTGCCTGCCTGCCTGCCTACTCTGTCTGTGTCTCTCTGTGCCTGCCTATTTGTCTGTTTATCTGTCTGCAATAACTAGCATTGCGTTCCCTGTGTGTCTGCCATGGATACATGTCTTCTAAACGCAGCTGAGGTGATTGTTTTTGTCAGTTCATCTTCCCAGAAACTGGCTCCGGCTGCGGTCTTACCTGCGGACTATGAAGGTCTGTTGTCAACATAATGATTGAGTAGGCAAGGACGTACGCAGTGTCTGCACTCGCAAACTCGGTTTGCCTGAAGAGAGAGAGAGAGAGAGAGAGGAGAGAGGAAGGAGAGAAAGAGAGAGAAGAGGATAAACAGAATGGAGCTGAATAAAGCATTGATGCATTTGTGCTAGACAATACAGATATTCAGTGAATGCACTGAATTCATAATAGAGAGCAATCTGAATCCTGCCATTCAATGTCCTTGAATGTGCTTGATATCACATATGAAGTCTTCTTCTAAGTCTACGAATCCACAATGCCCAGGGTAGTCCACACCACTCCACACTCACCCCTGGTTGCATTCTAGGTATCTAGCAGCGAATTTCTCCATGAGCCTGTCGATCTTCTGAGCCTCTCCCGGGAGACGGAAGCCCTCGAGGAACGTTCTGAGAGCGTAGACAAAGTCCTTGCCTTGGAAGTCCATCTGGTCCACGTAGGCATACATGACCTCTTTATTGAAGCGATCATTGTCCCCCAGGAACTCGCCCACCTGAGTCTGAGAGGTAGGAAGTGAGAGAGAGAGAATGATAAGAGAGAGAGAGAGAGAAGGGGAAGAGATAGAGAGAATGATGTTGAGTTCAATCAATAGATATTGAGTGTTATATTTGCTTGACTATAATGCATGTGCTCTTCATTGGAAGCCAATTAACACATATTGTCCTAACAAGCATCTCCTTTCCTTCAGAGACACAGCCAACTGTGAGGAAAGGACTCTGTTCTCTCCCAGCGCTGTAAGACTAGTCTCTCTGGCTCGCTGTTTGAGGGCCTCTTGTTCCAAAGCAGATGTTATGAACGCTCTTTAATGCCGATTATCACCTCACGGAACCCCCCTCGAGGCCAGCCAATCAATCGGGAGAGTGCTTCACTCGTTAAAATACTAATTGATGTGCACTCGGTGGAGGACGCAGGAATAATCTTGGAGTGGGAGGATAATGCTGGCGGTTCAGCATTAGGAGCTAAGTGCCTTGGTGTTTCTATGTGATGGATGTGTTCTGCTCTGGGCCTGCAGCTGTGTGGAGGCCGGATGAGAGAGATAACTGTGTAAACTTAGAGTTTAATGAGCTAGAATGGGTATTTGTGTATTTACCACCCAGATCCCCTATTAGCTGTTACATTCGCAACAACCACTCTACTCTACTTAATCACAAGGCACAGGTTCAAAGGTAAAAGTTTCAGAGAGCACATAGCTGAATGAGGTAGAGTGGGTATTTGGATCCACACAAGTCAAATGAAATGCAGTTAACTGAAGTAGATTGGGTAAACAGATTTAAAAAGGTTCTTTACCGAGTCCAGCCTCTCCTCCTGGTGCAGGAACTGAGCGAGGTCCTCCGGGGTGGTTCCCAGCATGCCTTGCTCCTGGAGGTACTGGACGCCCCTCTTTGGTTTTTTGTTGAACCTGACCACGGAGCAGAGAACAGAGACAGTGCTATGCTTACTAAGGTGGAGAAGGAAGTTGCCCTCCAGAGCCATAGTGTTTCATTTATATTTTGTCCTAATTTACTAATTCATAATTGGCAATTTAATCAATGGCATTAATTGATAAATTAAGTGCCAGGGAGAAATTAAAACTGTGACAACAAACAGGACAACTTCCCTCACTAGAAGGAGTTGTGCACCCCTGGGTGTGAATATATTCAGCTGTCTATACAGGATAAGGTGAATATATTCAGCTGTGTATACAAGATAAAGTGAATATATTCACTTGTGTATACAGGATAAGGTGAATATATTCAGTGGTCTATACAGGATAAGGTGAATATATTCAGCTGTCTATACAGGATAAGGTGAATATATTCAGCAGTCTATACAGGATAAGGTGAATATATTCAGCTGTCTATACAGGATAAGGTGAATATATTCAGCTGTCTATACAGGATAAGGTGAATATATTCAGCTGTGTATACAGGATAAGGTGAATATATTCAGCTGTGTATACAGGATAAGGTGAATATATTCAGCTGTCTATACAGGATAAGGTGAATATATTCAGCTGTCTGTACAGGATAAGGTGAATATATTCAGCTGTCTGTACAGGATAAGGTGAATATATTAAGCTGTCCATACAGGATAAGGTGAATATATTAAGCTGTCTATACAGGATAAGGTGAATATATTAAGCTGTCCATACAGGATAGGGTGAAAATATTCAGGTGTCTATAGAGGATAAGGTGAATATATTCAGCTGTCTATACAGAATAAGGTGAAGAGCATGGCGCTTGCAACGCCAGGGTTGTGGGTTCGATTCCCACGGGGGGTCAGTATGAAAATGTATGCACTCACTAACTGTAAGTCGCTCTGGATAAGAGTGTCTGCTAAATGACTAAAATGTAAATGTAAATGTATATTAAGCTGTCCATACAGGATAAGGTGAATATATTCAGCTGTCTATACAGGACAAGGTGAATATATTCAGCTGTGTGTACAAGATAAGGTGAATATTTTCAGCTGTTGTACAGTAAGGGAATATTAGGCTAGGATAGGTGATATTCAGCTGTCTGTACAGGTTAAGGTGAATATATTAAGCTGTCTATACAGGATAAGGTGAATATATTCAGCTGTGTATACAGGATAAGGTGAATATATTCAGCTGTGTATACAAGATAAGGTGAATATATTCAGCTGTCTGTACAGGTTAAGGTGAATATATTAAGCTGTCATACAGGATAAGGTGAATATATTCAGGTTGTAAGTAAGGTGAATTATTAGCTGTCCCAAAAGGATAAGGTGAATATATTCAGGTATACAGTATAAGCTGCACTAGTCTGGCTTACAGGTCGATGCCCTGCTCGATGATCTCCTTCTGTTGTTTGAGAACCTCAAACTGCTCAGGGTTGTCTGTCCCTGACATCTGTGTGCTGTAGCTCCCGATGCCCGACGAGGCCGTGGAGTCCAGGGAGTTGATGCTTCCGTAGCGGTTGATGGTCTCTGGGGCCTTCGTCTCATTGGTCTCCTGCTCCGAGGGTTTCTCCTGACCTGGGGATGGAGAAGAACATTGAACAATCAATGGTCTGAGAGAGATGAGCAAAAACTGTAGTTGGTGTTAGGACTCCAACGCAAACAGCAATCCAGCACAGCCAGGCAAGGCAACACTGAACGTTTTCAATCGAAACATATATCTAATCTTGTTTTTAGCCAGTAGGGGTGTTCAGCCTAGAGTTTCTAGATCCAGGTCTCTGGGGACTTCAGTAATAGTGGGAGGGAGTCTGCACTGCTGAGAGAAAGACAACATGATGAACCTGAGGCCTTGTCTGGTGGTATATTGTCTGCTGTGTACACACACACGTAGGATCTTAATTTGAGCCAGTTTGCTACAGCAGGAAAATAATCATGCAGCAACAGGAAATGGGAATTAATTTGTGGATTAAAATTAATGGACATTTTTGTAGGGATTGATACATTTTTCGTAAGGGAAAATGAAGTCTGAAAGTGGAAATTACAAACTTCAGAAGCCTTTTAAAACCTCAAATACACTACAAGTTTGACATTTCCTGCAAAGTTCTCCTGCAACAGGGTGGTCAATTTAAGAGCCTACATCTGTACACACACACACACACACACACAGACACACACACACACACACACACACACACACACACACACACACACACACACACACACACACACACACACACATTACAGACAATAAAAAAGGTCAGTTATCTAATAAACCAGGTAGGCTGCAGATAAGGCAGTGTGCAGTAACTGTAACATGGAGGTAGTGTTGTGTGTAGCCTGAGGGGACAGGACAGAGTAGGCAGGTCTGATGCTACTGTTCTGTGGGTGAATCAGGTCCATGGTGGTTGTCTGGCTGTAAGAGACATTGGACGTTGGTAAGGGATCTTATTACCCATCGGAAACTCTCTAAAACATTCAGGACACCAGGGTAATGTGAGCTGGCAGTGTGCTTCCTCCACTCAACAGCTTCATAGAGCAGAGCACAGGGTAGAGGGAGGAGGGTGGCACAGCCAGGATAGAGGGAGGAGGGTGGCACAGCCAGGGTAGCAAAGCTCTCTTTAACGTTTACTAGTTCTAATCACAACGTACAGTATAACCAACTGTAGCTTCTTCAAATATTGTACACAGAGCTGGCTTTAAAAACTCAAAATCTATCCAGAATCTACAGCATTCGAAGGCAAGTAACATGAGATTATGCAAATAAAAGGTAGATAAGGCGTGTAAATAACACACAGTACTACTCACAGCCACCGTAGCCCCCTCCACCCTCTAGTCTACCAAACACTCAACATCTTTCTACCATTACCTGCTCTTCCTGTGAAGTCAGCCAACCAGAGAACAAAGAGGGAAAGACCGTAATTAAGAGAAAGTGGAGAGTGGAGAGGTATTATCTATGTAATTATGTAAAAACATGTTTTCAGAAACACAATGCATTAGCTGAGCTACAGTATCTACATGGAAAATTGCATAATTAGGATGCACTTTCACTGACTCAGAAAAACATCCTTTGTTTGAAGTAACCTAAAAGCGTAGGAGACTAGTCACAGCAGCCAATACCGAGTCATACTGTCTACTTCAGCATGGTCACTAAATGAGTTGGCTGTACTTTGGCATGGTGACTAACCCTAGCCCCTGTAGCAGTAGCGCTGTTTATGGGTTCAGCTGCCTTCCGTGCCTTGGTAGAATTAGCTCTCTGAGTGCCAGAAGGTAGCCTGAGGCTAGCCTTGTGGATCCTCTCTAGGGGGATATGTAGGGATATCTGGCACTCCTCTCAGAGCCTCTACTTCCCTGCCTCCTTCCCTGCCTTCGTTAAAGCCCTCTTTCCCTCCCTTCGTTAGAGCCCTCCTTTCCTACTTGGTTAAAGGATCTAAAAGGAATGATTCCCCTCAGCTCATTCTGAAGCAAGCCAAGGGTCTTATCCAGGAGCACTGACAGAGGGTCTTGTCCGTCTGTCGCACCAGGGCGTTTCATCATCAACCGGTTCAGGGTATTGAGTTAGCCTGCCCTGCCCTGGTGTATTAGCCTGCCCTTATTATATTAGCCTTTCAGTGCTGCTGAGGGAGAGCATGTCCTGTCAGGGTCTGACTGGGCTAGCCACACTGATGGATGCTAGCCATCGCTCTCTTTCTCAGGGTCTGTGCTAGCCGTAATGATGAACGCTAGCCTTCTCTCTCAGGGTACAGTATTGAATTAACCTTCCCTCTCAGGGTCTGTACAATCTGTAGGCTACTGTTGAATGCTAATCGTTAGTCTTCTGTCTCAGGGAATATGCTATAGCTGTATTGATGAATACCACTCTTCCATCTAACCCCAGTTAACCCCAGTGATGAACGGCAGCCTCAGGCAGGTTTGACTGATAGTAAAGCCTTGGCATAGCTTGGCCGTCTCCCCTATGCTCATAGTTTTACCATTCTACAGGAAAAGGTAGATATGCACAATATGCCCCCATGCATCTGCCACTATAAATATGGTAAATACACACTCTAGGGTTCCACCATTGCTGATATGGAGAACTGAAGCTGTAGGATGTGGGATGCCAGAGAGATGTAAGTGGAATATATCAAATACACTCAAATATACATGTACTGGAGTGCTGGACTCCAACTGTGCATCTAAACCCTTTCATCATTCTGGTAACCACAAAGGAGCAGGCAGAACGGTGTACTTGAAGAATGGCTAAACCATTTTCCTCAGGATCTAAATCAAACCCAGTGGTACACCAGTCCCCATCAGCCTCAGGGTAACTGTAGTTTGGTCAGTCTCTTACCAAGGCTGGTCTGGGAGTTGGGGTTGACATACTGGTCCTTACTCCACTCTACCATACACTTCAGGATGGACACCAGACACTCCAGGCCTTTCTTCCTCAGGGTCAACTCCTGGTGGGAACAGAGAAATGTTACATCAACTTTAGAGCAAATAAACAAAGAAATACACTTTTGTATAGTCATTGGTCAGTCTTACCTGGAGTGGTGTTGTGCCGAGCTCGTGGCCTGCCCGGCCCTGTGCAATCTTTGAGAGGTCATTCACCAGCCTCTCAAAGATATTAGCAGCATTCAAGTCACAATCATAATTCACATAGATATCCACCACACCCTGGGCATCTGAGGGAGGAGAGATGAGGGACAGTTGGTACTTGACTTGTAATTGACGTTGATGCGCTGTACCGCAGATAACATTTCAAATTGACACCACACACTCGCCTGCACATATTCTGGTGAGGGTCTGTATGACCATCCATTTATGGTCGTAGGAGCTTGTGGATGTCTCCAGAATGTACAGGAAAATCTCCTTGAAGAACACCTGCGCAGCGAAACAAACCGTGACAGTTAAAGTTGAGGCAAACAAAGAGGTTGAGATGAGAAAAGCTGAATGAATCTTCATAAACAGAATGACCCACTGTAACAAAGCCATAAACACATACATCTCACTGCAGGCTGACCGCTGAACTATGAAATCAGAACATCTCAACCAACATCTGTCTCCAGAAAATACTATTATTTCCTTCATGGCCACAAACAGTCACGGGCAGATTAAGTCATCAACTTCAGCCTGAGGAAATATTACAACCAGACCACTGTGGAAGTGGACTACAAATCAGAAGCAACAGCTAACAGGTAATACTGAAACTCAATCACACTGAGACAGAACTACATTACTGTGCCCTGTGATAAACGTAATCTCCCATGAATCACCTGTGTCAGGTGCCTGCTGTATTGAGAGATGAGAGGTTTACAACATTGGGAGAGGGAACAGGAGCGATTGGCATATGGGGATAGGACAGCTATTCAGCGACAGAACAGACCAGTGTCTCGACCTGCATGTTGATTGGTTTTCAAGTAGGACAAGAAAGGAGGAATATGAGGAGGAATATTATATTTACATTTTAGTCATTTAGCAGACGCTCTTATCCAAAGCGACTCACAGTTAGTGAGTGCATACATACTGGCCCCCCGTGGGAAACGAACCCACAACCCTGGCGTTGCAAGCGCCATGCTCTACCAACTGAGCTACACAGGGGAATATGAGGTGGAATATGAGGAGGAATATGAGGAGGAATATGAGGTGGAATATGAGGAGGAATATGAGGAGGAATATGAGGAGGAATATGAGGTTTACGTGACTTTGGGGAGGAAAGGAAATACTATTTGGACTAATAGCTGGTCAGAGAGACTAATAGCTGGTCAGAGAGACTAATAGCTGGTCAGAGAGACTAATAGCTGGTCAGAGAGACTAATAGCTGCTCAGAGAGACTAATAGCTGGTCAGAGAGACTAATAGCTGGTCAGGTAGCTCGGTTTGCACAGTCCACTTTCTGGAACAAAAAAACAAAATCAGCAGCTTAATCTTTTGCGAAAGAGGAACAACCAAAATGTAGGTAGCTACCTCGATCTGCATCTTGAGGTGGGTTTTGAAGTGGGAGAGGAGGGTGAGGAAGATGGAGAGCGAGAGCTCGAAGACCTTTGGGATGGAGGAGACACCGTTTTTGGACAGTGCCACACACAGGTACTGCTTGATGGCATTGATGAACATCTCATTGGTCTTGAAGATGGGCCCAGCGTTCTGCAGGATGGATAGGAGCAGCTGGAGGGATAACACTTTGGAGCGCAGTTCGTGGGACCTGGCAGGAGACAGAAAGAGGCATTGATTCAGACTTCTAACATTCAAGTGCAACAGGACTAAGTATTCTTTATATGTTCAGTAGCCAATCTCGAACATTGCAGATAGAAATGCCATGAATAGAGCCCACATGACTCCTTATTCTACATGTCAGAGATGCATGTTTGTTCCAGCATATTTATATCTGAACGTTCCAAAACGTTGTGCCTGCTGAACGTTACCTTGATTTATACCATATGCCATCAATCAGCTTAATATGCACATAAAGTGTCTCCTGATAATGTATTCATTATGGGGGGAGGAAGACAGAGATCAGGGGTGGACTGGGACCAAAAATGGCCCAGGCATTTCTAACACACCGGCCCATTTTCTTCCTTGAGGCCCCTACACCGGCCCATTTTTCCCCTTGAGGATTCCATTACTAGCCAGATAATTATCATTTTGTGCAACAAAAAAAAAACAAGTTATACAGGCCCATTAGGCCGAAATGCCAGATGGCCAGCCCTCCCCTGACAGAGATGCATCAATAACAGGTGCACTGTGAGACACCATCTGATTCATAAGTTATTAGCACCACTTCCTGGTTGACCCACAACTGACTGAGGATACTAATGGTTTGGTGGCAGTCAGGGGATCTGGGGATGTCCACCTAATGTCCTTCTCTATACTAAGAGCCTGACCTAGCTAGATGTGCTAGAGCTCCTTTTCTTTTTCCAATAATATTTTAAAGAATAGATCTGCACATTTCATACAAACACCATATGTTACAGTGTAGAGAGGGCATATTTCCTTAATAGATCATTATAGTTATATAATTATATTGTCCATTTCCCCCTTCAATTAGTCCAACCCGTATTTCTGAACAGCTGTATGATGGAGAAGTAGGAACCCAAAATATGTATTTTGTTGTCGTCTTATTTGCAGTGACTGGCTTCCTATCTGTAAATGTTCCCCAGCCCTCCTCCACAGACAGACATATTAATGTAGCATACAGAAATACAGTGCATTCGGAAAGTATTCAGACCCCTTGATTTTTTCCACATTGTTACGTTACAGCCTTATTCTAAAATGTATTAAATAAATAAAAATCCTCATCAATCTACACACAATACCCCGTAATGACAAAGCGAAAACAGGTTTTTAGAAATGTTTTCAAATGTATTAAAAATAGAAACAAAAAATACCTTATTTACAGCCTTATTCTAACATTTCTAAGAACCTGTTTTTGCTTTGTCATTATGGGGTGTTGTGTGTAGATTGATGAGGATTTTTATTTATTTAATACATTTTAGAATAAGGCTGTAACGTAACAATGTGGAAAAAATCAAGGGGTCTGAATACTTTCCGAATGCACTGTATCTCCTGATTCTCTCAGGCACATGCAGCGCAGGGGAAACCTTACACAACTTTATCATTTCAGCTTGGCCCGGAGAAGGTAGGCAGGGTACATTTTCAGTACAATAACAAATCAACAATTTGAACCATAGAAAATCAAATGGAACAAAACATACCTGAGCCATGAACAACAAGACAAATTACAGAGGGCATGTTTTGAATGTTTGAAATGTATTTATATATGCAAAACATAAATCATATGTGTGTGTGTGGTGTTCATAGTCAGTGGGTTGAACTGAGCATGCCATGAAAATGAAACCATTTGACTGTTGAGGATTGTCCATGTGTGCTTCCTTAAAGCTAATTTAGGTAACAAAAAAACAAGCTAATACACCAAACTTGAATTCTTTATTAACGAATTACAACAGCAGGATTCAATACTGATTTAGCCTTTGTAATCCCTAAAAATACTTGTTCAAAGCATCGGTTGTAAGTTATACAGCTGATATCCAGATAAAGCAGGTTTCCTGTGTGTCGTCCGGGTATCACCAGGGCCAGTCATGGAGTAAATCTCTCTGTGGGTGAAAAGGCTTTCTGTCTTACAGAAACTGCACACAGCCCTTCCTCTGGTGGCACCGCCTTCCTCCCTGTCACCCCTGACAAAGGCCTGTGATAAACAGGGTTCCATTCCACCATTGTCTAGAAGACGGAACATCTCTCTTGTGTTCTTAGAATCCTGACAACACTACAGGAACACTGGGCCAGTACTCTCACTAGCCAATGCGGATAGAGTGTTAGGCCACATGGGCCATTGGGAGAATGATGGAGACGGGAGACAGCCAGTCAGAATTGAGTTACCATACAGAAACCAGATTGAGGAAATCCTGTTATGTAAAAACTGCTATCAGATCCAGCAAATCAGATGCCTCTTTGGCTGTAACGGGCTGGAAAATGCATACAGAAGAACACCAAAATGTAATCTCCCTCGTATTGGATCAAGGCAAAATCTAATTAGATATTTTTTCCCTTGTCATTTCCTGTTCCATACAGGGAGAAAAAACAGGGAGCACAGGAAGTGATCCAGAACCAATCATCAGCTGAGTGATGCTTCATCCAAACACACACGCCAACCAACTATCACAACACTCCCACTAATAACTAGGCTACCCTCCACAAGACATGATTCAACTAAGGAACACACTCCATAAATAAACCTGTAATAGCCTACTTACTAGGGTAATATAGCTACTGTTCCTCTATTCAATTCTCTAAAACAAAGCCATAATAAGTGTCCCGATACAAGAACTCAACTTACTTTGGGTCTGGGGGACCATCTGACAGAGGCTTCATGGACAGCTTGCAGAGAGATCTAAACACTAGGAAGGCATCCTTCTGGAGAATATGGGAGAACTTAGCACCTGGTACTGGGCCTGTGGTCGCCCCCGACTCCTAACGCAGAAACACAAACAGATGGTCTACATCAAAAACCTTTCATCGAAAGTCCATTATCAAGAGTCAATTATCCTCTAAAATGATTTCCCCACTTGACAAAAAGAGTGTGAAATAAATTATTCCTATTAATGTATCTGTTCAACCTGTAATTGTACACTCTTAGAAAAAGGGTTCCAAAAGGGTTCTTCGGCTGACCCCATAGGAGAACCCTTTTTGGTTCCAGATAGAACCCTTTTTGGTTCCAGGTAGAACCCTTTTGAGTTCCATGTAGAACCCTCTGTGGAAAGAGTTCTACAATGAACCCAAAAGGGTTCTACCTGGAAACAAAAGGGTTCTACCTGGAACCAAAAACTGTTCTTCAAAGGGTTCTCCTATGGGGACAGCCGAAGAACCCTTTTAGGTTCTAGATAGCCACATTTTTCAAAGAGTGTAGATAATTACAGTGCTCAACCTTAGCTATAATAACCTGAGGAACTGAGAGGAGATAATCTATGAATCATGTAGGAATCAACCCCAGCAGACTAGAAGACAGACACTCTGATTCAGAGGGGTTGGGTTAAATGCGGAAGACACACTTCAGTTGAATGCATTCAGTTGGTCAACTGACGAGGTATCCGCCTTTATCTTTTCCTTTATGACTGCAGTAGCAGAGGGATTGAATAGCCCTCACCTCTTTAATTCCTCATGTTACCAATTACTTCCATTTTCCTTTTTACAAACGGATAAACATATATAAAAGTTATCGGACTGGGTATTTAAACCGTTGTATTTTTCTGTTGAAACAGAAACAGACACCCAGGCTAGCACAAACCCACTTTGTAGAGCGAAGTGTGTTGCCATGGTTACAGTCAGGTCAATCCCTCTCACCTGTGTATCATTGGAGCAGACAGACAGCCTGTCGTCGGGCAGCGACGGGGTGAAGCTGGCAGAGATGGGAGTGCCGGGGATTCCGTTGGCATGGACGTTCTCGCTGTCGCTGCCCAGCGCCCCCTCATCTTCTGCCACCTCTGTGACCTCCGTTACCTTGGTGATGATCTCAGCGGGTTCCGTGATCTCTGTGGGCTGCTCAGTCTCGCCAGCGGGCTCCTTGGCATCTGAACACAGATGGGCAGGGTTCAGGCAGTGCCCTTTGGAGTGGTTTAGTATGCAAAGGGTCAAAATAGCACTGAGACACACAACTCTCTCTCTTTCTAGTTAGGGCAAACAAGTAAACACACAGTAACACCTAAACTATCTCCAGACTTAAGCAAATTCTCATTCTAAAATTATTTTGTATCAGAATTCCATGTACCGGTAAAACTCCATTGTTGACTTAACTGACCGCAGACACAAATCTGATTTCAGATCCATAGAGTTACCTCCAACGATGGTGTTGACGACTTCCTGTAGGATGCTCTGGACGATCTCCTGGGCTTTCTCCTCATAGTTAGGCTCCTCCTCCTCTACTGCTGTCTCTTGGTCACGCTGAGCGGCACCTTGAACACAACACAAGTAAAACTTTGTCAAAATCCATTTAAAAGAACCTCAATACACTTTAAATGTTAAGATGGGAAACAGTAAAGAAAGTGTTTTCTCTGAGTGAGGCTGAGCATTAGCCTTTGATACTGTAACTGTCAATGTTGACAAGATAAACAGTAGTCACTGGTAACAGCTATCACATCTTCACTGAATAAATTGTGCATGTGTGTGTGTGTGTGTGTGTGTGTGTGTTCGTGTTGAAAGCATTGAGTAATTTGCTAACAAAATGATTATTGAATATTTGGATGCATCTCTTCTCACTCTTGGTGCCAACCTCTCAATCTCTTTTCAATCCCTTCTCTCATTCAGTCACTAATGAAAGCACTTATGGGCTGTCAGAAATGGTTTTCTGTAAACTAGTGCATTACTGCCTAAAGAGAAAGCCATCTCATCAAATGCTTATTTAACACAGACAAAATATTTTGTCCCAGAGTTCTACCAATATTGAGTACACAAACATGTCCAGGTTGAGGCTTTGTTACTGTCTAAAGCACCACAGATACTAGTCTAGCACTATACCCCTGGAAATGTCTATCCTCAAACATACTGCAAGGTATTGAGCGACAGTGAAGGTCTGTCTGTATGACCTTGAACATGAGTGCCTATATTTGTTAGTCTGAGTGTGTGTGACACAGTGTGTCCCTGTCTGTCTGCTCGCTCTAAGGTGAGACTCACTCTGTGCTGCGGCTGCCTCTGTCTGATGGTTCTCTGTTGTGCTGAACTCAGAGCCGTTATCTGGGTCCGGGCTCTCATACACCATCCCCTGCTCCTCCTCCGTGGCCCCCTGGCCCTTCTGGGGATCCCCGGGCCCAGCTGTTCTGCCCTGAGGGGCCAGGATTGGGGTAGGAGTGGTGGGGGTGGAGGTGGGTGTGGGTGTAGAGGGGGTGGTGGGGCCGTTGGCCTCCCGAGGAACGCCCTTGGCTGGGGGGTAGGTGTGCTGCTGGAGCTGGGGTGAGTCCGGTTCCTGTTCCTGTTGCTGGGTGACTGGGGAGTGCTGCCGGGGCCTCTCCCTCTCCATCTGCTTGGCCTCCTGGAGCTAGGGAGGGGTTAGAGGGGAGGAGGGGGACAGACGGGCAGACACAGACACACATCCAAAGAGCCAGACCCAGTCCAACCCAGTGTAGCCACATACAACCAAACACACACAGACAAAGCCAAATGCACACACACACACACACACGCACGCGCACACACACACGCACACACAAATACACACACACACAGAAATGTGTTAACACAATGTACACAAACTCATTATATCAATTCCCTCTCAAAGATTCCCTAAGGGGTTTCCACCCCAATGCCAAGCCGCAACACTTCCCGATGTCAGATCAGGAAGCAACACACGGCAGCTTTGGAATCACAGCTTTCCAGGCAGAGAGAGCAGAACACAGATTCTGCATAGCTCTTTTAACATCAGGACTGTCTAAAATGTGTTTATGAATGACATGCTGTCAAAACAAGTATGAGGCAGAGCATCTCACATGCTTATATAAACTGGGCTATTTCAGTGCAGAGAAGGAGGCAGAGTATTTCTGGTCTAAAATATTGCATGTTCTCCTGGTTGATGTGCCACTGATGTTGATGTGTATGCCACAACTTCAAATGTGGAGATGTTGAATTGCATCTAGAGACTGAGTTGTCTGAATTATGAATTATGTCTTCATATGATTCCTCCACAGCTCCAAAGTAACCTCAAGATGTTTTTATTTTAATATGCGCATATGAACCTATAAATATACACATCCTAAACATTTGTTACAGTATACAACGGAAAACAGCCAAGCTGCAGCAGCCCACTACACAGTATCTGGCTGCATGTGTAGGTGTACTATAACAATAATGTTAAAAGAACTGAAAAACTGAGCCACACGATGATTCAGAGGAAAGACACAGGTTAGGAACGGAAGCAAATACAGTGTGACACTTTCACACAACTACCAATATGATTGTGAATGACACACCTTCTCTAACACCAGCCTATAGCCATTTTCCCCTATTCCTATACACACAACATAAAACATGGCTAATTATCAGATTGTAAATGTAACAGAATTTGTTCTCAACCACTTTCGTGGCTAAATAAAGGTTAAATAAAGAGAGGACATTGGTATAGAGGTTGTGCTGGCAATGACAAATCCAGCCAGATGTGTTTAGTATGCAGCTCACTGTCCTCCTATCAGACGTGGCAGAGTCATGTAGCACCATTATCTCTGTGGCAGCTAGACATGACACACGTTATACGCACGCACGCACACACACGCACGCACACACACACACGCGCGCACGCACACACACAGTGACACACAGAAATGGAGGTGCCTCTCCATTTGTTTACCGAAAATGCTGCTCTCAAACTGTCTTGCTCTAAAAGCCATTGTGTCAACGCTACTGCTCTCGCTCTACTATAAGTGATGGCATTACATTTACCATTCAATTCTAACAACTCTCAAATTCAATGATATGGCCCTCTATTTAAAAAGGAATTACTCCGATGGTAACAATCCCAGACAAACGCAGCGAGATGAGATTCTGCCAGCTAATGAGAATACACACACAGCCATATCACTTGAGAAGATGGGAAATGTGTGTGTGTGTGTGTGTGTGTGTGTGTGTGTGTATTTTCAATCAAAAGTGTAAGCCCAAACACACACAATGCAAACAGAAAAACATTTGAATGGCTCTGTCGACTGGTATGAACACTCACATGCACACACACACACACACACACACACACACACACACACACACACTACTACAAAGACGAGTGAATGCATTTTATGAATGCAAATCGGTGCTGAAGAAAAGATAATAATTCACAGGCAACTGAACTGAAGCCACAGCAAGCACAGCGTAACCACAATGCAAGTCTGCCCCATAGCTGGAACAGAGGAGGAGAAAGAGAGATGGATGGATGGACTGATGGATGGAGCCAAATGAGAACACAGAGAGTTCAGAGTTTAGATCAGGCAAGTCAAGGCAGTCCTGTTGGCTTTACCTGGCGGTCACGTTTTCTTGAGGCCAGAGACCAAGATATCTTGTGATTTGTAAGCTACGTGTCCAGGGGGGAGGTGAGGGGGGGAAAGAAGTGTCAATCGAAAAGAAAAATATGATATTAGAGCAACACCTTACTTGGACCTCTGGTCAGAAAGTCTATTGTACACTGTCATCAGCATGACGGACGTTATCCGTAGTCAGTCAAGTTATAGCGACTTAGATTGGTTAGGTAGCTGTCAAGCTAGCCATGTTTAGCCTAGCTGTGGCCTGTGACATTACAGTTTTAGGTCACCTGGCACATAAACCCTTACGACTCCTTATTCAACTGCTATGTCATGCTCAAATAAAGAGTTAGCTTCTCTTTCCCTCTATGCGTGTCTGTGTCTCTTCCCTTCTCCCCTCAGTACAGTATCTCTATCTGTCTGTAGCTCTGTTTCAATATCCACACTAGCACACCGCTTAAAACGAAACCACAAAGCCATGTATTGGGCATCATGCATTCTAACTGCATTCTAAGTGCTATGCTAGTGTGGACATTGGGATGTTGGCGTGTCTCAGAGGGACTTACTGCCTGGTTCTCCATGCGGGCGAAGATGACGTTGAGCATCTGAGTGAGCGTGGCCTTGGCCGTGGTCTGGTTGATGAGGTTCTTGCTGGCTAGGTAGATGTTGTAGCAGGTCCTGACCGCCTGTAGCACCGTGCCCTCGTGGATCTCTATGTGCTGGGAGGTCACCGCCGTCAACAGGGCCTGGTGGGAGGGAGTGAAGGAATGGGAGAGAAAGACAGAGACAGAGACAGAGACAGAGAGAGAGACAGAGAGAGAGAGAGAGAGAGAGAGACAGAGACAGAGACAGAGACAGAGACAGAGAGACGAGAGAGAGAGAGAGAGACAGAGAGAGACAGAGAGAGAGACAAGAGAGAGAGAGAGACAGAGAAGAGAACGAGAGACAGAAGAGAGAGACGAGAGAGACGAGAGAAGAGAGAGAGAGAGAGAGAGAGAGAGAGAGAGAGAGACAGAGAGAGAGAGAGAGAAGAGAGAGAGCAGAGAGAGGAGAAGAGAGACAGAGAGAGAGAGAGAGAGAGAAAGAGAAGAGACAGAGAGAGACAGAGAGAGAAGAGAGACAGAGAGAAGAAGAGACCAGAGAGAGACGAGAGAGGAGACAGAGAGTAGAGAGAGAGAGAGACGAGAGAGCGAGAGACAGAGAGAAGAGACAAGAGAGAGAGAGAGAACAGAAGAGACAAAAAGAGACTAGGACGAGAAGAGAAGAGACAAGAGAGAGACGATAGACAGAGACCAGAGATAGAGAGAGAGAGACAGAGAGACATAGACAGAGACGAGAAGAGACGAGACAGAGCGAGAGAGACAGAGACAGAGAGAGACAGAGCGAGACAGAGCGAGAGAGACAGAGAGAGAGAGAGAGAGAAAGAAAGAAATAGGGAGGGAGGGAGAGAAAGATTCATCATGTTTATCAAGGTCTTTCATGGTTACTCATAGCATTATTTGTGTGAAAGACACGATGAGTAGATTAAAACCCGAGCTAGTCGTATAGTCCTCTGCATCTCACATCTCTGATGCCTTGACCATCCTCCTCCCAGTCAGAACTACACAACACAGCTATACCGGGCCGAGCTGAGCCAAGCTGACCTGAGCCAAACTGAGCTGAGCCTAGATGAGCTGACAGCAGATTAGGGGTAGAGGCTGAGATTTGGGCTGCTGTTTCACAGCGAGGGGTACTGTACCATACTGAGAGAGAACGCAGCGGTGCGAGACGATCTCAGAACAGACCCGCTGACTCACAGCCAGGACTACACCAATGCCTAGTGTACTTCCTGTCAGTCATCACTTCTTAATACACCTCCCTGCTGTGTGCACTTCACTCAACTACTGCTAAGTGCAATAACCTCAGTGTACTTCTCTTATCTACTGCTCAGTGCACTTCCCTCAACCACTACCCTTCTCTCTACAAATGAAAGTAACACACATGTACAGACTCACTATGTAAGGGATAATCAACGAGGGGCTATGCGTTCTATGGAAAATAAAGTATGATGTGGAACTGACCTTCCACGGAGTTGCATTATTTTCCAGAGAATGCAAAGAGCAATGAGTTGATTATCCTTTTTATACAATGGCTATAATTTAACACATTTGCCGCTAGAAATTTGTTCATTTACAGTTAGAAATGTGTTCAACATCCACTGAAATAGGTAGCAAGTTGACTAGATAGCTACAGTAGTTGCCTTGGTAACCAACAAACAGATTTGCTAGTTTAGCTAACCAAATCATCAGTTCTAGCTTGCTATTATGAAAATCTAATTCAACAATGCCAATAATGTTTTCAATTCTACTTTTGCTTGCAAAAGTGGTTAAAACATAGAACATGTAAGAATGAACTACAGCCATTGAATTGTACTATGCTGAAATAACACATACTCTAGAATTCCCTTCAAGCCAATCAGAAACGAGAATTCAACAATGCCATGGTAATTTACATTTACATTTTAGTCATTTAGCAGACGCTCTTATCCAGAGCGACTTACAGGAGCAATTAGGGTTAAGTGCCTTGCTCAAGGGCACATCGACAGATTTTTCACCTAGTTGGCTCGGGGATTAGAACCAGCGACCTTTCGGTTACTGGCACAACGCTCTTAACCACTAAGCTACCTGCCGCCCGTAGTAAGGGATGATCAATGTGGGGCTATGCATCCTATGGAATATAATGAACAACGTGGAAGGTGTGTTCCACAATGCACTACACTCTAAAAATTAGGGGTTCAACAAGGGTTCTTCTAAGATCCTTAAAGTTCTTTGAAGAACCTTATGGTTCTTGGCACTGAAAATTGCCCCCAAATAGTTCTTCCAAGAACCCCATAGGAGGTGGCATTCATCGAGGAACCTCCTTAGTTGGTGGGGGTTCTTGCAGGAACCTAACTGCCCAACTGAAACATTTGGATTTTAAAGGACAGCAGGTGCAGGCACTTAACTACATTTTTTAAAGATCTCCTCAATTGAAGGTAAGGTTTGTCCCTTGTATGATCTAAACTGATATTTGTTATGTTTTATGATGATACCATCTATCTTTTCATATTTGTGCAGAAAATTGACATAATTCAATGGATATCAATAAACAAAGAGGTAAGAATATGTATGTAATAAGAATATGTTGAAGGCTAGCTGTATTGGGTGCAGATGAATGAACTGCTCACTTTTGTGTCTGCAGGTATGCAGACGAGGAGGCATAAAAAGGTATGTCAATTGGTATTGGTATGTTATTCAGATCACATGCACCATCCTCCTCCCTTACCTCTTCAATGAAAATCCCATAGGCCTCTACATTATGGACAAGGTATGTGTATGAAAACCATTATCAAAACAGTTTTTTTCATTCACATTTACCACAAAAACCAAGGTACAGTGGGGAAAAAAAGTATTTAGTCAGCCACCAATTGTGCATGTTCTCCAACTTAAAAAGATGACAGAGGCCTGTAATTTTCATCATAGGTACACGTCAACTATGGCAGACAAAATTAGAAGAAAAAAATCCAGAAAATCACATTGTAGGATTTTTAATGAATTTATTTGCAAATTATGGTGGAAAATAAGTACCGTATTTTCCGCAATATAAGGCGCACCGGAGTATAAGCCGCAGCAGCTAAATTGAATGATATTGAATGATGTGTACATATATAAGCCGCACTGGACTATAAGCCGCAGGTGTTTTAATGTTTAATTACCATATGTAAGGGTTCGTGCACAGAGGGGATTGTCGGGAAAGAGACAAACTGTCTCGCTCTCGTAATGTCTGTCTGTCTTGCTCTCGTTCTGTCTCTCGTTCTCTCTCTCGTACCACTCTCGGTTCCACTTTTACTTTTGCGCGCTACCTGTCTCACTCTTTTCCGGCCTCCAGCTTTTCCTGCTGGAGCCCGCCGCTTAAAGGTGGGGGGCGCGGACCGGTCATAGAGCCCATAGAGTTAAAGTTGGTGGACTGTAACCTGTAAAATCCATAGATTTAGGAGGTCTTCTAGTGGCCGTTAGCTGTAAAAATCCATAGATTAGCCGCACCGTTATATAAGCCGCAGGGTCTAAAAATTGGAAAAAAGGCGCGGCTTACAGTCCGAAAATTACGGTATTTGGTCAATAACAAAAGTTTCTCAATACTTTGTTATATACCCTTTGTTGGCAATGACACAGGTCAAACGTTTTCTGTAAGTCTTCACAAGGTTTTCACACACTGTTGCTGGTATTTTGGCCCATTCCTCCATGCAGATCTCCTCTAGAGCAGTGATGTTTTGGGGCTGTCGCTGGGCAACACGGACTTTCAACTCCCTCCAAAGATTTTCTATGAGGTTGAGATCTGGAGACTGGCTAGGCCACTGCAGGACCTTGAAATGCTTCTTACGAAGCCACTCCTTCGTTGCCCGGGGCGGTTGTGTTGGGATCATTGTCATGCTGAAAGACCCAGCCACATTTCATCTTCAATGCCCTTGCTGATGGAAGGAGGTTTTCACTCAAAATCTCACGATACATGGCCCCATTCATTCTTTCCTTTACACGGATCAAGTCGTCCTGATCCCTTTGCAGAAAAAACAGCCCCAAGCATGATGTTTCCACCCCCATGCTTCACAGTAGGTATGGTGTTCTTTGGATGCAACTCAGCATTCTTTGTCCTCCAAACACGACGAGTTGAGTTTTTTACCAAAAAGTTGTATTTTGGTTTCATCTGACCATATGACATTCTCCAAATCCTCTTCTGGATCATCCAAATGCACTCTAGCAAACTTCAGACGGGCCTGGACATGTACTGGCTTAAGCAGGGAGACACGTCTGGCACTGCAGGATTTGAGTCCCTGGCGGCGTAGTGTGTTACTGATGGTAGGCTTTGTTACTTTGGTCCCAGCTCTCTGCAGGTCATTCACTAGGTCCCCCCGTGTGGTTCTGGGATTTTTGCTCACCGTTCTTGTGATCATTTTGACCCCACGGGGTGAGATCTTGCGTGGAGCCCCAGATCGAGGGAGATTATCAGTGGTCTTGTATGTCTTCCATTTCCTAATAATTGCTCCCACAGTTGATTTCTTCAAACCAAGCTGCTTACCTATTGCAGATTCAGTCTTCCCAGCCTGGTGCAGGTCTACAATTTTGTTTCTGGTGTCCTTTGACAGCTCTTTGGTCTTGGCCATAGTGGAGTTTGGAGTGTGACTGTTTGAGGTTGTGGACAGGTGTCTTTTATACTGATAACAAGTTCAAACAGGTGCCATTAATACAGGTAACGAGTGGAGGACAGAGGAGCCTCTTAAAGAAGAAGTTACAGGTCTGTGAGAGCCAGAAATCTTGCTTGTTTGTAGGTGACCAAATACTTATTTTCCACCATAATTTGCAAATAAATTCATTAAAAATCCTACAATGTGATTTTCTGGATTTTTTTCCCTCATTTTGTCTGTCATAGTTGACGTGTACCTATGATGAAAATTACAGGCCTCTCATCTTTTTAAGTGGGAGAACTTGCACAATTGGTGGCTGACTGAATACTTTTTTTCCCCACTGTATGAATACTGTTGTGTGCATGTTTTGTTAAACATCTGTATAATTACTATTTTTTGGATTCACAGACTTCACCCTCCCTACACATCTGATGAATATAACAGGAAACCTGTTTGATCACCATACACTGCAAAATCATTATGGCTATGGATACGGAGAACATCAACACACCAGAGGAAATACACATTGGACTTGGGGCTCTGCTGGGAGTTGACCTCATATTTTGATTTTTTTATTCTGCTTTGCCACTAAAATCATAACAACCACTGACAACTAAAATATTATGTTATTGTTGTTATTGTTATGCGTATTATTATTAATATTATTAATTAATAATAATAGGGGGGTAGTTAAAAAATTAACCCCAAAAGGTTATTCAAAAGGTTATTTGAGGATCCATTAAAAGTTTTAAAGGGTTCTTCGAAGAACTTATAGGGGTTCCCCAACAGTTTCAATTTGAAGAACCCCTAAAGGATCCTCCAGGAACCTTTACTTTTTAGAGTGTAGCAGAGTGGAACTGACCTTCCACAGAGTTGTATTATTTTCCCGAGAACGCATAGAGCCCCGAGTTGATTATCCTTTTTATACCATGGCTATGTGTTCAGCTAGCTGGTTTACTAGATACACTATATATATAAAAGTATGTGGACACCCCTTCAAATTAGTGGATTCGGCTATTTCAGCCACACCCGTTGCTGACAGGTGTATAAATCGAGTACACAGCCATGCAATCCCCATAGACAAACATTGACAGTAGAATGGCCTTACTGAAGAGCTCAGTGACTTTCAACGTGACACCGTCACAGGATGCCACCTTTCCAACAAGTCAGTTCGTCAAATTTCTTCCCTGCTAGAGCTTCCCCGGTCAACTGTAAGTGCTGTTATTGTGAAGTGGAAACTTCTAGGAGCAACAACACCTCAGCCGCAAATGGTAGGCCACACAAGCTCACAGAACAGGACCACCGAGTGCTGAAGCGCGTAGCACGTAAAGATCGTCTGTCCTCGGTTGCAACACTCACTACCGAGTTCCAAACTGCCTCTGGAAGCAACGTCAGCATCTTCATGAAATGGGTCTCCATGGCCGAGCAGCCTCACAAGCTTAAGATCACCATGCGCAATGCCAAGCGTCAGCTGGAGTGGTGTAAAGCTCGCCGCCATTAGACTCTGGAGCTCTGGAGTGATGAATCACGCTTCACCATCTGGCAGTCCAACGGACAAATCTGGGTTTGACGGATGCCAGCAGAACGCTACCTGTCCGAATGCATAGTGCCAACTGTAAAGTTTGGTGGAGGAGGAATAATGGTCTGGGGCTGTTTTTCAAACAAACAGACTTGCTAGTTCAGCTAACCAAACCATCAGTCCTAGCTTGCTATTATGAAAATCAAATTCAACAATGCCAATAATGTTTTGAATTACACTTTTGCTCTTAAAAGCAGCTCAAACATAGAACACGTAAGAATGAACTATAGCCATTGAATTCTACCGTGCAAATATACTGTGCGTTATAGGGAAATAATGCACGCTCTAGAATGCCCTTCAAGCCAATCAGAAACAAGAATTCAACAATACCATGGTATAAACAGATATAACACAATTCTATATTCTAAATAATCACCATGCAGGCAAGCATAGAATCCAACAGCAGAACACACAATATCCAAAACACACTTTCTTGCAGACCAAACAACCGCAGAGGCCAACCTTAATGATCTGTAGCTGCACCCCCTCATCTGTCTGTGGTCCCTGGAAGCAGCCACAGATGGTCTCGATGATCCTGTCGATGAGCTTTTTGCCGGGGGCCGTGCTGTCTGGACCGCTGCCTGTCAGGTGGCCGTACGCTATCAGCTTCTACAGGACAAACACCAAACACACAGAACAACAGATAAACACTGTCTTTGGCTGAGTTTCCTTTTGCAAGTGTGAGCTCTCAATTTCTAACACGTATAGACCCAGAAGTTAATCACTGACCAAATTACGCAAGATTTTACAGAGATTAGATAAACACAACTTGTGAATTCCATTCAGAAAACACCCCATATCCTCATGAACTGCACTATGAACCAGTGTCACTGAACTTTCTATGTAAATACAACATTTCTTTATTTCAGGTCAACGTCAAATTCCAGTTAGAAATTGCACTGAAACTGAAATAACTTTAGATGACTCCAAACCGTATGTATAATTTAATATCAATATAGTCCTTAACCAAATTACCATATTTGTTTTGACATATCATTACGGTGATGGTCAGAAACATGCAGCCTAGACAGTTTTAGACACACAGGGTTCACGTCCTGACCTCCTCTGCTACTGACCTGTAAACAGTCTAGTGATGTAATGACGATGCGGGGACATTTGGACTGACATGCCAACTCAAACGGCAGGAAATACTTGTCGGCCTCTACGAAGCTGGTCTTTGATTTGATTGGCGGAAGAGTGCTGGAATCTGATTTGCTGTCTGGAGGAGGACTGGAGAGACAAATAAAAAATTAAACCAAGATCATAGTACATATTCTGTCATAATAAAAACATATCCCACATCTTAAGCAGTCTTTATTCTACCAATCACACACTACTAACATAATGTAGCAGGCGCAAAAGAAACTGGATCCCTTACATACTGGTCTTGATGAGAAGTCCCCTGTAGCTCAGTTGATAGAGCATGGAGCTTGCAACGCCAGGGTTGTGGGTTCGATTCCCACGGGGGGCCAGTATGAAAATGTATGCACTCACTAACTGTAAGGCGCTCTGGATAAGAGTGTCTGCTAAATGACTAAAATCTAAAATCTAAGAACAAAAAACTCTTCTTCACTGTTCAACCAATCCAGCAAATGTGGAGGAGGAGTTAAGATGGAGTGTCGCCTTGTTAACATCCAAAAGCGGAAATCGCTTTCCATTTCCCCTGAAAACCGGAATATCCGGTTGTTGGGGACTCAGCAGAGGCTAACACACTACTGGCAGTGTACTGTTAATGGCTTTATGCATGTTCTTTATGCAGCTCAATTTGATACACTGTAAGCAGCTAATAACTCTTATAAAGAAAGGGGGCTGCAATTAATCTACCAGTCATCTATTTTAGGAGAAGAGATCCACGATGTCATACACCTGATAATAATGCTCTCTGCTCTGTCGAGTGTGTCTTTATGCTGTCGAAAGCCTTTGTGGCCAAAATCACATCCTTGTTACTGTTGCTAAGGAATAAAACCAAGGGTAAAGCCATATTTGTGAGTGCTGTTTGTCTTTATGGATCGTAGATCTAAACCAGGGGTCCTTAGCTGTAGGTTAACACATTATAGATCTAAACCAGGGGTCCTTAGTTGTAGGTTAACACATTATAGATCTAAACCAGGGGTCCTTAGCTGTAGGTTAACACATTATAGATCTAAACCAGGGGTCCTTAGCTGTAGGTTAACACATTATAGATCTAAACCAGGGGTCCTTAGCTGTAGGCTAAAACATTATAGATCTAAACCAGGGGTCCTTAGCTGTAGGTTAACACATTATAGATCTAAACCAGGGGTCCTTAGCTGTAGGCTAAAACATTATAGATCTAAACCAGGGGTTCTTAGCTGTAGGCTAAAACATTATAGATCTAAACCAGGGGTCCTTAGCTGTAGGTTAACACATTATAGATCTAAACCAGGGGTCCTTAGCTGTAGGTTAACACATTATAGATCTATACCAGGGGTCCTTAGCTGTAGGTTAACGCATTATAGATCTAAACCAGGGGTTCTTAGCTGTAGGCTAAAACATTATAGATCTAAACCAGGGGTCCTTAGCTGTAGGTTAACACATTATAGATCTATACCAGGGGTCCTTAGCTGTAGGTTAACACATTATAGATCTATACCAGGGGTCCTTAGCTGTAGGTTAACACATTATAGATCTAAACCAGGGGTCCTTAGCTGTAGGTTAACACATTATAGATCTAAACCAGGGGTCCTTAGCTGTAGGTTAACACATTATACAGTGAGGCAAAAAAGTATTTGATCCCCTGCTGATTTTGTATGTTTGCCCACTGACAAAGACATGATCAGTCTATAATTTTAATGGTAGGTTTATTTGAACAATGAGAGACAGAATAACAACAACAAAATCCAGAAAAACGCATGTCAAAAATGATATAAAGTGATTTGCATTTTAATGAGGGAAATAAGTATTTGACCCCTCTGCAAAACATGACTTAGTACTTGATGGAAAAACCCTTGTTGGCAATCACAGAGGTCAGACGTTTCTTGTAGTTGGCCACCAGGTTTGCACACATCTCAGGAGGGATTTTGTTCCACTCCTCTTTGCAGATCTCCAAGTCATTAAGGTTTAGCAGAAAAACACCCCCAAAGCATAATGTTTCCACCTCCATGTTTGACGGTGGAGATGGTGTTCTTGGGGTCATAGACAGCATTCCTCCTCCTCCAAACACGGCGAGTTGAGATGATGCCAAAGAGCTCGATTTTGGTCTCATCTGACCACAACACTTTCACCCAGTTCTCCTCTGAATCAATCAGATGTTCATTGGCAAACTTCAGACGGCCCTGTATATGTGCTTTCTTGAGCAGGGGGACCTTGCGGGCGCTGCATGATTTCAGTTCTTCACGGCGTAGTGTGTTACCAATTGTTTTCTTGGTGACTATGGTCCCAGCTGCCTTGAGATCATTGACAAGATCCTCCCGTGTAGTTCTGGGCTGATTCCTCACCGTTCTCATGATCATTGCAACTCCACGAGGTGAGATCTTGCATGGAGCCCCAGGCCGAAGGAGATTGACAGTTATTTTGTGTTTCTTCCATTTGTGAATAATCGCACCAACTGTTGTCACCTTCTCACCAAGCTGCTTGGCGATGGTCTTGTAGCCCATTGTGTAGGTCTACAATCTTGTCCCTGACATCCTTGGAGAGCTCTTTGGTCTTAGCCATGGTGGAGAGTTTGGAATCTGATTGATTGATTGCTTCTGTGGACAGGTGTCTTTAAAAGACACCTGGGAGCCAGAAATCTTTCTGATTGAGAGGGGGTCAAATACTTATTTCCCTAATTAAAATGCAAATCAATTTATAAAATTTTTGACATGCGTATTTCTGGATTTTGTTGTTGTTATTCTGTCTCTCACTGTTCAAACAAACCTACCATTAAAATTATAGACTGATCAGCAGGGGATCAAATACTTTTTTCCCTCAGTGTAGATCTAAACCAGGGGTCCTTAGCTGTAGGCTAAAACATTATAGATCAGAACAACCACACCCAGACTGTACGGAGCTCTGAGCCAAGGACGGAGGAAGAAGGGGGGGGGGGGGGGGGGGGGGGGGTGAAGACTGTGTTGTTTGTGTCTTGGCAGAGAGAAAGGATGACTTCAGCTTCTTTTGAGTGATTACCTCGCAGAGTGCAGTGGGACACGGGATAGAGACAGAGAGAGAGAGAGAGAGAGAGAGAGAGAGAGAGAGGACCGAGAGAGAGAGGACAGAGAACGAGAAGGACAGAGAGAGAGAGAGAGTGAGAGAGTGAAAGAAAGGACAGAGAAAGAGAGAGAGAAAGGACAGAGAGAAAGAGAGAGAGAGAGACACAGAGAGACAGAGGGGAAAAGGAGGAGAAGAGGAAGCGTACAGAATTTTGAGAGACGATGCAACAATGTTGTTTTGAATGGAAATGTCCATTCTACTTCTGCTAATTCTATGAGTCATGAGTCACTGTGTCCCTCCCTGCTTAGCATGCGTTCTCCCCTCTAATAAGCAACATACAGGATTAGCCTGCTCATATTCATAATTTACATCAAATGGGGTTAAGCATCTATGGAGACTAGAATGCTAACACTAGATTTTCAGCTAGCGTTGCTTCTGCTTCTACAATTGTTGACACCTTTTGGCTTACAGAAGATCCTTGGGAATAAGTGATGCTATGGGTGATTTTTAGTACTTTTCTAAAACCCGAAGGCCAGGGCAGCTTTGCGAAAGGTTGGGTAAGGTGTCTGTATATAAATTCCCTACTTCACTCACTCCTCCCCCACCTAAAGACAATTTGGGCAGGGCATTTGTGAGAGGAAGCTTAAATACCCAAATACCCGTGTCTGAATACCCAAATCTTAGTAGGCCGTTTGAGTATGCGAAAAAAAGAATGTTTAATAGTATGCAACGTTTCGAAAATCGATCTATACTTTACAGTGGGGAAAAAAAGTATTTAGTCAGCCACCAATTGTGCAAGTTCTCCCACTTAAAAAGATGAGAGAGGCCTGTAATTTTCATCATAGGTACACGTCAACTATGACAGACAAAATGAGAAAAGAAAATCCAGAAAATCACATTGTAGGATTTTTAATGAATTTATTTGCAAATGATGGTGGAAAATAAGTATTTGGTCAATAACAAAAGTTTCTCAATACTTTGTTATATACCCTTTGTTGGCAATGACACAGGTCAAACGTTTTCTGTAAGTCTTCACAAGGTTTTCACACACTGTTGCTGGTATTTTGGCCCATTCCTCCATGCAGATCTCCTCTAGAGCAGTTATGTTTTGGGGATGTCGCTGGGCAACACGGACTTTCAAATCCCTCCAAAGATTTTCTATGGGGTTGAGATCTGGAGACTGTCGAGGCCACTCCAGGACCTTGAAATGCTTCTTACGAAGCCACTCCTTCGTTGCCCAGGCGGTGTGTTTGGGATCATTGTCATGCTGAAAGACCCAGCCACGTTTCATCTTCAATGCCCTTGCTGATGGAAGGAGGTTTTCACTCAAAATATCACGATACATGGCCCCATTCATTCTTTCCTTTACACGGATCAGTCGTCCTGGTCCCGTTGCAGAAAAACAGCCCCAAAGCATGATGTTTCCACCCCCATGCTTCACAGTAGGTATGGTGTTCTTTGGATGCAACTCAGCATTCTTTGTCCTCCAAACACGACGAGTTGAGTTTTTACCAAAAAGTTATATTTTGGTTTCATCTGACCATATGACATTCTCCCAATCCTCTTCTGGATCATCCAAATGCACTCTAGCAAACTTCAGACGGGCCTGGACATGTGCTGGCTTAAGCAGGGGGACACGTCTGGCACTGCAGGATTTGAGTCCCTGGCGGCGTAGTGTGTTACTGATGGTAGGCTTTGTTACTTTGGTCCCAGCTCTCTGCAGGTCATTCACTAGGTCCCCCCGTGTGGTTCTGGGATTTTTGCTCACCGTTCTTGTGATCATTTTGACCCCACGGGGTGAGATCTTGCGTGGAGCCCCAGATCGAGGGAGATTATCAGTGGTCTTGTATGTCTTCCATTTCCTAATAATTGCTCCCACAGTTGATTTCTTCAAACCAAGCTGCTTACCTATTGCAGATTCAGTCTTCCCAGCCTGGTGCAGGTCTACAATTTTGTTTCTGGTGTCCTTTGACAGCTCTTTGGTCTTGGCCATAGTGGAGTTTGGAGTGTGACTGTTTGAGGTTGTGGACAGGTGTCTTTTATACTGATAACAAGTTCAAACAGGTGCCATTAATACAGGTAATGAGTGGAGGACAGAGGAGCCTCTTAAAGAAGAAGTTACAGGTCTGTGAGAGCCAGAAATCTTGCTTGTTTGTAGGTGACCAAATACTTATTTTCCACCATAATTTGCAAATAAATTCATTAAAAATCCTACAATGTGATTTTCTGGATTTTTTTCCTCAATTTGTCTGTCATAGTTGACGTGTACCTATGATGAAAATTACAGGCCTCTCTCATCTTTTTAAGTGGGAGAACTTGCACAATTGGTGGCTGACTAAATACTTTTTTCCCCCACTGTATCTCCCTCACTAACTTTAAGCATCAGTTGTCAGAGCACCTTACCGATCACTGCACCTGTACACAGCCCATCTGAAATTAGCCCACCCAACTACCTCATCCCCATATTGTTATTTATTTTGCTCATTTGCACCCCATTATCTCTATTTGCACATCATCTCTTGCACATCTATCATTCCAGTGTTAATACTAATTGTAATTATTTTGCACTATGGCCTATTTATTGCCTTACCTCCATAACTTGCTACATTTGCACACACTGTATATATATTTTCTGTTGTATTTTTGACTTTGTTTTGTTTTACCCCATATGTAACTCTGGTTGTTGTTTTTATCGCATAGCTTTGCTTTATCTTGGCCAGGTCGCAGTTGTAAATGAGAACTTGTTCTCAACTGGCTTACCTGGTTTAGGTGCCTTTTGACAAACTCCAAGCGGGCTGTCATGTGCCTTTTACTGAGGAGTGGCTTCCGTCTGGCCACTCTACCATAAAGGCCTGATTGGTGGAGTGCTGCAGAGATGGTTGTCCTTCTGGAAGGTTTTCCCATCTCCACAGAGGAACTCTGGAGCTCTGTCAGAGTGACCATCGTGTTCTTGGTCACATCCCTGACCAAGGCCCTTCTCCCCCGATTGCGCAGTTTGGCCGGGCGGCCAGCTCTAGGAAGAGTCTTGGTGGTTCCAAACTTCTTCCATTTAAGAATGATGGATGCCACTGTGTTCTTGGGGACCTTCAATGCTGTAGGCAATTTTTGGTACACTTCCCCAGAACTGTGCCTTGACACAATCCTGTCTCGGAGCTCTACGGACAATTCCTTCAACCTCATGGCTTGGTTTTTGCTCTGACATGCACTGTCAACTGTGGGACCTTATATAGACAGGTGTGTGCCTTTACAAATCATGTCCAATCAATTGAATTTACCAAAGGTGGACTCCTATCAATTTGTAGCAACATCTCAAGGATTATCAATGGAAACAGGATGCACCTGAGCTCAATTTTGAGTCTCATAGCAAAGGGTCTGAATACTTATGTAAATAAGGTATCTGTTTTTTATTTTTTATACATTTGCAAAAAAATCAAAAAAACTGTTTTTTCGCTTTGTCATTATGGGGTATTGTGTGTAGAATGATGAGGACATTTTAATATTTAATCCATTTCAGAATAAGGCTGTAACGTAACAAAATGTGGAAAAAATTAAAGGGGTATGAATATTTTCCGAATGCACTGTAGTACCAAGATCACAAAATCTTTGCCTATTTATTGAGGAACCAGACAGCCCTTTTCATTGTTTTGTCTACAACACATTTTGATTATGTAACAATAAATGTTAACAACAAATTCCAAATGCAAGCTTCATAACTCAATTATCCATTTCAAGCAATTTTGACATACCAAAGACCTATACTAGTAATTGTTGCTTGATGCCCCATTGCTGGTGAGCATGCAAAGTAAACAATTAATATTCTTGATCACCAAACAATTCTTTAGCTGCATATTTATTTATGTCAGTCCTCTCTCCCTACAATTTGACGTTTGCGCTGCACCGATTCTATCGCTGTACAGCAAATCAGCAATCTGTTTGCACACAGGTGATGCATTTTCAAAAAGCAAGATACAGAAATAAACTGCGTTTTACACCTTCATTTTGAGTCTACATCAACTAGGGATAACATGTCACATTTTGACTTCTCTGGAGTCCAGAGCCTGCAGGATCATACAGCCTACCTGTATGCAGCGGGGGTTGCAGGATTGGATGGAAAGCATGATCTGTCTGTATTTTTCTATTTTTCTTTCTCACAAATATCGTAAATAATTTTCCAGAATATGTTACGCCTTCATCCCATAGGTACATGTTACAGCTCTCTTTAGACATACAGTACCACCACTGAGGCATATAATTATAACCCACAAAAACTAGACATACCTGAAATGATCAATGAAATCACCAGCCTATTGTTCTGGCGAAGATGAGTCCGTAGCAGATTGCTAAACTGAATTTGATATGGATAATATTAACGTAGGTAGGCTACTTTGCTTTTGCCAGGCAAAACCGGAGAAAATTAAACAAGTGCTTTCTGGTCACTAATCTGGATGACTGGTCATCGGTCAACAGTCAAGACGCGCAAGTTTTTGGTTCTGAAGCACAGATTACAAGAATTTGGTGCAATGCCGTAGGCCTATGATAGTAACCAGATCGAATAAACAAAGGCATAAATATAAAATACAAATTATAGGTTATATCTAGCCTATTAAAATATGTATGAATTTTGTATGTATTTTCCCCATGCAATTTCACATTTGCGACCCCCCAAAAACCTTCTCACTGCGCTACTGTAGGTCATCCAACTTATGTTGATTGACAGTTTGCTGGTCCAATCGTTTCACTAGCCAATCAGTATTTTTTTTGCAAGTGAGATACTGTCTCTGGCTGCATGAAGAGTAGCCTAATCCACAGAGACTATGTGCCACAAAATGATTGACAAAACGTTACAAAATCTGGCCAGATAATTTCAATTCATTAGTTTCAAATCTAAATCGAGTCCTGAGTTTAAGTCAAGTCTCAAGTTGTTTTATTTTCTATCAAGTCAAGTCATCAAATTTGTGACTCGAGTCAGACTTGAGTCCAAACCTCTGGTACATAGTATGCAGTTTAAGTATGTAGTACGCTAGTATGGGTATTTGGACACAGACAGTTTCTCTACCACCTCCCTCTACCCACCCCCTCACCGACCACAGGGGTCTCGTTTGGGCTGAGCTAGCAGAGCTGGCACATAGAACATGCTGATCCAGCCCTGATCATCCAGTCCTGCTGTGGGATTCTCGAGGGGGAGAGAGAAAGAGAGAGGGAGGGAAAGGAGTGGCACTCATGGTACATTTCATTCCACTGACCCAGTTACCAGGCAGCAAAGCTCCACAAACACAAACTTACACGCAAACTCTCCCTCTCCCAGGCGAAAGCTAGCCTACTTTGAGTGTATGTACTGACATGTATGTGTAACTGTTAAATACAGACACAAACACACACACTACATGTTAATGTATGTAAATGGTAGTATTTTGTCTGTAATGTCTTTTTCTCTGTGTCAGACCCCTGTAAGTCTAGCTGTCACCATTGGCGTCGGCTAATGGGGATCCTAATAAAAAATAGAAATCTCTCTCTCCCTCCCAGGCTAGAGCCAGGCACTAGGCAGGGGTCCATTAATGACAGGGAGAATAGCTTTTAGAAGTAGACCAGGCTGAGACAAACAAAAACACACTGGAGGCCACACACACACACACACACCCTTTATACTGAACTCAAGGGCAAGCAAAAGGAAACAAGAAAATCACCTAAATTAACCAGGATGTATTTATTTTTCTTTTGTAAGATATTATTTATTTGAATTTTTGTTTACAATACAAAACATCCACATACAAACGACAACATACAGACGCACACAAACATCCACAACATCACCCCTGCCCGGACCCACCTGCACACACCCCCATCTCTAGTGCCTGCATCACTCTCCACCACATGGCCTCAAACTGCACCATTTTGTTTCTCTCCGTCGCCCATGCACGTTCAACATTTAGATAATAAATCATTTCACCTTTCCATTGTGTTTATGATGGAGGATTTGTTGATTTCCAGTTTGTAAGTATACGTTTTTTCAAGATGATTGACGAGAAAAGTATCGTCCAACCCATCGGGTATTTCACTCCACCCTCATATACCATGTCTTGAAATATGCAGACAGACGGATTAAAAGTAAATTTACATTTTAACACTTCTGACAGCCAACTTTCTAGCTCCGCCCATAACCTTTGGACTTTATAGCATCCCCAGAAGGCATGGATTATTGAATCACTGTTAGTTTTACACTTCAGACATGACTCTGCCGTTGTGCTGTAGAATTTCTGAATTTTGTCTCTTGTATAATCAATTCTATACATTAGTTTATACTGGATTAAGTGTACATTTAAGTTTACTGTAGATCCGTTAGTTATGTTCCAACATTCCCTCCACCTTGTGCCAATATCCAGTAGTTTCTTTTTTTTCTCCTAAGAGTGTCAGCTGAATGGGCTCTCTCAAATCAATACATTTCTTGATATGAAACGTTTAAGTTGCATGCGTTTCATCATATCTACAATTGCTTTTTAATTCTGTCATGGAAATAAATGTATTTCCTATTACTAAGTCATTTACGGTTTTCTATGTCTTTAGTTTTCCATGTGGACCAATTTATCTGTGAATTCTGAAAAGCTATCCAAGGATTGTTCAATAGGGTTGTGTTTTTAGGGATTGATATTGGTTCTTGTAGAATACGTTTAATTTTCTTCCATATTGTTATAGCGTTCTTAACTATGAAGTTGTTAATGTTCTTAGCTTTATCCTTAGACACGTAACAAGATTCTGGGGATGAGCATGCACATCTTCAATATGTACCCATTGTTCCTCTTTAGTACATTTAACAATATGTCGCAAGTACCGGTAAATGCCCTGGGTGGCGAGTGATACAAAGTCTGGAAGGTTAAAACCACCCTCTGACTTAGGAAGATGTAAAACTTTCCTTTGTGTTCTATGAGTTTTATTTTCCCATATAAAGTCTTATGACCAAGTATACTTTTTTAATGAACGTCTTCGGTAGGGTAATTGGTATTACCGAGAATAAATCTAAAAACTTTCAGAGCCATGCCATTCTGAAGAGATTTATTCTACCTGTAAGATTTATGGGAAAATGGTTCCATTTAATTAGATCTGCTTTAATATTGTTGAGCAATGGGATAAAGTTACCTTTATACACTACCGGTCAAAAGTTTTAGAACACCTACTCATTCAAGTATTTTTCTTTATTATTACTATTTTCTACATTGTAGAATAATAGTGAAGACATCAAAACTATGAAATAACACATATGGAATCATGTAGTAACCAAAAAAAGTGTTAAAATATATTTGGATTTGTTTATATTTGTCACGTCTCCTCCCGTTGCTCCCCTCCAGCGCTCTGATTCGCCGGTCTACTGAGCCACCGGTCTGAGCGCACCACCTCGGCAACACCGGAATGGAAACCCAACGCACCATAATCACCTCCAGCGCACCTGCACCTCATCACCACCCCTATACAGCCCTGGACTGTTCAGTGTTGTGTTGTGTGTGATTGTTAGTGTCATGTCGTGTACTCGCTCTTTGTTGTTCTCTTGCTCAGTGTTAAGTAAACCTTTACATTGTTGATTCCTGCGTCTGCGTCCTGCCTCTTCGTATCCTCAGTACTCGTCACAATATTTAAGATTCTTCAAATAGCCAACCTTTGCCTTGATGACAGCTTTGCACACTCTTGGCATTCTCTCAACCAGCTTCACTTGGAATGCTTTTCCAACAGTCTTGAAGGAGTTCCCACATATGCTGAGCACTTGTTGGCTGCTTTTCCTTCACTTTGCGGTCCGACTTATCCCAAACCATCTCAATTTGGTTGAGGTCGGGGGGTTGTGGAGGCCAGGTCATGTGATGCAGGACTCCATCACTCTCCTTCTAGGTAAAATAGCCCTTACACAGCCTGCAGGTGTGTTGGGTCATTGTCCTGTTGAAAAACAAATGATAGCCCCACTAAGCCCAAACCAGATGGGATGGCGTATCGCTGCAGAATGCTGTGGTAGCCATGCTGGTTAAGTGTGCCTTGAATTCTAAATAAATCACAGACAGTGTTACCAGCAAAGCACACCCACACCATCACACCTCCATCTCCATGCTTTACGGCGAGAAATACACATGCGTTGATCATCTGTTCACCCACACCGCGTCTCACAAAGACAAGGCGGTTGGAACCAAAAATCTCCAATTTGGACTCCAGACCAAAGGACACATTTCCACCGGTCTAATATCCATTGCTCATGTTTCTTGGCCCAAGCAAGTCTCTTCTTCTTATTGGTGTCCTTTAGTAGTGGTTTCTTTGCAGCAATTTGATCATGAAGGCCTGATTCACACAGTCCCCTCTGAACAGTTGATGTTGAGATATGTCTGTGACTTGAACTCTGTGAAGCATTTATTTGGGCTGCAATTTCTGAGGCTGGTAACTCTAATGAACTTATACTCTGCAGCAGAGGTAACTCTGGGTCTTCCATTCCTGTGGCGGTCCTCATGAGAGTTTCATTATAGCGTTTGATGGGTTTTGCGACTACACTTAAAGAAACTTTCAAAGTTCTGTATTGATTGACCTTCATGTCTTAAAGTAATGATGGACTGTCGTTTCTCTTTGCTTATTTCAGCTGTTCTTGCCATTATATGGACTTGGTCTTTTACCAAATAGGGCTATTTTCAGTATTACACCCCCCCCCCCTATTTTCTGTATTACACCTGTAATTGAAATGCATTCCAGGTGACTACCTCATGAAGCTGGTTGAGAGAATGCCAAGAGTGTGCAAAGCTGTCATGAAGGCAAAAGGTGACTATTTGAAGAATCTCAAATATAAAATATATTTTGATTTGTTTAACACTATTTTGGTTACTACATGATTCCATATGTGTTATTTCATAGTTTTGATGTCTTCACTATTATTCTACAATGTAGAACATAGTAAAAATAAAGAAAAACCCTTGAATGAGTAGGTGTTCTAAAACCTTTGACCGGTAGTGGATTCTAAGTATTTGATATATTTTGTGGTCTACATAAAGGATTGCTGTAGAGATCATGAGTTATTCTTTTTATTTTTCCTATTGCCATTATTTCGTTTTTTTCCACGTTAATTTTTCTATCCTGAGATTTTTAAGTATTCTGAAAATATATACAATGGGGAAAAAAAGTATTTAGTCAGCCACCAATTGTGCAAGTTCTCCCACTTAAAAAGATGAGAGAGGCCTGTAATTTTCATCATAGGTACACGTCAACTATGACAGACAAAATGAGAAAAAAAATCCAGAAAATCACATTGTAGGATTTTTAATGAATTTATTTGCAAATTATGGTGGAAAATAAGTATTTGGTCAATAACAAAAGTTTCTCAATACTTTGTTATATACCCTTTGTTTGTAATGACACAGGTCAAACGTTTTCTGTAAGTCTTCACAAGGTTTTCACACACTGTTGCTGGTATTTTGGCCCATTCCTCCATGCAGAATTCCTCTAGAGCAGTGATGTTTTGGGGCTGTCGCTGGGCAACACAGACTTTCAACTCCCTCCAAAGATTTTCTATGGGGTTGAGATCTGGAGACTGGCAAGGCCACTCCAGGACCTTGAAATGCTTCTTACGAAGCCACTCCTTCGTTGCCTGGGCGGTGTGTTTGGGATCATTGTCATGCTGAAAGACCCAGCCACGTTTCATCTTCAATGCCCTTGCTGATGGAAGGAGGTTTTCACTCAAAATCTCACGATACATGGCCCCATTCATTCTTTCCTTTACACGGATCAGTCGTCCTGGTCCCTTTGCAGAAAAACAGCTCCAAAGCATGATGTTTCCACCCCCATGCTTCACAGTAGGTATGGTGTTCTTTGGATGCAACTCAGCATTCTTTGTCCTCCAAACACGACGAGTTGAGTTTTTACCAAAAAGTTCTATTTTGGTTTCATCTGACCATATGACATTCTCCCAATCCTCTTCTGGATCATCCAAATGCACTCTAGCAAACTTCAGACGGGCCTGGACATGTACTGGCTTAAGCAGGGGGACACGTCTGGCACTGCAGGATTTGAGTCCCTGGCGGCGTAGTGTGTTACTGATGGTAGGCTTTGTTACTTTGGTCCCAGCTCTCTGCAGGTCATTCACTAGGTCCCCCCGTGTGGTTCTGGGATTTTTGCTCACCGTTCTTGTGATCATTTTGACCCCACGGGATGAGATCTTGCGTGGAGCCCCAGATCGAGGGAGATTATCAGTGGTCTTGTATGTCTTCCATTTCCTAATAATTGCTCCCACAGTTGATTTCTTCAAACCAAGCTGCTTACCTATTGCAGATTCAGTCTTCCCAGCCTGGTGCAGGTCTACACTTTTGTTTCTGGTGTCCTTTGACAGCTCTTTGGTCTTGGCCATAGTGGAGTTTGGAGTGTGACTGTTTGAGGTTGTGGACAGGTGTCTTTTATACTGATAACAAGTTCAAACAGGTGCCATTAATACAGGTAACGAGTGGAGGACAGAGGAGCCTCTTAAAGAAGAAGTTACAGGTCTGTGAGAGCCAGAAATCTTGCTTGTTTGTAGGTGACCAAATACTTAATTTCCACCATAATTTGCAAATAAATTCATTAAAAATCCTACAATGTGATTTTCTGGATTTTTTTTCCTCAATTTGTCTGTCATAGTTGACGTGTACCTATGATGAAAATTACAGGCCTCTCTCATCTTTTTAAGTGGGAGAACTTGCACAATTGGTGGCTGACTAAATACTTTTTTTCCCCCACTGTATATATATATATATATATTTTTTTTTAACCTTTATTTAACTAGGCAAGTCAGTTAAGAACAAATTCTTATTTAAAATGACGGCCTACACCGGACGATGCTGGGCCATTTGTGCGCAGCCATATGGGGCAAGGCGGGCATTGAATTTTCAATATTGGTCATGTATATCAGGAGATCGTCTGCAAATAAGTTTAGTTTACATTCATGTTTACCAATACTGATACCTGTTACATTTGGGTCCTGTCTAATTCTTTCTGTAAGAGGTTCAATTGCCAGTGCAAACAGGAGGGGGGAGAGAGGACATCCTTGTCTTGTGCCCCTTTCTAAAGCAATTTCATCAGATAATGTATTATTTGTGTATATTTTTGCTTTAGGATATTTATAATATTTTTATTAAATGTATTATTTCAGCTGGAAAGTTTTTAGAAAAGGCCATTCACAACAGCCATTATAGATACATCTATATCTTGTTTTTTTTGTGTATTGTATTAAACTGAAACATGTTTTTGTATTTGTTTGTAAGTGTCTTTTTTTAATAAACCTTGTTTGATTGATATGTATTAAGTCTGGTAAGACTTTTGCCATTCTATTGCTTATGAGCTTTGTTATTATTTTATTGTCACAATTTATTAAACTTATGGGTCTTTTAATCAGCAGGGGACTCTCCAGATCTTTAAAATATTCACGCGGGATTTAACCAGGATATATTTATGTGAAACTTAATTAAAATCAACTTACCTTAATTTTTCAGACTCCTCCTTTATTTCCTCTGAAAGAGAGAGAGAAGGAGAGGGGGGGAGAAACAGTTAGAAACATTGATATAACAGCCAAAGGGGAGAGTAAATTCTGCAGTATTTTACTAAACTAATGACACCATTGGGAATAGCAGATAGCAGGCCCTGGCAGCGATAAGGAGCCTGCACCTAGCTGATCTATCTTCTCTCGCTCTTCTCCACGGCTCCTAGTGAATGTCTGAAGAGTCAGAGTGAAGTGTTAATAAATGCTCTAAGAGGATAAGAACCTCTTAGGACAAGGATTGGCAAGAAGAACCCTTCAACTTCTGTATGCATGCTGTTAATAGAGTGAAATTCTCAAAGGGATACACACACTTACATGCGCACCCACTCACGTTCACACACGCACCTAACAGTCTTGCTTCCGTCCCTTTCCTTACCCCAACCTGGACTCGAACCAGGACCCTCTGCACACATCGACAACAGTTACCCATGAAGCTTTGTTCCCTATTGCTCCACTAAAACCTCAGCCTTTGCAGAGCAAGTGACGTCACCGATTGACACGCTACTAGTGCGTACTGCTGATGTCTTTGCTTCACGAAAGATGACAGAGAGAACTTTACTGATGTCAACTAGATTGAATCATTAACTATATCAATCTATTACATTATTCTGTTGAGCAAGGGTTTATTTATTATTCTAGGGAAACATATAATGACAAAAGAGAAGCTACATGTATCTAATTATAGACAAGTTGATTAACAAATAGCCTACCAAAATGTTGGAAATTATAAGCAGAAACATATCTAAATCAGGCAAAAAAAATACTGCACCCCCTGTCAAAAAACCGTTCTGCAGTCTTTGACTGTAGCCTATAGCACATTTTCTATATTTGCGGTTTAGGGTTGGGTGCGGGCCTCAGATTTTAAATGTATCACCTATAGTCGGGTGGTTTGCGGAAGGGTTATTAGCAACTGCGGGCGGGTGCGGGTGAACAAACAGCGCGCAATTATAAGACCTACAATGAGTATGTGAGTGTGTTTTCCAATACACACTCTTGTGCTTTGGTGTTGGATAGAAAGTGACTGTGTGAGCCACACTCCAGTCATTGTTCTAGACTCACCGAGACGAGAGGAGTCTGGGTGCTCTGCCGCCGTGCTCTGCCTGAAGCTGTATTCACTCTGCTCTGCACTAGTGGATGTGGATGTTAGTGGCAAAGCCTGCGTTTACTTCACACACTGATATACAGGTGGCATCAAAGCATGCGTTTACTTCACACACTGATATACAGGTGGCATCAAAGCATGAGTATTAGCTCTCTCAACACTGACTCAGGGGGAGGAAGCGCGTGTGTGTGTGGGAGTGCGTGTGTGTGTGGGTGTGTGGGTGTGTGGGAGTGTGTGTGTGTGTGTGTGTGTGTGTGTGTGTGTGGGGAGTGCGTGTGTGTGTGTGTGGGTGTGCGTGCGACAACACGTGTGTGAGACAATTTTCACAGCAGTTTAGAAAGTGCTAAAAACACATAGCAACACTCCAAAGAACACTGCCCTCTTATTATTTAAAAAGGCCACTAAAATAGTGACAGATCAATCATTTATCTTGCTAAATCTACTTGAGAGTCAAGTTAGCGCGCAACACTGTGGTTCCCCCTTTTCCTTTCAGGGACACTTTACAGTCTAGTAGGAATAGTATAAAACACCAGTCGATCACAGGCACAGTCATTGAATTATTTTTTATATTTCCTTTTGAAAGCTCTTTGTAATCCATATATAGTTACATACCATATAAAAGGGAGCATTTATGAACATGAATATAGAATAGAGGATGGCTGTCCTTGTAGAACAGATCTGACAACTGATCTGAAAACCATATTAGCATGGCAGGCTCTCATCCCATTCTACACCAGTCTGCCTGTGTAGAGGGCTGCTCCCTTGATCTGTCTGGTCTCTGTGTTGCTCTTTCCCACTTCTATTTGTCTCTATGACTGGCTACTCTCTCTCTCTGTGTGTGTGTGTGTGTGTGTGTGCCTATGTGTCACGTGTGTGTCTCTGCATGTGTGTGTTTTAGTCCACAGGAGCTGTAAAGCTCCAGTGAGGTAGTTTTAGTATGACTGAGAGGCAGTGATTAGAGTAGGGAACAAGAAGGCAGTGTACTAAAGCCTTACCCTGGGAGGAGAGTCAGTGATAAGAGACGGAGCAATAACCTTCAGACATAGAGAGGGGGGAGAAAGAGAGACAAGGAGAAAGAGAGAGAGAGAAAGAGAGACAAGGAGAAGAGAGAGAGAGAAAGAGGAGAGAAAGAGAGAGAGAAAGAGAGAGAAAGAGAGACAGAGAAAGAGAGAGAGAGAGAGAGAGAGGAAGGCATAAATGGAGTTGAGAAAGAAGAAGGAACTAGAGAGAGGGAGAGAGTTGAGTAGGAAAAGCGAGAGTGTGGGGGGAGGGGGGAAGAGAGAGGGAGAGAGGATGAGAAAAGAGAGAGATTTAGATTTTATTTTATTAGTGTCCCCATTAGCCGACGCCAATGGCGACAGCTAGTCTTACTGGGGTCCGACACATAACGAAAAATACATTACAGACAAAAGACTACAATTTACAGACATTAACATGTAGTGTGTGTGTGTGTGTGTCTGTGTGTGTGCATCAAAAAGTAGGTCACATGGGGGAGAGGCGTTGTGCCGTCAGGTGTTGCTTTATTCGTTTTTTGAAACCAGGTTTGCTGTTCACTTGCGCTATATGAGATGGAAGGGAGTTCCATGCAATCATGGCTCTGTATAATAAGGTACATTTCCAAGAATTTGTTCTGGACCTGAGGACTCTGAAAAGACCCCTGGTGGCATGTCTGGTGGGGTACGTGTTAGTGTCAGTGCTGTGTGTAAGTTGACTTTGCAAAAAATCTGGAATTTCCAACACATTAATGTTTCTTAGAAAAACAAGAAACGATGCAGTCAGTCTCTCCTCAACTCTTAGCCAAGAGAAACTGGCATGCATAGTATTGATATTAGCCCTCTGATTACAATGAAAAGCAAAAAATGCCGCTCTGTTCTGGGCCAGCACTTGACCATGACTGGACAATAATCAAGATAAGACAAAACTAGAGCCTGCAGGACTTACTTTGTGGAGTGTGGTGTCAAAAAAGCACAGCATCTCTTTATTACGGACAAACCTCTCCCCATCTTTACAACTATTGAATCAATATGTTTTGACCATGACAGTTTACAGTCTAAGGTAACACAAAGTAATTTAGTGTCCTCAATATGGTTTGTACCAAATACAATGCTCTTAGTTTTAGAGATGCTCAGGACCAGTTAATTACTGGCCCCCCATTCTAAAACTGACTGCAACTTTTTGTTTAGGGTTGCAGTGATTTCACTAGCTGTGGTTGCTGACGAATATAGGGTTGAATCATCAGCACACATGGACACACATGCTTTGTTTAATGCCCGTGGCAGGTCATTGGTAAAAATAGAAAAGAGTAGAGGGCCTAGAGAGCTGCCCTACGGTACACCACACTTTACCTGTTTAACATTAGAGAAGCTTCCATTAAAGAAAACCCTATGTGTTCTATTTGATCGATAGCTCTGAATCCACGATATGGCAGAGGTTGAAAAGTCATAACACATGTTTTTCCAACAACAGGTTATGGTAAATAATATCAAAGGCTGCACTGAAAACTAATAGTACAGCTCCCACAATCTTCTTATCAATTTCTTTCAATCAATCATCAGCCATTTGTGTCAGTGCAGTACATGTTGAGCGCCCTTCTCTATAAGCATGCTGAAAGTCTGTTGTTAATTTGTTTACAGAGAAATAGTATTGTATTTAGTAAAAAAAAAAAATATTACAACAGTTTTCTAAGAGCTGGCAGCAAGCTGATAGGGCTGCTGTTAGAACCAGTAAAGGCCGCTTTACAATTCTTAGGTACAGTGAGGGAAAAAAGTATTTGATCCCCTGCTGATTTTGTACATTTGCCCACTGACAAAGAAATTATCAGTCTATAATTTTAATGGTAGGTTTATTTGAACAGTGAGAGACAGAATAACAACAAATAAATCCAGAAAAACGCATGTCAAAAATGTTATAAATTGATTTACATTTTAATGAGGGAAATAAGTATTTGACCCCCTCTCAATCAGAAAGATTTCTGGCTCCCAGGTGTCTTTTATACAGGTAACGAGCTGAGATTAGGAGCACACTCTGGATGAAAGTGTTGTGGTCAGATGAGACTAGAATCGAACTCTTTGGCATCAACTCAACTCGCCGTGTTTGGAGGAGGAGGAATGCTGCCTATGACCCCAAGAACACCATCTCCACTGTCAAACATGGAGGTGGAAACATTATGCTTTGGGGGTGTTTTTCTGCTAAGGGGACTGGACAACTTCACCGCATCAAAGGGACGATGGACGGGGCCATGTACCGTCAAATCTTGGGTGAGAACCTCCTTCCCTCAGCCAGGGCATTGAAAATGGGTCGTGGATGGGTATTCCAGCATGACAATGACCCAAAACACACGGCCAAGGCAACAAAGGAGTGGCTCAAGAAGAAGCACATTAAGGTCCTGGAGTGGCCTAGCCAGTCTTCAGACCTTAATCCCATAGAAAATCTGCGGAGGGAGCTGAAGGTTCGAGTTGCCAAACGTCAGCCTCGAAACCTTAATGACTTGGAGAAGATCTGCAAAGAGGAGTGGAACAAAATCCCCCCTGAGATGTGTGCAAACCTGGTGGCCAACTACAAGAAACGTCTGACCTCTGTGATTGCAAACAAGGGTTTTGTCACCAAGTACTAAGTCATGTTTTGCAGAAGGGTCAATACTTATTTCCCTCATTAAAATGCAAATCAATTTATAACATTTTTGACACGCGTCTTTCTTTATTTTATTGTTGTTAATCTGTCTCTCACTGTTCAAATAAACCTACCATTAAAATTATAGACTGATCATTTCTTTGTCAATGGGCAAACGTACAAAATCATCAGGGGATCAAATACTTTTTTCCCTCACTGTAGCGGAATGACTTTGGCTTCCCTCCAGGCCTGAGGACAAACACTTTCCTCTACGCTCAGATTAAAGATATGACAGATAGATGGAAAGCTACTGAGGATGGTAGCTGACTCTATAGCCACTCCTCTAAGTTTCCTGCCTAAGTTTACCCACTTTGCCAATGAAGTAATCCTAAAAGTAAGCATAAAAATAATTAGTAACATCAAATGGTTTTGTGATGAATAAGCCATCTGATTCGATGAAAATGGAGTTGAATTTGTCTTTCTGCCCATAATTTCATTTAAAGTACTCCAAAGGTTTTTCCATAATTCTTTATATGATTGATCTTGGCTTCATAATACAGTTTATTCTTCTTCTTGTTGAGTTTAGTCACATAATTTCGCAATTTGCAGTCAGTCAGCCAGTCAGATGTACAGCCAGACTTATTAGCCACTCCTTTTTCCCCATCTCTTTCAACCATACAGTTTTTCAATTCCTCATCAATCCATGGAGCCTTAACAGCTCTAACAGACATTTTCTTAACAGGTGCATTGTTAATCAATAATTGGAAGAAGCAATTGCATAAATTCATCAAGTGCAGCATCTGCATGCTCCTTATTAATCACATCAGACCAACATATTTTTTAGGACAGGGAGGAAAAGGTAACCAGAGAGAATCAGAGAGGGAGAGTGAGAGAGAGAGTGAGAGAGAGAGAGCGAGCGAGCGAGCGAGCGAGAGAGAGTTCCATAATGTTCTGTTCAAGAGCAGATGAATACCTCATTACACATTCTAGTGTATCTGATCTCTGCACCTCACTGAATAGCCCATAACCTGCTAGTGCCTGACACATACATATTTCACATGGACTAGCCTATACATTTGTTCTCCCTCAAACATGATCCAAGATGGCATAGCAGTGCGGTCGTGTATCATGTTGTGTTCTCGTGTAAATTGCCTGTTTTTTTGTCTTTTATCGTATATATTTCTCTATCTCACTTTCCATCCTTAACGAAATATACTTTCCTGCAACCCGCCTCACCCAATGTGGAACGGATTCTATTATTTCGTCATACCTTTTATCAAGAACCCACAGCTGAAACTAGCCAGCTAACTAGCTACTTGCTATTAGCTATTGCTATTAGCCACCGTTAGCGGTCTTCACCACTGTCCGTGGCCTGCACTACCTACCAGCCAGCTCTAGCCTGGACAATTATCGGCCAGTCTGCACAGCGTGCTATCGACCCAAGAGCATTTCGGATTTTCTGCCGGAATCACTGGACCTTAACACCGGATCATCACAACTAGCTAGCTGCAACCGAATGGATGTTGTTGTTGGCTAATCACCACTAATCACCACTTGTCCCAAAGCTAGCACCAGTTAGCCTTGAGCTAGCCTCGAGCCAGGCCCATCTCTCGGCTATCCACCTCTCTGTCAATCGGACGGGACCTCCTAGTGTCGACACGGAGCCCCGCCGATCCATCACGACTGGTCTGCCGACATAATCGTCTGATGTGGTTTCAACAGGCTTCCCGTTGCGACGACCACGAAGATCCATCTGCTAGCACCGGCCCGCTAGCATGCGCAATCAACAGCCGTGCCTCCTGCTCGCCTGTGCTGTAGCAGCCTACGAACTGCTCCCGGACTTACCTATTGCTGTTCACTGGACCTTATGATCACTCAGCTACACATCTGATGCCCGCTGGACTGTTCCTTTACACGGAACCCCATCCTGTTTATCTGTTTAGCCTCTGCCCAAACTTTCGTCGCCATTACCAGTTGTTGTCTTAGCCCTCTCGAATAACACCTGTGATTGTGTTATGCC